CATAGCCCAAGTACCTAGGCGAATGTCAGCAGGGATTACTGGGTGAAACTGAATAAAACTCCTCGTTCACCCAGTATTTCCACCCAAACACCCATTTTTTGCTCGATGACCCCCAAATCAAAATACACCATTCGATGCAGAATTAAATTCTCTATCCAGCCCAAGATATCTTAGCCATAGCCCAACTCCCTAGGCGAATGTCAGCAAGGATTACTCGAATCTGCTGCTAACTTTACTTACGTAAACAATATATTACATCACTCTTTTGTTTCTTCATTGCAGGAAGCAACATTTATAGATGAAATAATATAAATATATGACTCACATGTTTTGTTAAATGTAGTTGAATAATATCAAAATAAATATGTAAAAAGTTAATTACTTTGACTGAAATATTCAAACAAAGAGAGAAAGATTAAAATTCGTTTATTTGTTTTTTATTCGTAGAAAAGAAACGTGTCTATCAACTATTTTATTTAATCATTCTACGATAAAATAAAAATGTTAAATAAATTTATATCTGATCCTTATGCTTTATAATAAAACTAAAAGCAATTCGATATTACTTTCCATCTGATAGATAATTATATAATCAAAATATAGAGCTGATAATTAAGCATTTTATTACATGATGAGAAATTATCTAGTCATTGCTTTTTTTATGAATGTAATAGTTGAAACATCATCTAAATCATGTCGTTGAAGTTTATACCTATTGAACCATCTTGACGGTAGGTGTGGGTGTGGGTGTGACTACGAATGCTCATAATGAACAGATTGTTACGCACACTGATCCTGCTTTTTCCTACTTGACATCTCAACAAAAGTAAAATTAGAACCTATTTATTTTATTGTTTTTTGTTGGATTAAGCAATCGAATACTTGTGAGCAAATACACTAAAGAATGCAAAGAAGTGTAGTCGAAATATTCTTTTCAGAACAAAACTAAACATAAAATCGAAAAAAGAGACTTAAATAATATTTAGTAATAAAATATTTTCTGATATTAAAATTTACTTATGTGAAAACAATATAATAAGTATGTTTACTGCGTAATAGAGTAGTGACGTCTCTGTATGTCTATTTTTATTTATTATCTCAGACTTTATGTCGCTCGAAGCAATTGAAATCTTTTAATACTTTACTAATCAAATAGAAATGAAAAAAATAATTCTCTCGTTAGCTGTCTTCTGTTCACTTTTCTTATTTTGAAGTCAAAGAAAAATTTTCAAGTGTTACAAAAAATGTCTGACAATTCCAATCAAATCAAATTTTACTTGCTCCTTGTTCTACTCGTGCCATCTGTATTATGTTCACTAGTACTAATCTATTATCTCATCAAATTAAGAAGAGATATCTGGCAGAAAAGACAGCAAGATCACATAATTTGCTGTTTAATTCTTTGTGCATTTGTACAGGTGAGATATTGATATCTTATTTAGAAAATCTATCAAAAATTTTCATATTCTTTCTGACGTTTTTGACACTTAGGTCACAACTGAATTGCCCCTGACACTCAAGTTCCTCTCTGCTGGTTCTGTGCCAAGCAAGTCCGATTCTTATTGTTACTTTTGGATCATCTACAATTACAGTCTCACTCTGCAGGAGCTCCTTCTCATTACAAGTGCCACCATTGAACGCTACCTACTCGTCTTTCACAAGCCCCTGTTCGCAAGTCAACGTTTTAAATTTCTGTTTCACTATCTACCAATGCTTGTTTCCATTGTCTACCCTCCAATCTACTACACACTCATGGCACTCGTCTATCCTTGGTGCACACAGCAGTTTAGCTATACCACATTCACCTGTGCTGGTCTCTGTTATCAAGTGCAGTTGATCACCACAACTCTTGATTGCTCTCTGAACTATATTCTCCCTGTCGTTGTGACAACATGTCTCAATTTACTGATCGTTGTAAAGGTTTTACATCAGAAAAGACACATGCAACAACAAAATACGTGGAAGAAGAATATTAAAATGGTGTTGCAACTGTTATGGATCTCACTGATCTTCATCTTCGCATGGATTCCACTGACAATTTCAATTTTAACAGTCACATACGTGACAGATTCAGATCAAAACTGGCTCTTTACTCTGAGTATGGTAAGAAAATGCCTGATATTCAGTTCCATATATATATCGTTCTATCTCATTTTTGTAGGATTATCTTGGTTATATGACATATCTGGCTGTTCTTCTTTGTCCATTTGTCGGTGTGATGGCTCTGCCTGAAGTACGAGCTAAGATGATGGCTGCCTATAATCCACTAAAAAGGACGAACAACCATATCAATACAGTTACAGCAACTCATCGGGCAACACTCCATACTTTGAAAATGACGATTGAAAGAACAAATCACATGGTTCCTAAGATTGTAGCTGAAGACTTAGAAGAATAACTTCAATTATTGTATGAAAAATGTTGTAAATGTTCATGTATCTGTAATAATTTTTGTGACTATTCAAATAAATGTGGACATAGTTTTCACAGTTATACCTCTAAAACTGATGTTTTGTCTGCAGTATCTTGAGGTGGCTGTGGGCGAATGGGGAGGGGGAGGTGCCTACGGCTGTGATAGATAGATCCCAACACCTACACACACCCTCAGCTATCAGAGCTACAATTTAAAGGCACTTCTTTGTTGACGTCATATATTATTGCGATAACTCAATCGTTTTTCTTTCTACAGCTTGAAATCAAATAAAATCATGCTTCTCTCTCTCCTTTATTAGTCTTAAAGTAGTGTGGGTGCGGATTTTGGTGTCGTTTTGGAGAAAATATCGCACATTCATTCACATCTTTTATCATCCCCACGGCCACACACACCCACACCCACCCACCTACACCCTCTATGTGATTATTCAAACGATCAAAGATGTATTTAAGCACATTTTATTTTTAAATTCAAGTTTTTTTATTAAAGTTAAAAAAATGAATTAAATTCGAATTTTTCGTGCATATAAATAAGTTTTTTGTATTTGTTGAATAAGATTTTTATCACCCATTAATTGTGCTAGTTTATATAAAGTTTCTGAATTAGCCAATGAATCTCGTTTTTGTTTCCAAATATGTAATAAGATTTCAATTTTTTCTTCACGTTTATAATGAGAATAATTCTTTCGGAAATGATTTATATCATTATCGGATAATTTTAAACGTATTAATAAGCGTTCAATATCATAATTATTTAAATTTTCAATAAATATTTGTTTATATATTTGAAAAAGTTCATCTTCATGTTGATCATTTATTTGAACGAAAAGATTTGATATAGCCGAGAGTGATTTTTCTTCAGTAAAATCATTTGGTGGTGCTAAACATAAAGAATTTTCATTAATATCAAATGATTCTATTTGATAAAGTACAGATGAAAATGAAGTAAAACAATTTCCATTTAATTTAATTGTTTTCAAATTTTTTAATTGTTTCAATCGATTATTTTCTAAAGCCGTAATAAGATTAAAACTCATATCTAAATATTCAAGTTTCGTTAAACTATAAATTGTTTGTGGAATTTCATAAAATATATTATGAGATAAATCAAGTTTTTTAAGATTATATAAATGAATAATATCATCGGATAATTTATCAATATGAATACCATGTTTTTGTGAATAGATCAAACATGATAACTGTTCAAGATATATTATTGCTTCTGGAAATGTAGAAAACTTATTATTAGATAAATCAATAGTTTGTAAATTTATCATATGAACAATTTCATCGGGTATATATTCAATTTGATTATCATTAATATATAATTCTAGAAGTGTTTCACCTAAAAAAATAATTAAAATCATTATATTTAAAGTAAATATATCAGTGAAGACTTACTAATATATTTTTCATTTCCATAATTATCCATCTGGTATAAACAAATTGGAAAGATTTTAAATTTATTTTGATTTAATTTCAAAATTTTTAAACATGTCATTAATTTAAAATCTCGATCAAGTTCATTTAATTGATTATAACTTAAATCTAAATATGTTAATGCTTTTAAAACAGTTAATTCATGTAAATTTTGATTAAAATTATTATGTGATAAATCAAGTATATTTAATGTACGATAAAAATATTTTTCAAGTAAATTTATTGATCTTAAATCTTCTAAATATAAATTATTTAATATTAATTTATTTAATGAACGTAATTGTAAAATAGTTTGAGGAAATTTTCGAAATTGATTAAAAGAAAGATTTAATGATTGTAATTTAATACAACATAAAAATTCATTTGGAATGTATTGAATTTGATTATGATCTAAATCTAATTCTATGATATGTTTTAAATAGATACAATCATTTGAACAAAGCTCAATATTATTATATGATAAACGTAAAATTTCTAATTTGGAAGAACTTGAACATTGTGGAATTGTTTGTAATAAATTTGAACTTAAATCAAGTAATTGTAATGATGTCATATATGATATTAAAGCAAATATATTTGTAAATTGATTTGATTGTAAATATAATTCTTCTAAATAATCAAATGATTTGTTTAAGTTTAAAAGAAAATTATTTGTAAGATTATTTTTTGATAAATCAAGTTTTTTCAATTGAGAAAATTGTGTAAAATAATCTAATGTTATATCTTTTAAATTTGTATTTGATAAAGAAATATCTTGTAAATTTGAACAAGTATATAATAGAATAGGAAATGTTGTTAATGGATTTGAATTAATAGAAAAATATTTTAAATTTTCAAAATTTTTTATTATATCGATTGCTTGAAAATCATTTGAAGATAAATTCAATGTTTCCAAATGAATTAAATGAATAAATGTATTTGGTAATGTCTTTAAATAATTATTATTCAGTATTAAAGTATGTAATTGTTCAAGATAACCGAAATTATCCGGTAAAATTTCAAGGTAATTATTTGAAAGATCAAGTGTATGAAGAAAACGAAGATAATGAATATGTATTGGAAGAGATTTAATATGATTAAAAGATAAATTGATTTTTTGAAGAAATGGATGAATTAATGGACGAGCAATTGGTTTGTTTGACAGATTTATTGATGACTAAATAAAGAAAAAAAAACTCTTTCTCCAGTATCAAAATATGTTCAAATAAATCAAGCTTTGTTGTCCGACATTTTCTCTATAAAATTACGTATTTTGAAGGATCAGTAGGGGACAAAGGCAAAATGTACTAGGTGTCCCGAACATCTGGTAATTTGTCTAGGTGGAATGAAATGCTGAACAGTATGTAAAATATTTTCAAGAAATCCGGTGACGGTATGGATGTGGATGTGTACTATGAGAGAAGAATGACATATACACCCATACCCTCGAGATGCGTTATGTCTCTTTCCCGTCTCTATTCGCTAGCCATTTTCAGTTGATATTACCTTTGTTCGATGAGCAGTAGTTGTTTTTAATTTCTCATCCCAATATGATTGTGTTAATTCATTATCATTTAATGGTTTATATAAAATAAATTCAGCATTATTCAATTCATTATGACTAACATTTAATTCAATTAGATTTATATAATCAGCAACAAATACTGGCATTTGTATAAGATAATTATCAATAAGTGAAATATTACCAATACTTTCAGTATTCGGAATATTCTCAATAACATAAGGCTGTCTTAAACATCGATCAAGATTAAGAAAACTAGTATCATGATTGTCAATATATTTATCCATTTTCAGTACTGAAACTGTTGTCATACCTTGTATTCCTAGTAAATTTTGTTATTCAAATGGCTGAAAAAGAAGTCATATGAATTATTTAGAATTCAATTTGAAGAAACCTTTGTTATTTTTTTGGCGCATTGATTTATTTTTTTCATTAAATTTTCATCAAATAGAAAAAAAATATTATTTCATAATAAGATTGTCGTTTTAAAAGTTTCATATATAAATAGATTTCAATGTAAAAAGTGTGATATTTTCTCATTAATTTTCACAGATCTTACAATTCTATTTTTAATGTGATAAAATGTAAATGAATAAAAAAAGTCATTACGATATCATTTTATACTACCAGAAAAGTCATATATGTTTGTAGAAAATAGGAAAATAAATAATTTTCCAAAGTACTCATCAACAGATGTAAACTCATGTGTAATTATGCTTAGTGTGAAAAATAAGGTGTAGTTCCGTTGTCTAGAGTTTTTTTAATAATATATTTAAATTGCTAATGTTCATTATTCCTTTCATAATAACTCTTTGTATTTTTTCATAATAAATATTTAATCAAAAACTGAAAATAATATGATATATAACTATTTCTTTCAGACTTATTTATAATGGCTAATATGAATGACGTATTCGATTTTTCAACAGTAGTAACAACCCGTCGTGGAGCTATATCATCAACTACATCTATAGAATCGAATGAGTTAATACCGATTATAGAAAAAGATTCAAGAACAATAGAAATACTTTCTTCAGCAGTTAAAAATAATATTCTATTTAGGTAATTTACATGAAATATATTCTTATTTCTATTTTACGTTTTCATTTTAGTCATTTAGATGATATTGAACGTAAACAAATTTTTGATGTTATGTTTCCAGGATTTTATTCATCCGATGAAGTTATTATTCGACAAAATGAACGAGGTGAACATTTTTATATTATTGAAGAAGGTGAAGTCGATGTAAGTATAAATTTTAAATATGACTAATTTTATTTGTATAAGAAAAATTAAGGTTTATATAAATGATGAATTAATGACGAGCTTTGGTGAATGTTCATGTTTTGGTGAATTAGCACTTATTCAAAGTACGCCAAGGACTGTCACAATAAAGGCTAAAACAAATGTTAAACTTTGGTCATTATTTGGTGAAACATATCGAAAAATATTAATGGATATAACAATAAAAAAACGAAATAGTTATAGAGAATTTTTAAATAAAGTTTCAATTTTACGTAAAAAAAATCATATTTCATATAAATTCATATAATTTATTTATAAATATTTAGAAACACTTGATGAATTTGAACGTTTAGTAGTAGCCGATTCACTTGAATCAATACAATATGAAGATGGTGATATTATTGTTAGACAAGGTGATCCAGGCGATGATTTTTTTATTATTGTTGAAGTTAGTAATTTAGATTTATATCAAAAAAGATTAATTTGTTTAAAACAAAAAAATTTCAGGGTACTTGTACTGTACATCAAAAACCATCTGAATCATCAGAATCAATTGAAATTGATACACTTAGTGCAGGTGATTATTTTGGTGAAATCGCACTTTTATGTAATCGTGCACGTGTTGCAACTATCATAGCTAAAGGTTCATTAAAATGTGTTAAAATGAATCGTAAAAGATTTGAACGTATTCTTGGTCCAATACGAGATATACTTCAACGAAATATTCCACAATATAATTCAATAATACCTCTTGATCAATTACAAACAATGATTATCAGTAGTGATCCAAAGAATAAAGAAGAATATTAATGATGTAAAAATTTTAAGCGGATAACTTTAAGTTTATGTCAATGTACAATATATCTTTTGTGTTCAAAAGAGATTTAACATGTGTCTTCATTTCGTTTTGTATTTCAAAATTTAATCAAAGACCTTTTCTTGTTCTTATTTCTTCGCTTTTCTTTTCTCTTTTTCTTCTTCTTCTTTCGATATATAACACCTGTATGAAATATGAGAGAGAGAGAGAGATGATGGATGTTATGACGAAAAGAAAAATGATGATAATTAAATGAATTAGTACTTGTAGTTTTGTTCTTTCGAATAGTATTACAAAATAAAACAATAAATCGATTCATTTACACGCGTTATGCATCTGTCTTTTATATTACTTATCTTGTTTGTTTACCAAATAAAGAGTGAAAATGTAACTGAAGAATATCTATTCAAATGGAATGAAACGTAAAATAGAATTTGATTTTTTTAATGTATATGATTTTTTGTATTTATTGATTTAGGCTATCAACAATTGAAGAAGATTTAGAATTAACAACTCCTTTTTATCAAAGTTTTAATTTAACAAATGATCTTATTCCAGAAATTGATATATCACCACCAGTTCAACGTGTTTTACGTGAAATCTTTCGTACATATGAACCTTACTGTTGGCGTCATTCATATGGTCGTGGTGTAGGTCGTCCTTTACATACATGTCCTGATTATGCACCTGAACAAGATGGTCTTCTTTGTTATCCATTATGTCGTGATGGTTATAATGGTGTTGGTCCTGTATGTTGGGAAAAATGTAATAATATAACATCATTTGGTTTTGCATGTATGGATGTTCGTAAATCTTTACGTTCTTGTCCTTGGTACGATACATGTGGTGTTTTTAAACGTTCATGTTCATCGTGTCCAACAGATTATACAAATCTTGGTTGTTTATGTGGACGATTTTATTTTCGTCATAGTTATGGTCGAGGTGTTGGTTCACCACTTATATGCTCAGACTCTTATGAACAAGATGGTGCTTTATGTTATGATAGATGTGATAATAAATATAATGGTGTTGGTCCTGTTTGTTGGCAACACTGTCCTATAACTCAACCAGTTCCTTGTTTAGCTGGTTGTTCAATATCAAAACAAGATTGTCAATTAGCTGTTATTAATATGATACAATCAGTTGTTGGTGCTTCCGTAACACTTTTAAATGTTTTTATTGGTGTACCATTAGTTGATTTAACAACATTTGATATTCTTGCCAATGCTGCTAAAGGTGATTGGCTATTAGTTGCAAAAGATATGTCAAATTTAGCAAAAAAAATAGCTGATAAAATTTTACCAGAATTAACAAAAAAATTTCTCGATTGGTCATTTAATACAATTTCATCAGCAACAAAAAATGCTAGTGTTATTATAACAGCTACCGCATTTAAAGATCAACAATCTTTAATACCTTTTTTAAAACTTTTTCGATTAGATTCAATTAATGCAGCTTTTAATCATGGAAAATGTGATTTACCAAATAATTTTGATGATATTATTAACTGATTAATTTAATGTAAAAAATAAAATTCTTCTTATTCTTTTTGTTCTTTTTTTGTGAATTATTCAAGCTAAAGGTAAACGATTATATGTACTATCAATTTTTCTTTTTTCGATTAAATCTATTATTTATAGTAAAAGAAAATCTAAGAGCATGACCTTCATTAATCCAAGGATTATTTTAATCTTTTTCTAATAGCATGACAAAATGAAATCTGATGGAATTTAAATTTAATAATAATTTGTTCTTAGATTCCAATAATCACATTGCATTTGTGATTTGAAATAAAAACCTACAAGGCTGAAGCAAAAAAAAGATACTTTGACATAAAATTACTAATTAATGGTATTATTTTGCACTTGAAACAGATAATTAGTCGTCTATTATTATAGAAGTGAATGGCACGTATTAGATAGGCTTGATGGAAATTTTCTATATTTATAGTTGTGATTAAAAGTGCACACTTTCTATTTTTATCATCGAAAAAAAAATAATCAATATTGTTTTCCATGGATCAATTAATACATAAAATACGCACTTTATCTTTGATCTGGTTGAAAGTCACCTAGTCGATAACATTTACTTTTAAATCAAATATATTCTACAAGAAATAATACTTAAAACCAAGCAGCTTAAGACTTGTTGTTGTTGTTTTCTATTAAAATATTGCATACAAAAAAAGTCTAGATTGATAAAATTCAATTAAGAATGGATTATCTATGCATGATTTGTTAGTTTTAAGATTATTATATATAAAAAAATAGATAAGGTTAATTCTACATGAAAACTGTTCAGTCAATCTCGTTTTTTTTAATAATAATCTAATTTATATAGAATATTTTGACCTGATAAATATAGACATATATATATTTACAACCACTTAAAATTGTTTAGAAAAAAAAACAATAACAAAGTGATTCTTAAAAGGTTGTTTGATTTCTTCTTTTCATAAAACCCTTTTATATTCATAACATAATACGAATCATCTCAGATCCAGGTATGGGGAAAATGATAAATGATTGCATAATGTTTTGCAGCTAATGGTTGTCAGGTACATGTTTCGTTTGTCATGAATATGCACTTATATTTTACGTTACTGGTGTTGATTTGTTTATGTATTTTTACAGGTGAAGGATAAAAGGTAAACGAATATATATTCGTTTATTTTATTTTTTTTTCTTTTCTTTAATACTCATCATAAATCACAAAAAGAAAAAAAAAAGAAAAAAGTACACAGAAAAAGTAAGAAATAGTGATTTAATTACATGTACACGCCCATATACCATGCTACTGAAAAGAAAAAGATTTTTTTTCGATGATTTAAGAATTTTTGGGCACTATGAAAAAGGATGAAAAAGATGGATTACATCCAAGATATAGAAGAACTGTTCTACTAAACCGAAAGAATCAAAAACATGAACATTTTTCGAAAAAACATAAGAGACATGCTATCACAAAGGACAGTGACAATAATAAAGAATAAGAAAATATGAATAACAAAACCATAGACGACGACGACGACATGAATTAATGTTTCATTTATCTGCTCGCATGCATGAAAAAATGAAGTTTCTATTTAAAAAGCGCTGCATAAGAGTGCAAATTCACTCTTATCTAATAGTCCATCACCATTTTTATCCGCCACACTTATCATTTCTTCAATATCTTGTTTAGATAATTTTTCTCCAGTTAAACGTTTCATTACTTTACGTAATTCTTTTGGTTCAATAAAACCATTTTTATCAAGATCATAACAATTAAATAATGTCTCGACATCAAGTTGCATTTTTGTTGTATAAGAAGAATTAGATTCAAGTGAAAATGATGTATTATTATTGAATGGTGTTGTTGGTAATGATTTTGCAGTTGGAGTTTGTAAAGCTAATTTTGATTCCAAAAATTCAACAAATTCATCATGACCTAATGAACGTCCATTACCATTACGATTAGCTTCAGCAAACATTTGCTTTATAAATCGTTTATCAACTGTTTTATAACCCAAATCATGCATAACTGATTTAAATTCTTTAATACTTAATTTGCCATCACCATTTTTATCGAAATAAGCAAATGCTTTTCGTGGATCAAGTTGTGATGTTGTTCGTGAATTCATTGATGATGCTGTTAATGGATTTGATGATGATAGTTGATTGTAATAATTATTTGTTGAACGTACATCACTATTGATTAAATTTGGAGATGTTGTCGATGGTGTTGATGATGTAAATCGACTACGATTTAATTGTGGTGATGGAGATTCAGGTATATGTGGAAGATCTTCAATAACACCATGAACAGCTGATGCAAGTGCAGGTACAATTTGACACTTGGCTAACATATTAACATATATATGTATTGACAATATTCAAATCAAATCGATATTTATATTAGCAATCTGAAATAAAAATTGAAATTAATATTAAACGAATCGATACAGATGAGAAGAAAAAAAACAAAATGAGAAAACAAAATGTTTTTTTACATTTGATATAGTCTGTACGTGCCAATTACACGGCATATCATCAGTATGATACCACGTAATAATGAGTTAGCTATGCTGACAAAAACATGCGAATCTTTTTTTTTCTTCTCTCTCCTTTCTTTACAAAAGACTGTAACAGCTGGTCAGACTAGTAACTATGCATGAATATATATGGATCCCTGGATATCATAAAAATTTTCTTTATCGGCGATAAACATAAACGTTAAAAGACAAAGTGGAATCTATTTGTCGTACGTCATCAATAGACATCCTCTCTCTCTGTTACCAATGATTAAGAGAAAATGATACATATTATTATATATATATGAAAAGAAAAATAGAAAAGAAAAAAAATTATATCGAAAAGTTTGATATATGATTTAGTCATTTAGAACAATACGATAAATTAAGAATGGATAAAAAGGACCATAAATATCATTCAACTCAACTATCCCGCAAAAGCCACTCTCATATAATTACACACGTTAATTTACCTTGACATGAGGTTGAAAAAATATGAAAAATAAAGAATAGTATATTCTATTCGTGCACGTCATATTACCATCGTTTATTAGTATTATGCATGATCGACGACAAGAACATTCATCTATTTTTTTTCTTCTCTTCTTCGCTTTCTCTATAAATTACTATTATAGAATCGATTATTTTTGCTTCCTATTTATTATGAAGATATCTATATAAATAAAAACAAACATTAAACAAAAACATAGACAAATTTGTAAACTCTTCGGTTTGATTAAATAAGTACTTACAGTATGAACGTGTACGAAGAGGTCGTTTGATCGAGTTCACAATCGTTTCTACTGAATAGTATAGGGATAGTAATGAAAAAAGAAAAAAGACGACGATGATGATGATGATGTATCAACGAATGACCGGTAAAGAAAAAGAAGACGAAGAGAGCAGGCAGAGCAAGATAACATGACGGACGGTTCAAGAGAAGCAAAATCAACGTCACTGTTTTTCTCCTTCCATTCTTCGTACTTTTTTTCTTCTTCTTCTTGTTCATTCTAGTTGTCGCTAGTGCAATACGAAAACAAGGAGTCATCATCGCACTATATTAGACATGAATACATATAAAAGATAGTCAAAAAATAGCTGATTAAAAGTGATTAATAGATTTTCGAAAATAACATTTTTTTTTCTTTCCCATATTAATATTTTTAATGCAAACAAGTCTATACTTTACTCATGGGATCTTTATTCATTTATTATTATTATTTTCTTCCTTTTTTTATACTATAAAATATTACTGTTAGATGTCACATCAGAGAATCTTTTAACATATTAAAAAAGAACTATTTATTAATGAATAGTTTCTTATTAGAAAAAAAAAATATACAAAAATAAATCCACAAAATATTTATAATAATCTATTTCTTAATAATTAAATAAAAATACTTAAATTAATTCACTTATCAATTTATCCGACAACTTCCTGTTTAAACTTATATTATACTTATAATGTCAATCAACTAAGATGCATCACACTTGTCGTGTCAATTTTTATTTTCTACTCCTACTTCTATCAACGCACAAGAATTGTACTCATAATATTATTATATATATTTATAATAGAAAATTTTCTTCCGCTATGATATACTTCCGTTATTTATATATATTCTTAACTATAAAATCAAGTTTGTTCTTAAACCCTTCAAGATAGTTTTTTATTAGTTCATAATTGAGTTTGTTATTTTTATCTGGTAACTGTTTGGAAGAATTAAATGAATATTTATTGATTATTTCGAATATAAATAAACACGAAACATTTTCTATTTATATCCTTACCTTATTCTCAAGTGCACTTTTTTGTCTTCATTTCTATTAGTTTAGTAATATATATAAAAGTTCGAACTCTAATCATTTATTTACTGTGTATGTAGTTGTATGTCTACAGTTGTTCTTATTGCGGTATGTGAGAAGAAGAAGAAGAAAAAGAAGAAAAGAAGAGCAAACTAAACGATGAAGAAAAAAAAAGACAGAACAAGAATAGGATGCACGAGTTTCATATACACACACACACATGCCTACAAAAAAAGAAACAATAATGATTCTTTACTCTTTTTTTTTATCTATATATGCTTCGAAAGCATCCTCGGAACGGATGACACGCAAGTAAGGAGAAGAATAACGAGAAAAGAAAACGTGCTACGACTGGGGAACATCACTACTGAATGATAATCGAATCTTTTTGACATTGACCTGTGTAAGACTACACATCATCAAATGAATAGAATTAGTTTTCTATCTTGAACATTTTTGATATAAAATATGAACGTCATGAATGCATGTTGTTTTTCTATATATTTCTCTTGATAGAATCTTAAAAGCACTTGGCATTTTTAGGCCTGGATCTTTATCTTCTCGAACAAGTGGTCGGAAATAAAAAAAGAAGGGTAGCAAGAGTAACGAGAAGCAGCACTACCGATCGATTGATTACTGTCGTTCAATTTTCAGTCTTGACTATATACATTGCGCCGATCGATTGATTGCCCGACGGCAAATGGTTCAACAATCAGTTTAATAATGCATATATACATACCAGAAGAAGAAGACGTTTTCCTTTAAATTGATGATTGCTTTCCTATATAGTAGTCATCTCGACTTCTATGTCAACTAGAGTAACATACATGATAAGCTCGTCTAGTGAAGACCGGAAATGAAAAATAAGAAAACAACTTTCATTTATTGAAATATTCATTGTCTGAACGATAAATCTAGTCTAATCAATCAAAACAAAAGAAAAACTATTATAGAAATATGTTCGAAAGTAAACTACGTGTATACAATGTAAAGAAAAAGAAGTCTAATATAATTTGATCTTATGAAAAGAACTTTCTAAGCGTAAATAAATCGTATGACATTATTAGAAAACTATCTTTATAAAAGCTTAAAACGGAAATAAGGACGATCTGCTTTATGTATTCTTTTCTATGCTTGTCAATTTATCCTTCCTAAAGTATTTTTTTTTTCGCTTAAGAAAAAAAGAAAATTGTTTCATATATTGATCAAGAGGAGAATATTCTTTTGCGTAAGAGAGATAACAATAAAGGAAAAAAAAGAAATCAGTCAATAGATAACTTATGTAATCATAGTAAAATGCTAGTTGGCATTGACGAACAATGTCATCAACACGTATTGACGTCATAGACATTTTTCTTTCTAGTTCTATGTATTGTTCATAGAACTATCGACGTCATGATAATCCTTGACAATTTATTTTTCTCATATTTTTTATCAGCTACTTATATAAAGCTTGATATTCTTATGGAGTATTATGAATATACATACTATAGAAGTCATATTAATAATGACAAATACAGACGATCTCGATAATTAGTGATGAAGGATAGCTATTGAGAATATAAATGAACCAGTTTTTAGCCTATTCATCAAAATCTATCAATGACTTATTATTTTGACTAATTACAATCTGAAAATATTCATTAATCTATCGCTTCAGGAAGAACTACTATATTACGCATTTCTTACATGAACTATTAAGTACAAAAAACTTCTTATTGACACTTTAAGAATGTAATTATAGAAAAACATTTATATGAGTTTTGTGATTCACTACATCAATAAGATTAAAAATAAATATCTACATAATAAGATTTAATCTCGATATAAATTTATTCGACAATATGACTACATCAAAAATCTTCTACACTCGAATAGCAATGAAATAAAATGTGTTATATCAGTCATTAATATTTGAGAATAATGATAGTAGACAAGGTAAATAGCCCATAATATAAATAATATCTTATTCTCTTTCTCTCCCTGCTTTTACAAAGATATCACCTAGAATTTTATTTTTAAAAGCCAACAGTATTAACAAATAAAAAAATTTCTCACTTCTACTTCCTTAATTAAGCATGCTGTTTATTAACAGAGAAAAAAACAAACTAAATGAACATTTCTATAATTATCTTTGTCATAACATCAAATGAGATAAATATATCTAAAAATAATTTTTTTCACTTACTAAAAAACATCATAACGGTATATAATCGTCATTAATATTCATTATTTTCAAAGATCGGAAGAAAAATATCTAATTACAAGAAAAATTTCAAACATGTAATATGATCTCGATCATATCATACCATGATTATATAAATCCAATATCTTTGATACAAAAGAAAAGAAAAAGAATTAATATAATTCTCACATGACACGAGAATTTATTTTACGAAAATAACAAAAAAGTACATGACATTCGAAATATATAGAAAATGTAAAATATCCTTTTGCTCATGCATTTTTATTGCCTGGATTATAAAAAGTTTTCTTTTTCTTTTCTCGCCATTTTTTTTTCTAATGACAACAAGCAAAAAACACAGACATAAACATACACATCCAGTGAATGACGTATATATAAATCAATTATAGGCGAAAAAAAGAAAGAAATGGCATGAAAACTAACAAAGAAATGAATATTTGTCTCCAAAAATAAATCCATGATTGTATAAATATATATATGACTTCCTGTCTGTATGTGTGTATGTGGTTCACACTAAATCTTCAACTCATTTATATAAAAAATGGATTTCGCTTAATCGACATAATTTGATATATATTCTTTGATTGTGAATGTTATAAATGACACATGACAAAATTTAATCACATTATGTGATTCTTGTTTTATTCTTATTTTGTTAATCATACGTATTATATATATATATTTATATTTATATAGAAAAGAAAAAAGACGTAAACATATTTATTTAAGCCGATAATATTTATTTAATTATATGTTGATGACTCTCGATTTAATTTTTGAACGCGATTTAGTAATAAATCACCTTTTTGAATCTGGTCGTGCTGTTTTAATAATTCCGAGTACTTTATCAATTTCCACGAGCAATAAAACGTGATAATTCTTTATCAAGAAATATTTCTGAAGAACCAAATGCTTGTGCCATACCTTTAAGTGTCAATGATGAATATGATTGCAATAATTCTGCATGTAGTACTAAATATCGATCTTTACTAAGTAAATTGTCTTCAATTGTTGCTTAACAACGCAAAAAATCTGCATAACGATATTTATAAAGTGAATATAGATAGTCTTTAATTAATGGAAGACCATGAAGTATTTCAAGAATTTCACTACCGCGAATAACTAAAATAGAAAATAATAAGAAAATTTTATAAATAACACCGGAAATTAGGAACGCGAGCAGACATTTCTACTTCAATTTGTCATTGAAGTTTTATCTGTAAAAACAGGAAGAAATTTGAATAGAGAATTAGCTTATTTTCTTTTCTCAGCACCCATTCAAGATAATTATACGCGAAGAGTCAGAGAATTTTTAATTAAGACAAATTATTTATTCAAGAAAATCTACTGTATATATTAAAAAAATATTAAATACCTTTTTCACGAAATTTCGGTCGTTCAAGTGCAACTAACAAATGTTTGATAATCTATTAATTCATATGATGTAAATGTTACAACTGTATCAAAAAATAATTCTGTTGCTGATTTAAAATCTCGAATAGACATTGCACGTAAACCTTGATAAACTTTTACCTTTATCTAAATTTCTTTCAATTAAATCTTGATCCAAACCTAAACGTAATTGACAAAAAATTACATTAAGACGATGTCCTAATGTAGCTGTTTTATCATCATGTTAAAGCTTGTTCACGATCACCAATTGTATATGAATATTGTGCTTTAGCTAAATAACTTTCACATATTTCACTTTCACAAAAAGTTTGTTGTTTCTTCATTTATTTTAATTTCATTTAAAAGTTTTTCTTTTACTGAAAATCATTCGGATTAATAGTTAATTAAAAGCTTAATTGTGCTAAATAAAGATTTGGTACTTTAGGAAGACTTTCCTCAGATAAGTCTTCAACAGGCGTTATCTACAAATAAAAACAATAAATAAATGCTCAAAGACATGCATATGTATTATCTTTTTTTTATAACAAAGAAAACAAAAAAAAACGTAACAATTATTATCTGAATGAATATTTTAAGATCGTATATGTTGTCCGTAAAAACGATGATCAAAATCAGCTTCATCATAACCTCTCGGTATATGATTAGCTGGTACTTGATCTTCATAATAGCAATCATCTGAATCAGTTGTATGACAATCAGATGATGTATCGGTTAATTCCTGTTGATTTTTTTCTTCTTCATCAAGAATAGTTAATGGATCTGTTTGTAGTTGTGGTTGTTGATGATCATCATCAATATCATCAATAATAAACTTTTCATCATCATCATTATTATTATTATTATTTATTTTTAATTTACGTTTATCTTCACGTATCTGATCCCATTGACGATTAACAGTTCGACGTCGTTTTTCTGTATCGGATTCATCATCCGAACCATAATCAATAGTAAAAAATTCTGGTCGTGGTTCAACTGGTTGATTTGTTAATGTTGACCACGTAACACCTTCTTTTGCTTTACGTATTGTTACTAATATATTTGAACGACGTACTTGAAATAAACTTTTTTCTGGCACAATTTCATGTGCTAAATATATTCGAACAAAACGATCATATGTTCGAATTCTAGTTCGACAATAAATTGAATTTAATTCAAATTCAACACGTGTTTGAGTTGAATCAACATTATAAAAACCAATTGTTAAATAAATATCTCGAGATGTTTGTTCCCAAAAAAGACGTGTTTTACGTTGAGTTTGTTTATAATTAATTTGTTCTTGAGTTAATGGACCACGTTCACCAACGAATGGTTCATAACGACTCATATTTGGTGGAAGTACACTTTGTTCATTTGTTTCATTATTTTCATCGTTATTATTATTATTATTATTATCTTGATTATTTGGTCTTGAATTTTGATTACGCATATGACGATTACGATTTCGTTGTACAGGAAAATCTGATTGCCGACGTTGTTCATCTTCCATATCTTTTATTTGGCGAAGTTGAGAAAATAATTTTGGACCAAAAATAAACATCATTTGATCATTATCATCAATATTTTCTTGTTTTATTTCAGTTGGAAGCGTTGGTAGTGGAATTGATGATTCTATATTAGGAATTGTATCAGTAGTATCCTTTGAAGAAAAAAAATATCAAGGTATTATTTATTTTTAACTTCGAAATTAAAATAAAGTATGAACTGTTACTTTACTTTATATAAGTTCGCTATACTTGAATGGATAGTTTTAATTGTAAAACCTTTTCTATGAGATAAAAATCTATACAAAGACCAAATGTCATGCAGACTGAAATTTATGATATATTCTTTGTGTGAAATTTTGCATTGTATTTACTCAATTAGATTTTGTTGAAACTGTACTAACACTAGAAGTTTGAATAAATAAATCTGGTGTTCATCAACAGTTGAACATTAATATATCCCAAGAAGAAAACGAATAAAAATCATATGAAAAGATTTTTTCGTCAAATATTTTGGGAAAAATTTATATTTTTTGTTAATTAATAAATTACCTGATATATTTCATTATCATCGTCTTCATGTTCCAATTGTACATTTTTGGTTTGAATTTCTGTCATTTTACTAGGTCCAATTTCTGATGGTGTCGTTACAGATGATGCAATTTTTTCACTTGATAATTGTTGAGTATTTCCTAGAGTTTGAAATGGTGAATGTTCTTTTGAATGATGAAAACTGGGAGGAGGAGCATTTGATATAGATGATGATTCAATGTTAATTTTATATCCACGACCAAGTGGAAGATATCGATCACTATTATTATTATTATTATTATTATTTGTTTTTACAGTTGATGTATCTTCATTTAATGATGAACATTCTTTAGATAATATTTCATGATTTTCAGATGAAGAAATTGGTTTAACAAAATCTGAATATGTTTGTTGATTATGTTTAGAAAAGAATTGTTTTGATCGACCTACAGGATTAATAATAAGTTGTCCAATTCGATTAAGAAATGGTTTAAATTCAGGTGAAAAATCTTCATTTGTTTCTTCTTTTGATATTTGTTGTTGTACATCTGATTTGATTATTGAATCAGATTGTTGTTCTTTTATTTCTTCTTGTTTATCTAATTCTTTTGTTGATTCAATTTGTTCTTTTATTTCTTCTTGATTAAATGTCGACGATTCATTAAGTTTAGCTTCAAAAGCTAAACGTTCAAGTATATTCATATGATTATCATTTGATTGAACAAGTTTAGATAGAATTAATTGTTTTCGTATTGGTTTATCATATGCAATACGTTTAAGTGCAGTTAAACGAACTGGTTTAACAAGTGGATCTATCCAAAAACAAGAACGTGTTGCTAATTTAATTCGACCCATAAAAACTTCATTTAATGTAAGTGAACGAAGTGTTTCAATTGCAAATGATGTAAATGTCATTGTTATCTTATCTAATGGATAAACATTACATAAAATAATTTCAGTTGCTAATGGAGGATATTGTTTTAATGAAGATGGTTCAATTGCATAGAGATTTTCATTAGATTTTAATGTAAATGTTATGCCAGTATCGAGACTAAACACAGTTAATGTTGGACGATCGGCTGTAGCAAGAGATGAACTAGAAATAAAAAGAAATAAACTGTTATATAATCTATGTTACAGTAGAAACTGAATCTTGAGGGTGTGGGTGGGCGTGGGTATGGGAGTGAATGTGGATGTAGGTTTGAATCTTGTTCAATTATGCCCACACCCACACCCTTGCTTATTATCGATCTTCATTTCATTTCACATCTACATCAGTAGATAAGAAGAGAACATTAGATCTTGTGATATATCGTCAGGGTTGTTGCGAACCGAATGAAGGGTGATCCGCTTCCGCACCCAGTTGTAAAAAGTTCGTGACAACGCTGTGCTTCACAATTATCTCCCTGAAGCTCAGATACTATACTCATCAGCAGTATTTTATCTAGGTTTTTCCTTTCGAGAGTGCGATAGCGATTTCTGACAGGGCAAAAACCTAATTTCTGGAGGAAAAATACATAGTATAAGCACAAAAATTGCAGTTTTCGGGAGGACAGAATCGTTCTTCGGGAGGGCACCGCCATCTCTGCCCTTCCTCTAGATAAATCACTGCTTATCAGAGTCGGATTCAACGAATACTCAAGCAAAACTTTTAGACTGAAATTACTTTTGTTCATTGTTTGTTGATATTTGTTTATCGATTTCTTGATCATCCATTGCTGTTGCCATTGTATTTGATACTTTTAAAAGTCGATTTAAAATCGAATCAGCTCTTCTTATATTAAAATATGTTTGTTCTTGTTCATATACATAAACACGATGTATTTTATTATATTCATCTTCATATAAATAAATTTCACCAAATACAATTTCTTTTAATGGATGATTTTTAACATGATTAAATGCATCTTGTATTTGTTGAAAAAATAAATCATAATCAAATATTTTTATTAATGTTTGATTAATATCATTTCTTGAACGTAATATATTTGCCCATAAACGATTTCCATTACTAATATGTGTTATACGTAATTCAACTTCACCTTGATTTGGTAAATATAATTCAAAATTATTTGATAGAAAATTTTCATTATTAACACTATTTTCAATCGATTTTTGTTCAATATAATCAACATCATAATGAAAATGATGTCTATATGGACAACGTTTTAATTTTTTTTCATATGAACATTCTCCAAACATTTTTAATGTTGGACAAAATTCAACATTAATTTTTGCTAGTAATGATTCATGACAATTATTTTTAGCTAAACGTTCAATTAATGGATGTAAATATGAATTAGAATTATTTATATAATCTATTAAATCATAGGTTACTTGTGCACAATCACCTGGCCAAAGAATAACTATCAATGGAATATTTAATGATGAATTTGCTTGATAAAAATTCTCAAATGATTTTAATGATGTTAAATTCATTTTTTTAATATCATTAAAAATTTTTTCATTTAATAAATGTTTATGCATAAGTTTCATACGTTGATTAAATAATTGATACCATATGAGACGTTGAACATCAAGATGAATAAGTATATCAGTACTATCAATAGGAATATCATTTAATATATCATCTTGTATTAATAATACTAATGGACGATCATTTATTGTTTGCCATTCATTGATATATTGTTGAATTTCATCATGACTTAATTGTGAATGTATAAGAATTGATTGAATTGATAAATCATTCAGTATACTTTGCATTGTTGCTAAACGACGTGTTTGATAAGCACACATAAGAACTTTTTTTTGACAATGATGTGCTAAATCTAATGTTTCTTTTATAATATATTTACGTTCTGACCAATTTCGACATGGTTCACAATAGATAAAACAATTTTTATATGATGAAGTTTCCATCATTGATGTTGATAGGTAATAATAATTTTCTTTTGATGAAAAATTTTTGAATATAAAATCTTTTGTTTGCTGATTAACAATACGAGAAAGAAAAAAATGTTGAGGTGATTTTGTTTTAGTTGTATGTAATTGAAGAAGGTTTAAAATTTCATCAATTGGTTCAATAGTTTGAAGAAGAAGATCAAGTTGATCATACTAAAAAACAGAAGGAACAATTTATTTAGTTGATTAAATATTTTTGTAATGAAGATACTCAAACGAATAAAGTGTTTAGATATAGTTGGTCAGAGAAGTCTGTCTTGTTACAGAAAGTGAATGTGATTAAAAGATGAGGTGTACTCTGTTCTTCACTTATATCTTTGAATTAAACGAGATTTTTTTAGGAAGTCGATGCTTCAAGTATTGAAAAAGTACTTTAAGGTTTAGTACAAATCAATAGATAAAGATCTATTAAGGAATCAGACTGTTTTGAATCTAAGTCAAACAGTTTGATTACAAAAGAAGTAGTTCTTCATGTACCGATATCGCTCTAATGAATTTAACTCTGACCATTAATAAAGAAAAGTTCCAAATCTTCTTTTTATTTTCTGAAAACCTTCGAATAATATATAAAGTCATATTGTACTGGAAGAACTAAATGAATATTAGATTTTTTTTCTCATGTAGATAAAAAAGGAGAACACGAATACCTCACACTCTCAAGATAATGTCTTATTATTTAATCTTAGCTAATTACGATATATTTCATTGATTTCAACTATTATTATAGTACACAACAGACGTTTTCATCTATATGAACAAAAATGTCCTGATCAATGTATCCTTTGGATATCCGATTCAAGCGAGCAACTAGTTTATTAATTTATTGACATAGTTTCTAATCAAATATAAAACCAGCAATACTTACAACAATCATTTGTAATTGTTCAAAATGTATATGACGTTTCTGTATTAAATCATTGACAATCGTTGGTGTAGCAATCAAAAGATCACATCCTTGTGTTAATAATTTTCTATATAATTCATTTTCAATATTTTGTCCTTCATAAATACAACACATATTCACTTTTTTTAATACATCTGTATTTACATTAGATAAATGTTTATATGTATTTTCACAAGTTGCCCAATCAGGTGTAAGTATTAATACTTTCGGATAAACTATATCGGAATTAATTGATGGATGAAGATTATTTATACGATAGAATATATCCCAAATTAATAAATCATATTTTAATACAAATTTAACTGGTGTTGTTTCTCGTGTTGTTGGATGATCGACAGCCCAAACATGAGCACCATGATGTATTAATGGCCATAGATAAGATACTAATGGTGATAAATAATCAATTTGAATTGATTGAATAGGATTTATATTCGCATTACAATATAAAGCACTAGATTATGATATAGAGAAATATTTCCTAATAAATTAATAATATAGAAACATACCAAACATCTGGATGAAATTGTGCATCCGAAATAGTAAGCCATGGTTGAAAATTTGTATCAAGTTTTTCCGAATTTAAAAGACATAAAGAACGTTCATATAGTTTTGATAATATCATTTTTATTTTATTTATTTTTATTTCTCAAAATGAAATAAATCTTATGCGTAAAAAAATCAACGAACAAGAAAAAGAATATCTTTAATTCATTTATATTATTTTTAAAAATAAGTTTAACGGATAATTTAGTACAGTAGCCTCCTCCTCCTTTTTTTTATAACCCAATCGATTGTACTAAAGACGTATCGAACTACTGACATCTATTTCATAAAATTTTTGTGGAATAAAATATAACGAATAGATGCTAAATTGATATATATCATTATTATTAATACATTTGGTTCCTTATCGCATTTACGTTTTTACAAGAAGTAAGGCATGAGTATATCTAATACAAATGGAACAAAATCTGAGCAGGAAGTTCGGGTATGGATGGATGGATGGTAAGTAATAAGATTAAGTTTCATAGTCTTGCATCAATTGCGATGTTTGATTTTTATGTACATAGAACAGTTTGGAGGCATTACTAATTACTATCAGGATTTTGAAAGAAGAGGCGTGCGAGTCGGAGTGTCATTTTATTTTATAAAGAATAAAGTAACGAAAATCTTTATCTTTATTTTGTAAAGAATAAAAAAAATATATTTTCAAGTGATCGGTAAATAGATAAATAATTGATATAAAATCAGGTAATATTGATCGCAGTTTTTTTCCTTTCACCAGCCACATTCTAATATGGAGTAATGCTAGCAAATGAATGTAAGGCTAAAAGATTTATGGAAAAAAACTTTTCTCCAGAATCTTTTTTAGCCTGTATCCTTATAATATGTGGCGATCTACCTGGAAAAGATAAACTTTTAGATTTTCGAGAAAAAAAAATGTCTTTACTCTTTATCTTTATTTCTTAAGTAAAGATAAAATAATATTCGTACGTGAAAGAAAAGCATATCACTTCAAAACGTAAAGTTATAAAGATCTGCGGTTTTCATCATTCAATAGAAAATAGTCGGGGGCACATACTTGTACGTGAAGATTAGTTTTACAAAGTATCATAGATAGTCAGTTTAAAAAGTGATTTTATATGTTAAAATTCGAAAACTTTGTTATTTTTTCTGTAGACGTACCTAGTGACATGTACTTAAGAAAATAATACATGAAAATGTTTTTCATGTATAAACATATGTCCCCAACTGTCGCCTATTGAAGACTAAAAACCAGACGTCGTAATGACCTGCCATACGCGTACTTTAAAAACTCCGATAGTAATTATGAAGAATTTAGCAAGATACATAAAGTTTATTAATTTTTTTGGAAAATCAATTCAATTTTTGATAATCATTCATTGTAGTGATTCGAATGAATAATTATGACCAAAAAAAGAGTGCGTAATTTCGTTTATTGATATAATGTCTCAAGAATGATTCATTCAAGGTAATTTGATTTTGAAAACTTAATACAAGATGAAACCCTATAATCACGTCTTATTCACCTTCAAACATTACAGAATTTCTATACACTGACAATACTGTATTATGATTCAGTAAAAATAGCAAGATTATTTTTATCTTTTTTATTGTCTGCATGAAACATTTTCTCATATCCTCTTACTAATCTTAAAATCAACATCAAGCGTTTGCTCTACTTATCAGACTATACAATGTTGTCTAATAATTAAAAGAATGGCAACTATTATTTTAGCTATGACATGGTTCATTTTGGTCATGCCAATGCTTGTCGACAAGCTAAACAGATGGGTACTTATTTAGTAGTTGGTGTTCATTCTGATGGTTCGTAATGAATCACTTGTAAATCATTTATTAATTATTTTTATTCCTTTTTTTTACAGCGGAAATAACTAAACATAAAGGACCACCAGTATTTTCCGAACAAGAACGGTATAAAATGGTTCGTGCGATAAAATGGGTTGACGAAGTAGTTGAAGATGCACCATATGTAACAGCACTTGAAACATTAGAAAAATATAATTGCCAATTTTGTGTACATGGCGATGATATTACTGTAAAATTGCAATTCTGTTCTATTTTTAAAATACTAAATATCCTGTTCAATAGGTTACGGCAGATGGCGTAGATACGTATCATATTGTAAAAGCTGCTGGTCGATATCGAGAATGTAAACGAACACAAGGTGTATCAACAACAGATCTTGTTGGAAGGTTCGTCTTAATTAATTTCTTTGTTTAATATTATTTGATTTTGATATATTTAGAATGTTATTAGTAACAAAATCTCATCATGAACCAGATGATATGTTACCTGATCGAGAGAATACACTTCGAATGAGCTTATGTAAAGAAAGTGTTAGTCCATGGACTGGTGCTTCACAATTTCTTGCAACAACTAATAAAATTATACAATTTTCTAATGGTCGTGAACCTGAGGTAGATCAAGATTTGTATTAAATAATATATAAAGTAATTGACAGTGGTATCGAGATTTGACATATGAAAAAAAAAGATAATTTTGTTTAGATAAAATATTTCTTTACAAATAGGAAGAATTAATGTTGACAGTGTTAAGCATAGTTATGATTTATACTGAACTTTCTTAAAGTAATTAGTCTATTTGAAATACGAAAGCTAAACAAATAAATTCCTCAAAGATGCTTACTCTTTCTCTTGCTTCGGAAATATATAGACGCAAGTCTCTTCTGCTTTGATGATTATTGTTAAATCGAAATGTCAAGATTTATATGTATATGAAAATATTATCTATTTTTAGCCTACTGATAAAGTTGTTTATACTGCTGGTGCTTTTGATTTATTTCATGTTGGTCATGTTGATTTTCTTGAAAAAGCGAAAGCATGTGGTGATTATCTTATTGTTGGTTTACATTCGGATCGTGTAATTAGTCGAATATAATCAAATAGAATAATAAAATCTTGTTTTCTTTATAGCTTGTTAATCGATATAAAGGAAGTAATCATCCAATAATGAATCTTCATGAACGTGTATTAAGTGTTTTAGCTTGCCGCGTAAGATTATATTTACATATATAAATTAATATTGAATTTTTATTAGTATGTTGATGAGGTTGTTATTGGTGCACCTTATTCAGTTACAATGGAATTAATTAATCATTTTAAAGTTTGTATTTAAATACAATAAATTATTAAATTTTATTTTCTCAAAATAGGTATCTCGTGTTATTCATGGTCGAACAACATATGATTCTGATATTGATGGACAGAATCCATACGAAGTACCTCAAGCTCTTAAGATATTTGAACAAATTGATAGTGGAAATCCTATGTCAACACAAGATATAATAACACGAATTATTGATAATCGGTTTGTTATTTTTATTTGAAATAGAAAATAAGAAAATGTTGTTGATTTTATAGATTAGAATATGAAAAGCGTAATAAGAAAAAAGAAGCAAAAGAAGCTGCTGCATATGCAACATTTCAAAAATTAAAAGCTGAAAATCTCAACGAATCAACAGCTGTAAATGTTGGTCAACAAAAATGAATGACTTCCATTTCTTTTATCTTTTCTGTTTGCTTTCTACTGATTTTGTGAGTAGACTTATCAAAAAATATATTTGATATGTCATTGATTTTGCATGTGTACCGGTTTTTTTCGTCTAAGTTTTGGTGCATGTATTTGTTAACATCATTTTGATAATTGTTCAATGATACGGATAATATGAATCATTTTTTATTTATTTTATCAGCAGTAGTTAACGGATAAAGAAAAAAAAGATGGGTTGTGGGATAATTCTAATAAAGAAATGAATGATTTAATAATATCTGTTGATATACTTGCAGTGATTTATCTAAAGGGAGAGCAGAGATGGCATTGCCCTCCCGGAAATCGCTATTACACTCTCGAAAGAAAAAACCTGGATAAAACACTGTTATACTTGTGTAGAAATAGAATAACTCTGAAAGTTCAATCAGATCTGATAAGTGATGAAGATAAGATTTCCGATAATAAAAAAATAGATCATTCATTTCGACTGCAGTTTCATCTCGCTTTCATTATATGAATATTATGGATAAATCAAGTATACTGCATACTCTCTATCTCTTTTCCTACAACATTGGTAGTATATTAAAATATCGTGATTAATGTTTATTATGCATTAATTTCGTTACAATCTTTTCATTCCCATATCATCATCATCATCACTTTGATAAATAATTTTATGAATTACGTATATTAATTATGGTGAAGGCTGGTAATTTCATACTATTAAGAAAATAGTATTCATATGTAATGATAGATAATTCATAAATTGATATAAATAATATTCATGTAACTACAAGTAATTTGATATATTTTCTGTTTTTCTAAATATAAAAAACAACACAGTCATTGAGTTTGAAACATAAGAAAGTATATCTTTTATTGAGTAACTGAAAAAAAAAATATGAGAATTCATCGTCGCGATCGTAATTATTGGAAATCAATATTAGGCATTTTAGAAATGCTAACGATGGTAAAAATTAATTTAATTTTTTTACTGTAAAACATACAACTTTTTAAAAATATTTGTTTTTATTGATATGTCTTTTGGGTGGTATGATATGTGCATTAATCTCATCTACTGGTTGGGCACAGCAAGCTGATTGGATTTCACAACTTTGTCAAGGATATGCACCAAATGAAAATATAACAACATCAATTAACTGTAGTCAAAATTCAACAATAAATTCTTACAGATTACTATCAACAAATACAGTTAAAATAGCAGCAATATCTAGTTGTATTCTTTGTCTTGTTATTATACTAATTATTTATTTAATTCATGTATTTACTGGATTACGTAAACGAAGAAAATGGAAAATGATTACTAGAATAGTATGTATAATGTAAATAATTTATAGATTATGTTTACAAAGAAATTGACTTAACTATGAAACAAAGCAAAATTGAAATTTTAGTAGGAAGACTGTAGATACGGATCAACTTGGTATTTTTCTGAATCTCCCAGAGTTTTATTCATAGTTAATAGTAATAATGAATATTTCTTCTTTTATCTAGATTGCCATTATTTTCATCGTTTTATGTCTTCTTATATTTGCTATATCCATAGCTGCAGTTTACTGGGAATTAAAATTAATAACAATATTTGGTATACAATATACATCTAATGCTTATCAATTAACACCAAATGGTTACTGTAAAGCACAAACAGGTTTAGCTGGTGCAACTGCCGTAAATATTTCTTCTTTAAATCTCTTTTACTCACTAATTATCATGTAGGGATTTGGTATTTTATCTGGATCGTTTTTACTGATTGATATTATATGTCGTTTATTAACTATTGGATCATTACGAAAACAAGATCGAAGACGAAAAAAGCGTATTAGTGTTATATCTTAGATAAATTTAATATTATTATTATCATCATCATTATTTCACTTTTTTTTTTCATATACATTTATAGAAGAAAAAGAAAAGTCTATAAATTGTTCATGAAATAAATCTTTTTTTAAATTTCTTAAGCTGTTGATTTTGGAAATTTCCAACGGAAAATACTTCCATCAGCACTGACAGATATAATATGTTGAGTATTTGGACATATTTTAACTTTTTTCACTTCACTTCCATGACCAATACCAACACTTATGACGTCACCTTCATTATAACGCCATAACTAAATCATAGAAAATAATTTTTTCTCTTTTTTTTCGAAAACAAAACAAAAAAAAGTTTTTCTTACTTTTACTAATTTATCAGCACTAACTGTAACAAAATAATTACCACCATTATCAATATCAAGTCCATTAATTGTTCCACTTTTTGATGCTTCAAGTTCTCGTATTTGTGCACCATTTGTTGATTCCCAATAGCCGATTTTTCTATCAGTACCACCTGTTATAATATGAAATTCTTCAGGATGATAAGCAACACATTGAAAAAGTGTATTTTCAAATAAAACTTGATTACGTACAAAACGTCTTAAATAAATAAATAAAAGAAATTTCTACATTTCAATAAATTAATATCATTCTTACTTTAAATTCCAAATAATACAAGTACCATCAAGTGATGCAGTAACGCATTCTGTATCAGATTTATTAATACGAATTGAAACAACAGCATTTTTATGTTCTTTCATTGTTGCAATAAGTTCTTGTGAGTTTGCATTAATTTGCCAAACTCGAATCATTCCTTCACCACCACCACTAACTATACGACGACAATCATTTGTTACAGCAACGGCTGTTACACCTCGATGATGTGCATCATTAATTGTAAACATTTCACGACCTGTTTCAGGATAAAAAGCACGTATGCGACCATCATCCCAACCACTAAACAAAATTATTATTTGTTTTTGAAAAATAATTAAATATTTCTTTCTTTTTACCTAACAATCATTTTTCCATCGCGAGTAAAGCAAAGTGAATTGCAAGTTTTATTTGCTTGTGTTATACGTAATAATTCATTACCAGTTGGTGCATGCCATATACTAGAATTTACAAAAAAATTAGTTCATTATTTACATATTTACTGTTTTGAGTCTACCGAATATCTTGATAACTGCATGTACCAAATAATTCTGAAGTTCCGCTATTAAAAGTAAAAAAATAATTGATGAATATTTTGTTTTATCAAACTTACAATGGAAAGGCAACATCATTTATAGGAGAATTGTGACATGTATTAATTAATTCCATTTTCCAGTCAGCATAATTTATCTTGTAAATATGTGATCGATCGGTACCGATAAAAATCTATTCGGAAATAAAAATTAAGGATATTATATTGAGATTAATAAGCACTGTTTTAAGTTATTCAAATGTATCGACTGTAGTTATTACTTCTCAAGAAATATTTTTCCTATAGTATTATAAATAGTTCATACCATATGACCTTCTCCTCTTAATGCCAATGATGTAATTTCTCCCATACATTGTAATGATCTATAAAAAACAATATAGATTTACAATTAAATTAGGATAGTGTTATACTTTAATGATTTAAATGTTTCTTTTTCGGTTATATGAACTTTTCCTTCACCTGTACCAATTAAAACATCACCATTTACTAATGCTTTCATTGCTGTAATACCCATTGAATATTTTTTCTTTTCAGGTCCCATGGTTTTAAATTGAGTAGCCGGAATATAAATCATTAGAATATCACCTGTTGTTGTTCCACAATAAAGATGTTGACCATCAAGTGATACCTTTTCGTATCACAACAATAATAAGAAACTTTCAAAATTTAATTTTTTCATATACTTACAGTCATACATTTAACAATTCGTTTAATAGTACCTGTATTAATATCAGTTGCTCGAATTTTTCGATTAGCTACATCTAATTGCCAGAAACGAAGTGTACCACTAAATTTAATTTTATAGAAAAATAAAGATATTCAATCTTGTCTTACTTTCCGGCACTATAAAATTGATATTCATCTTCTTTTGATGCAGCTATGCAATAAGTAATACCAGCACTTTTATGTTGCGCTGGACTGCCACATACTGGTTCTTTTGTTTCAATATTCCAAACAACAATCGAACCATCATCTTGTCCACCCAATGAAATAAGATAACGATCTGATGTTGTAAAGACTAAATCTTCAATTTTCACTTTATGTAAAACAAGACGAGCATATGGATCACGAGTAGCATAATCCCAAATAATAATATCAGCCTAAATATATATATATATATTTTTTAGAACAAAATGACTAAATTATATATATTTTACTTTGAAACCCATAAATGTTACTTGACCTGATGCAATATATTTTCCATTATTTGAAATAGCTACACAAGATATATTATTATTATGTCCAAGAAGAAATTCTTGTTGTCGTGTTTGTAAATTTTCAATAACTAAATTACATCCTAATGGATAAACCATATGAACACGATCAGGATGTAATTTAAGACCATGAGGAACTTTTCCTAAATTAATTATGTATACGAGATTTTATATTGATAAGAATATTTTTAAATATTAAATATTAACCTTCGAATCCAATAGTTGATTCAAGTTCAAGTCTTTGTAATGTATCAAGTCGTTCCGGTTGATTATTAGTGGTTGTCATTGTAAACGATTGTTTAGTTTTTTTGCTGACAAGAAAGAAGAGTAAAAAATACTAACACAATGTTTCTTTTAAAGTGTAATTTATCGAAATGTTGACATCCATTCTTTATGTAATGTTGCTTAGCAATGACCAAGATTATTATAGGACTTAATTAAAAATATATAAGAAAAAGAAAGAAATACGAAATAAAGAAAATAGAATTTTATAAATATTTATTTATTTAATATTTTAAAATTTCATTTTTTTTGAACTAGTGACCTCTGTTAAACATTTGAGCTCTCAGCAGGTTTATACGACTCTTTCTCTTTTAACAATTTCAAGTATTTTATATGATTCTAATCAATCCTATTGAAAAAAGAATCTATAAACATATATAACAGTCTGATACATAGATCTATCATCATCATTTTCATTGCATACACAACAAAAGATGTTGATCGAAATGTGATGCATTGAATCGATAACTAATACGTAGAAGAAATAAAATTTTAAGATCAGAATTAATATGAGTAATAGAATTCGATGATGATCAAACTGTATCATGTATAATAGAAAGCAAATAATTGAATTATATCTTTATTCGAAGTATTAGTTTTCTGTATCGATATGTTAATTTCTTAATTAAATGAGATATTCATTCATCTATACACACGATTGATCTATTAAACTGATTTCAAGATTATTGTCTATAATGATCAATATATAATAGAATAAACGATCTATACTGCCATCTGGTTATACTGATATTCTATTTGATTATCAAAAAGCTATCAATAAAGAAAATATTTCCATCTTATTATTGACATATGTGCTGAAAGTAAAAAAATAAGAGCTTCCTAACACAATATTATGACTGGGAAAATAAAGATATGACTCGTGATTGAGAGTCTCAACGAGAAAGGAATATATGAAGTCCGTTTTCATTTAAAATAACTTATTTTTTTCGAGATAAAAAAAATGAATGCACGTTCTCAAACATTTGAATTTGCTATTGAAGGTCGACAAATAGCAGAAGTTATTTCTTGTATGTTTATTATTTTTTATTTTTCAAAACAAATTTTTCTCATTTCATCATAGGTATGTTTCATACAATTCTCTTTCATCGTTGTGTTGGAAAGGTTAGAATCAAAAAACAAAAATCTTTTTCCTTTTTTATAAAAAATTATATTTTAGTATAATACAAAAGGTTCAGATAATTATTCAGTTGGCACCTTGGGTTATACCGACATTGATTGCGATTATACTGATTTCACATATGTAATACAAAAATTTGATTTTTATAAGATAAATTTTATTATTATTATTCATAAGATTGTTACGACTAGTCAAGAACTTCAACAAACAATATCGGATAAAATTAATCAATTTCAAGATAAACTTCGTTTATCTGGATTGAATAGTAGTGGTCAAGTAAAGAAGAAAAAAACAAAAGATTGTAGAAATTTGTTTATATGATTTTAGATTACACTCGAATTTTATCAAAAGAAAAAATCGGGATGGATGTTTAAACCTGAAGAAATTCCGTGGGAAATTTGGACAATTAAAATTGAACAAATGCAATTGTCAAGCGAAAATGGTATTAAATTTGTATACCAAATCGAATTTTATTTCATTATTTATTTAGAACGACAATTTATGCGTGAAAAACTGTCAGATGTATTAGCTGAAAGAGTTTTTCAAATAACAGAAATTATGTAATAGAAAATATCAAAAATTATTCTTTCTAATTTATTAATTTTCTTTTTTTTAAGAAACAAACCGGATTATGTACCAAAACCACCTCATTTATCTGAACTTGATTTAGTATTTGATACGTCTTACACGGATATTCAACCATATTTATTCAAAGTAAAATATTGAATTTTTGAAAAAAACATTTATGTGCGTTTTGTAGATTAATTTTAGTGATACACCGACAATTGCGAATCATGTAAGAACAATACTCAAAGAAGCATTCAATACATCGCTTTAAATTGAAAATAATAATTGGAATTATACATATCTCTTATTGTTTCTGTATATATTATTCGAACTTTCGTTTCATTGTATTTTTAAGAAAATGTTGTTTTTTTTGTTTGAAGATTGAATTGAAAATATTGATAGTAATCAGAATTTGTGTGAATTACAATTCAGTATGTACAAAGAAAATAAATATAAATATCAATCATTGAATAGTTTATTTTTCAAAATAATAATCAATTATGAACAAAATACATCTTGAATGTAAAACTAATATTGCTAAATAATTCTCAATACATTATATTCATTAACATTTATACCGTTATTTCAAATCTATCACTTACTTGTCTGGCCGCGGGGTCAAAAAAACATCGAAAATCGATTTTCTACAAAAGACATTTTTTGAGGTATTTCAATGCAGAAACTTCGAATCTGAGGTCTGTTAGGTGACCATGGTGAGGGAGAAAGGTCAAAAAAACATCGAAGATCGATTTTTCACGGTTTTCAATTATTTTTTCAGTAAATGCGAAGAGGATACATTTCTACGAGAAAGAGCTAAGCGAGTCCTGGAACGAGCGTTACTTGTTTAATAAGGTTATTTTTTCTACACTTATCTCAATGCATAGAAGTTGCCATTTTCTATCCTATGATTTCGTAGTCGAGTGAAATATGAATACCATCTAATTCTTATATAAATCAAAATTTTCCTGTCGCTTAAAATCTATCCAGCTGATGATATTTCTATTCGAATCAAATCAATCGTTTCATCATTATAAATTTATATTGTATTAAATTATTATTCTTTAGTTGTACATATATGAAAAGTTTCGAATATATTTGACATAAACAAAATACAAAGGAAACAAAAAAAAGCAAACTGGAATATTCGGTTGAATTAGAAAAAGAAAAGTAAATTTTCAACAAATATTTTGTTGAATTTTTATTTCCATGCTATACAACATGCTGTCACTGGACTGTCAGCATCTGTAATTAATCTTTTATCTTCACGTATACCAAATCCAGCAAATAATCCATGAATAATCCAACTACCAAATATAGCATAATAATCATCATGTTTAGGTAAGGAAAATATTTTTTGATAAATACAATTTCTATCCGTAAATTTTCCTTGTGTTTCATCAAGAACAGACTCTCCATTAGTATCATATAATGTAACATTATGTCCGCAACGACCAACAATTGGTTTTTTAACATAACCACTTCGTTTTAAATCATCTGTTAATGTCCATTCACTACATAATAAATTTGGATGATTAGGAAACATTGACCATAAAACAGGTAATATTGCTTTATTACTTGGTATTACTTTCCATAATGGTTCAATAATATGTATATCATCATTTAATAAAATTTCACATAAACGTGGATGTTCACCATTGATTTTTTGATTTAATTTTCCCGTTTTTTCTGCATCTGCATAATCACTAAAAACACTTTCCCACATCCAAGTTTTCCATATTAATTCAACTTGATTACCATCACTATCAACTATTTTCGAATCTTTCCAATATAAATCATCATATAAAATACATAATTTTGAATCAATATTAGCTTGTTTTAAAACTTCTTGCATGTATAATGATGTTAATATTTCATCTTGATCATTATCAATTAATAAATGAATACGTTTGATATTTAATTTTGTACAAATTTGTTTCCAATTTTTTACTAATAAACGATTTATTTGAAATCCTGACATATGTGGATGTTCAAGTTTAACAGCTTGTCCCCATTTTTCTTGTATAACTGCTATTTCAAATAATGCTGATGCACTATCAGCATTATATTCAAATACTTTTAATTCTTTACCATCAAATGCTAAATCAAAACGTCCAGTCATTATAAAATCTTTTTCATTTGACCATGATCGACGAATTTTTGACCAAAATATTTCTGGAATACAAAAATGTTTCAATACATCATCATTTTCAAGGACATAATTTGTTGCATCAAGAAACATTTGATGTAATTCATTTGATGTACTACCTATAGATAATGCTAAAGCTTGATCAACTTTATAATATGGTAATGTATCCGTGTCAGCTCGTATTAAATTTGGTCCGTATAATGACATAAAATATTTTTCTGCTGGATTATTTTCATCTAACCAATGTTCATATGAATGAAAAGCTTTATCTGTTTTCGATAAACGTTTTAATGTACCAAATGGTTTAGCTGCTTGATATTCTTTTAATATTAAATCAAGTTTTGTTTCATCTAATGGTTGTAATTCATTATTATCATCAATTTCTATCCAACCACATATATTGTCTTCATCTTGAATATAATAACAATCATCTTTAATAACTAAAGGAATTTCACGTGCATAATCATCTGACCAACTATGATAGATATAATTTTGTTCAGCTATACGAATAAAATCAGGTACAATATCGCATATTATAGCAACATGACCAAATGGTAATTCATCAGCACGTGGATAAATTAATATTGAATTGCGTGTAGGTTTATGTGGTGAACCATTTGCATAAAATTTCAATGGAAATTTTTTCCCATCAGTAACACATTCAACATATTTTAAATCATTCCACATATCAGCAGCACATGGTATTGGTGGAAATATACAACTTTTACGCATTAATAACCACCGACGAGCAAATTCAACACATTGCCATTTAAAACCCATAAATATTCCATGTAAATAATGATGTTCAACGGAAAAAAAATCATCATCACCATTAGAATATGCATGAACATTTGTCGAAGCTATTCCTTGAACTGTATTAAACGGTACTAATCCATTTTGACTTTGTAACATGATAGATTCTATATAAAGAAAAGAATGATGTATGTGAATGTTTTTTTTTCTTCATCTATACATATATATTGTCTTTCACATTTCTTATCGACAAAAATAAACAGAATGAAAGGAATTGAGGAGGTGTGAATCAAAATCATATTCATATTAGTCAAAATTCGCTTACAAACTTATTTTTCCTTTCGATAAAATAAAAGTTCTTCTATAATAAACTAATATATTATTTTATTCTCTATTTATATCTATGCTGTTAAACGTTTACTTGTCGATTTAATTAAAAAAATCAAGCACGCGTAATTTATATGACTTTGTTTTCTTCTCTGCTGTTACAAAGTCAATAAGATGGAGTAAAAGAACGTCAATAACATTTTCCGTCGTACTTGTAACCAGAGATTGACTATATGGGCAGACGATTAATGCTTACATCTTTTCACTCAATACGTCACGTAAAAACGACATCTTAATAGTGCATTTTATTTTACATATTCTATAGAATACAAAAATGAAAATATTTAAAAAATAATTCTACGTACATTTTTATACTGTAAAATCTAATCCAAATAATTTAAATTTCGTAAATATATGAGAAATAATTGTAATTACGGTTTTGCCCACACACAATGTATTGGTTTTTGTATTTTTATAATTCAAAAAAAATTTGAGGTATTCTCTTTATATAGATAAGAACGATAGACAAAATACGTCTTAATCAGAATGACGACGCAAAAAATTATTGTTTGGAAAGAATACTATGTGTCTCACGGCATCTAGTATTCACATGGCTGCTGCTATGCAACTCCATCGCTTCTTTTTTTGTGTTCTTGTTTTTCTTTCTTTTTCTCGATGTAAAAAAAAACGTCTACCAGCATGACAAAGCAAAACTAGTTCCGTTATTCTGAGAATGAGTAATTGCATATTCACACTGGTAATTCTTTTGACCTTCGTTGGCTTAAAGGACATCTACCTTATTAAAAATATTTTTATCTCAATAACATGTGAAATATTAAGAAGAAGACATAGACATTAAAAAGAAGCAAATGACTGCTAGATAGAAGTAGAAAAATTAGCAAAACATAACTCAAGTGAACAATAATCAATCTAAGAAGAATTATTCATACAGAAGAGATTTAACGAATCTTCTATAATATTTATAATAAAAATCATTATTTCTTATAGACAAATACAAGTCTCTATAGACAAGATAGTACTTGTCTATATTGAGAGTGTAGTCATTAGGAATAAAAATAGTAGCTTCACTACTATCGGCAGCGTCACATCATTTTTATATAATTAAATAGAGTATTTTCAAAGCATGAAAACTGTTTTATCATTATGTCAAGACTAAGAATAATACTTTTCAACTTTCAGAAAAATTAAAAATAAAATCATGAAAAACTTGTGTGTCTATATTTGTTTCCTATAAAAGAATAATACTGAATACAAGTTCGAGATAAATATAGTAACTATATCCTTCCTGACTTACTTTCATTAATTAGAAATTTTCAGTTGTTTTTCCAGTAACTAAATATTTGATATTTTTTTCCGATAGGAAAATTTTTATTATCAATATTTTCCTATGTTCTCAGTCTTACAATCATTTTCATCTTATACTATTAATCTATAGATTTTGTAAGAATTGTATTTTTATCAAATTCAGACAATACTACAATAGAATATTTACAATCTATTCTACGTAGTTATTAATTTCATCATGCAGATTTTATTTTAACATATAATTTTTATGCGAAACAAAACAAAATCTACTTCCATTCATTTAAAAATTCTATATGAAATGCTCGAAATTTTTCAACCATATCTTTCATTTGATCAACAGGTGGTAAAATAGTTGTACGTAAATGATGTGTTCCAGGTCGTTGTTTAAAACCACTACCAGGTACTACACATATACCAGTTTTATCAAGTAATTGAAAACAATAAAATGCATCAGGTGCCATTTGTTTTGATTTAGCATGTTCAATTGCTTTCTCAGGTATTTCAATACGTGGAAAAGCATACATTGCACTAAAAGAAGATCTATGTCTTTTTGTCATATTATAATTTTCACTAACCCCATAACAGGATTACATTTGACACCTTCAATTGAATTAAATAATTTACTAACAAGATCAGCTTTATGTTTTAATTGATTAACAACTTCTGTACGTTCTTTATTGTATAATTCATAGGATTGTTCACCAGGTTTTGGTGGATTTATAATGGCTCCCATGACAGATTGACCCCATGCTGTTGAACATAAACATGCAGATATTAATTTATTAACTTGCATTCGGACATCATTATCAATATTAATTAATTCATAATAACCACCTCGAGAACCGCATCTGCCAAAATTCAATTAGTTTGATTCTTTTTGCTTTACGAAACTTACTCGCCATGCCAACCTTTTGATGCTGAATGAAATGAAGCTAAACAAAAAAAACAGAAAAGAAGTATTTATGCATATTTATATTTATATAATTATCTACCCATTTCCATATTTTTATAAGGTGGTCCAAGATCCATTAAAACTTTTTTAAATGAAAAAAATTTTGAATCGGATAAATGAACATTTTCTTGGTAGACTTCATCAGCCAAAATAAATAAGCGATGTTTTTTAGCTAAATTATATGAATTAAATTCCTTCAAATTGCTTTTCTTTTCTTCTTACCAAAACAAATAATATTTTTAATGTTTTCACGTGAAAGAACTTGACCTAATAAAAACAAAACCAAATAAAAAAAATATTAAACATATTTCTTACCTGTTGGATTTCCAGGATTAATTATAACAATACCACGTGGTACACAACGATCTTTCGATTCATTTAATGCACGTTCTAATTCATCTATATCCAATGCCCAGTTATTATCTTCATCAAGATAATATTCAATTTGATAAGCTCCATATTCCGATAAAGTAGCACTATATAATGGATATTGTGGAACAGGTATCATCTAAGGATTAATAAGATAAGGAATGAATTATTTTCTTTTTCGAATTAACTTACAATTCCTGATGGTTTTTTTGCATCATTATTCATAAGAAGTTTAAGTACTGTTTTAATTCCATCCGAAGCTCCATTACAAAGATAAATATCACTTGCATTAGCAGGATAACCATCTCGTTCTTGAATATAATTTGCAATATCTTCTCTTATTGTCATTATTCCTTGACTTTCTGTATATGCACCAAGACTTTTTCCACCACATGAACATAATAAACGTTCAACTTTTTGTTTAATATCTGACGGAAAATCTTTTGAGTTCATTATTGGTGGATACGTACAACCAGCAACCAACTATTTCAAAATCTTTATTTATATTATTTAAAAGATAAAATTACATACTTGACGAATATATGTAACAGGTACTTGATTACCACTAGCATGACAATCTCCAATATTAGCACGTATAACACGATCGAATGGATATTTATGATTACCCTTTATAGAACGAAAAAGAAATAAGTGTATTTTCCATAATAATAATAATTATATTCATACTTCTTTTAATTGCTTTTCAATTTCAGCAGCACGAATTACAATAGGACCTCGAACAGCATATTCAACTTCAATAACTCGAGGATTTAAATTTTCTATTGTAAGACTTCGATCATTTGGAGTTTTCTTAGTCATTGTGGTAGAAAGAAGATGATAGGAAATTTACTAGCGTATAGTAACTCTTGTTGAAATAAAAGAAAGAAAAGGATAACGAAACATGTAGATGTTTATATTTTATCATTTTTTTCTTCATTCATATTCTATTTGCGTTCGCTAGGGGAGAAGGAAGACAAAAGAGGAGAATTTCTCTATGCACTATAAGATAAGTGTTAATCAAATATAAATAATATATATATATGTCCATAGATTACACAGCTGCTAACAAATAGAACCTTACATTCTTTTTTCGTTCAATAATCAAAAAAGAAGTTTTTTTCTTTGAAGGGATAACTTATCTATGAGACGAATGTCAATATTGAAAAAAAGTAAATTTAATAAAAGAAATTACTAAAAGTATGTAATAACTGTTCATATTATTAAAGAAGATTATCATTTCGATTCTTTTTCTGTCATTATTAAAATGATAATCGAGTTTTTCACACTAATATACATACAAGAGAAATTAGTAACACTCAAATATCAAATGATCCATCCTCACAAGATGTTACATAATTGATCAGGTCAAAATTGTCGCCATCAATCAATATTGAGTGAAAAAGTATAGAGGTCGTTTCTTGTTGTATATGAAACCTAATGGTTACTGTTTCCATAGTATCAATAAAAATGCATATCTACTCCAAGTTCTTTGATTAAATATCTGAAATCTATGAATATGTCAAACTATAACAATACAGGATCACGTACGAAAAATGCACGTGAGATATACGTTGAACAATTACCTTATGGGCAAGGTAAAAATACAAAATATCGGTTTGACTGAAAAAACAACTTTTTTTTTTATTTAAGGTTTAACACCATGTATGAATAAAAAACGAAGACCTTTTACACATTTGAATACAGCTGATGATATGGATCTTGCTTATCGAAGTACGCCTGATTATTTACGGCACTTAGCTCATCAAGATACATCAGCACCAATTGAATTGATATTAGCAAAAAATATTCCACGTACAAAAAGTGCTAGTGAAATGACACCAAGAAATAATGGTAAAAAATATTTATGATAATTAAATCATTTAAAATTCTATATATTTTAGTAAATCGATCAATAAGTGGAAATCCTAAATATAAAGCTCAGGAAGATTATTATGATGAGATACAATCAATGAAAAAAGTTCGATTGAAATTCGAATTATTTTATCTACTATTTATTTTTTAGGAAATGAAAACAGTAAAAGATGAAAATAGTAATCTTCGTGCTAAAATTCGACGTTTAGAAGAAGATAATGCACGTAAACGAAAAGAAATGGATGCTCTATATGATACGAATAAAGTAGTAGTTTTATTTCAATTAAATATTGTATAGAATTTTATTTTAAAGGATGGAGATTTACGACGAACATTAAGTGGAACATCCACAGATCGAAATAATAATTCATCTACTGCAGTTTGTTTTTTTGTATAAAACAAATTCATTAATCTCATTTTTTGTATTTTATAGAATGTTGTCATGAGCTTAAAACAACGAGTGTTTAAATTAGAAATGCAATTGAAACAAAAAGAAACAACCATCGAGTATATATTTCAAATAAAAAAAACCTATAATTCATTTGTCTTTTGTGAATATAGTGAAATAAAAAGTGATCCAAGATGGACAAAAAGTACCGAATTAGAAGTACAAAATCGTGCCTTATTTAGTGAACTTGAAAGACAAAAAGTAGCAAGATTAAATTATCTTCAACAAAAGTAAGCAAATAAAAATTAAATTTTTGCAATAAAATTATTTCTTTTAAGTGATTATACGGCGTCACTTGATGAGGAACAAAAGAATGCTGTACGAAAATTAACTAAAGAAAAAGATGATTTAAAAAAAGAAAATGAAAGTTTAAAAAGAAAACTTCATGAAACCGACAAATCAGATCGTGTAGAACCATTATCCGCACGTTCAACGGTATGTTCATAAGAATTGACTAGATATAAATCTGATCTTTTCGTTTCATATTTATTTATTGATAGGGTCGTGGTAATGATAAAGACTTACAATCAAAAATCGATGATCTTCAACGAGATTGTAATAATTACGAAAATGAACTTGCACAAATGAAAGATGATATAAAACAATTACGTCGTGAACGTAATCAATTTCGTGATAAACTCGAACAAGCTAATGAAGATCTTCAAGAAATCAAACGTGATCGTGATCAATATCGTAAAAAATTTGAACAAACTAATGAAGATCTTGAAAGTATGCAACGAGAACGTGATAAATATTCGAAAATAAATCCAACTGGTCGTTCATCACCAGCATTAAAACGTGATGAAGGACCTTCAAAATTTGATCTAAAGTAAATAGAAAATTATACTTTAATAATACTTTATTAATTTTTTTATATCAAGTTCTCGTCCATCATCACCTAAAACATCATTAGATGGAAAAAAAACAGTTATACCATTGAAAATGGGATCTAGAAACTTACGAGATGATAATAGAATTAAGTAAGATTAAATTATAAATTATTTTTGTAATACCACATTTCATATTCGAGTGATCATAATAATCGAGTGAAAAGTTTTCGAGAAAAACGTGCAGCTACTGTTATTCAACGAGAATGGCGTCGTCATAATAAATCACGTAAACCTTCTTTACATGATACAAGTATAACAAGACAACAAAATTCTAATAAAGTAGATACTTCTTTGTTTTTTTCGAAATTTATCTATTTATCTTTTTTTCCCATTAAGTTACAATCACCACGTTCAAGTACGAACTTTGATAATGGTCCTATGAGAAGTCGACCGACATCAGCTAACAATTCCAATGAAGTAAAGAATTTAAATATCATAATTTATAATTCACTTTTTTTATTTTTTAAATAGGCTGCATTAAAAACTGTACAAGCATCATTAAGAGGCTATTTAAATCGAACTGAAGTTGGTAAAAATCCAAGAGAAACACCCAATGCTCCTTCTAAATCACGATCACCAACTCCTTCGAGAAAATCTCAACATAATGATAGTGATGATGACGATATTGTAATACCATCGTCTAATGAAAGGAAACGAGACAGTATACTTGATCAACCAAAATCAAATTCAAGACAGTCATTACTCAATGGTAAGAAACTTTTACGAGCTCAGATCAACTCTTAGAAGTCAAATGATCTACTAATATTTATGACATCATAAAGGAAAATATTACTTGTTTAAACATTGATTAATATTTGTCTTTTATTTACGAAAAATATGAAATTGTATCATTGATTTATTTAGATAAACTTGGATCTAATAATCGAGATTTAACTAACAACATGGTAAGTATAGAATGACATTCAAATATCATTTTATTCGTATTGTTCTCTAGCGTCGAACACCTCCACCTTCCACGGATAGATTTCGACCCGTATCGCCTAATATCGGTAGTTCTAAACAAGGTCTTCCGAATGATCGAAGTATGTATGAATAATCAACAAAATTCAAATTTTTATTCTTTTTTTGTCATACAGTTAAACTTGCAACAAATGCTACAGGGTTCAGTCCACCTAGTTTTGTAAGACTAAATATACACACATAGAGCTATCGTTTATTTATTCTTTGTTCATTAGCCTCGTTCGGCCTCTCCACCAGTTGATGATCGTCGACCTACATCTCCGCGTCCTGGCAGCGGTGTTAGTGGTTCCAAGCAAAGCTTACTAAACGATCGAAGTTAGTATTTAGAATTCATTTTATTTTATTTTATCATAACTGTTGTATAGATAAACTTGGATCAAATAGTCGAATCCCAACAAATGATCGAGAATCAAACTCAAAATTGGTAAGAATACATATGAATGAGAAAAATAATCCGTTGTCGAATATTTATCTTTCTCTACAAAACGACTTCGATAGATGATTTAGTAACAAATTTATTGAGCCTAGAAATATGCTTTAGAAAAAAGGAATTTATTATATAAATCGAATTAAAATATATTGACTATCTTTAATATATATATACATTAGACTCGTCCATTTTCTCCATCAAACAATGATCAACGACCGGCATCACCATCTACTAATAATTCCAAACAAAACTTACCCAACGATCAAAGTATACTTCTAAAATTCTTCGAATTCAATTTTTCATTCTCTACTATATAGATAAATTTGGTTCAGGTAGTCGAATTAGACCCAATGATCGAGATTCATCTTCAAAATTAGTATGTATTTTTTGTTAAAAATTTTCTAATAAATATTTGTATTACAATTTTTAGACACGTCCATCCTCGCCTTCCAATGATCGTCCAACACCAAGAAAAAGTCCATCGAATTCGAAATCATCTATTAGAGATATTCCAGAAGAAGATGATGATGATGATGACGTTATCTGAGTACTGAATAACATTTCTTTGTTTTGTGTGTGTGGGTGGATGTGTGTATATTTTTTATTTGTTTCGCATACGATCGAAGTAAAAGAAAAAGAAAAAGAACGAAATTTATGAACAAAAAAAAATGCACATTTATTTATATGAAGAAAATTTTTAGACATGAAAATAGACAACAAATGATAGGTTATTTGAATGGTATAGGTTCGGATTTGAGCGATGAATCGCATACATACGAAGGATAATATTGATGAATATCACGATCTAGAAAAAAAAATAAATCAATATTGAATAAATTATAATTTATAAGAGTATATTTACACAATAGAATTATTTACTAAAATTTGGAAATGTTGAATAACGCCAATCCGTTGAATATGGATATGACGAATAATAATCTAAATAAAAATTCTTCAATTGATTTTTATTCCATAAAATAAACTTACCCGATGTATGTGCTGGTATTGAAAAACTGGGTGCTGTCGGTGGTGTTGGGTAAGATGTTGATGATGAACAAAATATTTCATTTGATTCTAAAAACAGAAAAAATTTTTTTTTATAAAATCAAATCTTTTGAAAATAAACGAACGTGTTGATGTTATATCAAATTCATTTTTCATTGAATTATTTCCAATAAATTGCTGATTAACATTATGAAATGATGATTGAGCTGATAAATCTGTTGAGAAATCATTTGGATTATAATTTAGATAATTATTTGATGTATACATTGCATTCCATTTTGCACGACGTTGATCAATATAAGCCTTAGAAATATAGAAATAAAAAAAATTTCCTTTTCTTTTTTTTTCTTTCTTACTTTAATTATTGATTCTGTTAAACCAGTTGCTTTAACAATCGATTCAATTTGTGCATTATCAGCCCATGGATTATCTTTAAAAAATTTATCCAAAAAATCAATTTGTTCGGCCGAAAAATGTTTTTGATCATGCATTTCTATAAGAACAAAAAAAAAGAAAGAATAACAAAAAATTATTCAAATTCCTTAGAGAGAATATCGTCATTTGGTCTTTGTCTAGTTCATCATTTTGACAGTTTGACTAATGGTCTCTTACCGATAGGATGATTTGTACGAGATCCATGATGATGATGATGATGATGATGAGAACGTTTTGTTGAATATTCATTTGCATGTAAATTATATTGTGAATGATTAAGTAAACTATGAATACTATAACCGTTAGGTGACGAAGATGCACCTGTTGCAAGACTTCGACTATCATCTTCATTACTTGTTGTACCATTAACAAGATTTGGTGTTGTAGTTGTTGTTTCATTTGATGTTGTTGGTGATGAATTTGTATTATGATTATTTAGTTTAGTATTATCATTTAAACTTCCACGATTACGAACAATTCTAAATAGACAAATTCAATAGACAAATTTGATCAAAGAAGAAAAAAAAATCTAACAAATGAATATAGGTCGGCAAAACAATGTTGCTTCGAGTCATTAGTTAACAAATATCCATTGATTCTTTTCATTCACATAATATACAATAGAAATATATATCATTCATTTACCTATTAATCGAACTAACACTTGGTACTTTATCTGAATCACATATTCCATCAGCAATAAGACGTTCTCGAATTTCCCACGCAAACATTGTTGGTGCTTGACTTTTATAATTACTTATAGCATCAACAACTTTTGGTGTCGCAACTTTAGGTTTACTTCCGCCAATAATACCTGGACGAATCGAACCTGTTTCATGATATCTAAATTGAATAAAATTTGATTTGCTTGCCCTTTTTTTTCAAAGAATTAATGATTTACCTTCCAAGAATTTTGCTAACACAACCATGTGAGACACGTAATTGTCGACTTATATCACATGGTCGTACACCTTGTTTAGCGAGATCAACAATTGACTGACGAACAAGATCAGGTAATGGTCGACCATTAACAAAAACTCCACCGAGTTGATTAATACCGCCATGTCCTATGTAAGAAATATTCTTTAGTAAAAAAAATGATGAGTTTAGATAATAGATACTATCGATTCTTGCGATTCAATGGAGCACAAAGGGATAAAAAAAAGAGAGGGAAGGCAAGAATCGATAGGGGAAAAAATACAGAGCACCTACCGAATTTGGAATATCGGTATTGAGCTGCAACGAACTGGTTGAACGGAAACATGGTTTCGCACAGCAACAAGTCTCTTTTGCACCAACGAGAGACAGTCTCCAAAAGTCAATGAAGGGAAGAGAAAGATAGATAGAAGCAAGAAGAAGAAAAAAAAAGTCCAATAGAGCGTTACTGCTTTCTATGTATATGATAGATTGAGTATTTTTCCAAGCACACACAGTGTCGAATGACGAGAAAAGCCAATGACTCGTCTCGAGTTGTTTGAGGAATAGAGAGAAAGAGAGAGAAACTTGATTAAAAGAGACGACAACAACTATTGTACCGAATCGATATGCATCAATGATATTTTGAGGAAAAAAAATTCAAACGATATAGAGAGAAGAAGGAGAAGAAGAAAAAAAGCGTTCGTTTGTCTTTTTTTTTTCTCTCAAGAGAATTGAGAGAATAGTCAGAGTTTGTTGTTACTCATTTAATAGATTAAGTAACGACGTTTCTCTTTCGTCCATCTTCAAATCACAATTTCTTTTCTTTTTCATTTTATTTATAGCATTCATTTACATGATGAAAATTAAATTTTTGCTTTTCTATTCTAACCAATAAGAAAATAATTGAAACAGTAGGCAGTCTTTTTTTCTTCTTTTTCTTTCAACCAATGGATAAATAAAAGCATAGAATTGAAAATAACTTGTTAATCATTCAACATCATTTAGTATGAATGAAATGAAGATGTTCATTGTCGACAAAATTACATATACAACACGTCGACATCGATCTTTTTTTTTTCTCGACAATCTCAGGAGAATAACTTGTTACGAGACATTTTAACACTTACTCAAAAAGAAAGAGAGAAGATAAATGAAGCTAACTAATTGTACAATTATTTTTGTTTGAATATTAAAGAAAAAATTCTTTGACATTAGGAATCAATTATCTATTTCTTTTTTCGAAATGAAATTAAACACTACTACTAATCAATAAAATCAATTCATCTTATTCGAAAGTAAATTCTATGTATAATAAAATATTCATATTGTACTGTAACACAAAAAGAGTTCATTAATTATTTTGTAGTTTCGAATTCTTCCATTTGGTTGATTTTAATTAAACAGAAAAGCTCTCAACTTGTTCAATTTAAGTAAAAGTTGTCTTATATGCTTCGATGAGCGAATATGATTTTTTTTGTGTGTGTGTGTGTATTTTCTCTTCTCAACTCTCGCACTACATCTGTGCAATCTTTTTTTTTTGTTCTAATAGAATTGAGGGGAAAAAAAGACGCTAAACAATATGTGTCAAATCATTGTGTCCAAGGGAAAACAAAAAAAAGAAGAAGAAGATGAAAGATATGATCGGTTAATTATATTAATAATAATATCAAATCACAGGAGACTAAAAAATAGAATTAAAGACGAATAAATTTTGATAAAAACAAACATAATTTAATAAAAAAGAAAATTAAACATAAACAAAGTTTAATTCGATCGATACTAGTTCATTAAATAGGATACGCTTGATAGATAAACAAGTGAATATTTTAAATGACTTGACTAAAATACATAATAGAGAACATTAAATTTCAATTGTAGATGACATAATATAAACTTCACATGTCAAAAAGAAGAATATAAGATTTATTAAGAATGGAAAAAAGTAGTTTTGTACATGTGAACCATGACTATTGATTGCCGTAATATTCATCATTGATAGCACAATTTCTATGTTGTGCCAATGTCATCTTCAACTTGGTTGGATATTTATATTTAATAATTTTCTGATGTGGCAGTAATTTTGTTAATTGGTTGTTTCATTAGAATTATTTGTTTGTGAAAATGAACTCAAAGAATAGTTTTAGAAGTTCTATTGAATTTAACCAAGTTAACGACAAGACACATGTTGGACTATTAAGAAAACGAAGAAGAAAAGGATATATCAAAAAGGTTAACATAGCTTACGCTTAATAGAATTTGTTCTCTGTTTATTCTTTCAAGTATTTTTGTTGGGAAAATAAGTATGTCAGATGAACGTTGACATATTCAGGGCGGATCATCCAGGACTTCTATGAGGGGGTGGCGGTTTATAAAAAGAAAAGTGGAAAGTAGTATTCTTCTCTATGAGTGAAACCTATAGTGTTCTACCTGTTTTTGGTATTTGTCGAAGTATCTATTTTCGAAGGGGTGCCTGTCGTCGAATAGCTAGATCCGCCCCTGGACATATTTAATAATCAGAAGTATCCGTTATATCTTCTAATGCTTTATTCACTATATTTCTACAAAACAATCTTTAACTTTACTTATTTTTGAAAGTACGAGCTTTCCCTAGTCGAACTTTTTTTGCATGCACATGAGATTCTTGATTTTCTTGGCAGGTGGGTAATAACAAAAATTTAATGTAAAAAAAGCATCCAAACCGAACATTGTTTTCTTTTACAAATGAGTATTATCTGAAGAAAAAACATTCATACCTATACCGAAAATTTTCATAATTGTTTTGTGCACATGCACATCTGATTCTTGAGCAAGATTGTCATGCGCTATGGACACATTTAGAAGTCAAATCTTGTCAAGCGCTTGAAAAAAAAAGTTCGACTAGGGTTCCGCTTTATAGATATCTTATTTTACGATAGTCATTCACCTTTTCATCTATCAGAAATAGAATAAAATCAATTATATACTTTGTACAGTCAATTTAACATTTATTTCATAACAAACTGAAACACGAGAATCTTTTTTCAACAGCAAAGTAATTCGTTCGATTTCATCTATTTGTCTAATTCATTCATTTGATTAATATACTTGAAGAATACATCTTATTTATTTGAAATAGAAAAAAAATGCAATACAAACCAAAAAAAAAAGAATAAGTATCTAAATAGAATCATGAAAATGTAAGTGAATATTTTTTAAAGAGACAGAACACAATGAAAAGAAAAATGTCTTCATCACATAAATAAGGCAAACATAAAAAAAAACATGTTCATTTAGAGAGCCCGACAAAAAAAAATATTTGACACATCCACAAGGCAAAATTATTTCTAGGTATAAAGCTACAATAAAATAAAAGTATGGACGGTATGATGAGATTAAGAATGTTAAAAGAAGCAAAATGCAAAAGCAAAAAAAAGAAGAAGAAGAAGAGATTAATAAGAATATGATACTTTTTTTTATATAGCGTTTCAAAAAACAAAACGATCTATTCTAAGGCAATCAGAAAAATTTCACTGTTAAAAAAAGAAATGATGACACTGGTTTTCGATTTTAAATAAGGCTTATAGACGAATTTTTGTTTCTTTTATGTTTCACAACGATTGATCACACTATTCGCAAAAAAAACTCTAATGATCTTTCTGTGTGTGTGTGTATGTATTTGTTTTCTAGTCTCCATAGACAGGTAAATGTAAATGTGTTAGGTGAGAAAATATGTTAAAAAATATATATATATATATAAATTGAGAAAAATTCTTTCTTTCTTTTTTTTCGTTAATAACGTGGTCGCGATGATCGTACACGTGTACCTGGTGATTGAGGACCGAGTTGAGATGGTGATGCTGCAGCCGCAGCTCGCATTGAACGTATTGAAATTGATGGTGATAAGTTACGTCGAGTTGGTGAAGAATGACGTACAGGTGGTTCATGTATATCAGCTAATCGTTTTGTTTCATGATCTAAAAGAACGGGATCAAGACCATGTGGATCTTGTGATACAAATGATAATGAATCAGTAATTTCACGACGAAGTGCTGTAATTTCTTCGCCATTTGCTAATGAACGATTTAGAAATGATTGACGTTTACGCATTTCTTGATGAAGTTGCTCTTTTAATGTAGTAATCTATTAATTTCAATATAAGAAATTTTTTGTTTAATATAAAATATGAAAATTACTTGTTCTTCGAGACTTTTAACACGACATCGATGTGCTTTTTCACGTGCTTCTAAAGCACGTTCAGCAGCAGTCTGAGATGATCGAATACGTTCAGTTTCAGCTTCAGTTTCACGTCGATTACGTGTTGTTAAATCAATTAAACTAAAAATTAAAATTTCTAGATATTAATATCTCTAAAAAAACAAAATAACTAAATTACCGTTGTGCATGTTGTTGTTCTGATTCGTTAAGTGCTGCTTGTAAATGTTCACATTGTCGTTGTAAAACTTGATTTTCTTCTTCTAATCGACGAAATTGTCGATCAAATTCTGCTCGATCCCACGAACGAATAATATCTTCTGTTACAACACGTTCACGTTCAACCTTTTATAATTAAAAAAAAACAAATAGTCAAATATATAATTTTAATATTTTCAACAAACTTTATCTAAAGTTTTTTTTAAAACATTTTTATCTTTTTCTAAACGTAATTTTGATCTCTCAGCTTCACGTCTTTCTAAGTCAAGATTGCCTAATTGGCGTTGTAAAAGAGCATTCTTCTCTTGTAATGCTTGTTTTTCAGCAGTTAGTATTGAAATTTTTTGAACCACTTCTTGTTCATTTTCTTGACGTTGAACAAGAAGCTAAAAATATAACAAAGAAAATTAAATATTCTTTTCTTTTTGTTTTTCGTCATAACATACTGTATTCGCATTTCGTAGCTGATTTTCTAATTCATGTCGTCTCATATCTGAATCGGTCACTTCATTTTGTAGATGATGTACACGTTCAAGTAATTCATGATTTTGTTTTTTAAGTTCACCAACTTGTGTTCTGAATAACAAGAACAAAAAAATATATTAATCATAATTATTATTATTTAATATACCGTGATTGTTCAAGTTTATCTTGTAAGATACGACGTTCAGCTTCATTACTTTGTAAAGCACCTTGAATACCACCAAGTTTTTGTTGTAAATCAGCTGCTTGATAGTTTGTTTGTGATAATGTTTGATTAAGTGATTGTACACGTGTTTTCAAACTTGATTCACCTTCTTCTGTTTTAGCTAATGTCAAAGATAAACGATCAACACTTAATTGTAATGATTGACATTTTTCTTCACGATCCTAACAAAAACAAGAAAAAATGGGCGTTATATTTTAGAATAAAATAATTTTACTTGAATTTGTCGAATCAATGCTTCACATCGTTCTTGATGTACTTGAATTTCAGTATCTTTATCTGTAAGAATCATATTTAAACGTTGTAATTCACCTTCTAATCCTCGACGATTCATTTCAAGTTCAGTTGCACGAGCTTCAGTTTCATCTAATGCTCGTTTTAACTGTCGTTTTTCATCTGCTAAACGTGATTCAGTTAATTTTGATACACCCATTTTTTCCTTAATATTTGAAATTATCTTTTTTTTTGAAAGAATAAATTATTCAATCTTACAGAAAGTTGTTTCTTTTCATTATCTCCCGATATTAAATTTCGTTCAAGCGCAGATATTTGATCTAACATTGTTTTACGTTCGCGTTCACTTCTTCGAATAGTATCTTCTTGTAATAATAAAGCATTTTGAGCACTTTGTAAACGAGTATCTACACCTTTTTTGTCTAGCAAAAGAAAGAAAAGAAGAAATTAATTGATTAAATTAAATCAATGTGTTATAATCAAAAGGAAAATTTTCATAATGAGCAGCTTTTTTTTCTTACACATGAAATGTTCATAGAAATGGCAACTGAATAGGATAGGTTTTATATGAAAAAAAAACAAAATAAAGATAATCTACCTTCTTCAAATGACATAAGTGTTTTTTGTAATTGACTAAAACGTTGTTCGGTTCTTAAAAGACTATCTTCAAGTTCTTTTGTTGTTCGACGAAGTACTGCAGCTTCAGCTTAAAACAAAAACATATATAAATATATTTATTTTATCTTTTTTTTTCGAAATTTTACCAGCACAATCATCTCGATCACGTTCTGTTGTAATATAATTTTGAACAAAATCTCGTAATGCTGTACGAATTTGTTCTGGATCAATATCAGCAACATCAACATATGTTGAACCAGGTGAACGTGCACGTTCACCATCATAATCTGGTGTATGTGAACGTGGATGTGGACTACGTGATGTTCGTCGTAATATAGGTGATGATCGATTTTCATTACTATCAAAACCTTTTGTTGGTGATATTGGTCGACGACGAATACTTGGACTTGGTGAACGACTTCGAGCTCGTGCACCACTGCTACTACGTGATCCATAACCGATTGTGCGACGTAAACTCGATACAATACTACCTAGTTTATATTCAGCATCACGTTTAGCTCCTTCGACACTAAATTAATAAAAAGTTCTTTTTTTTGTTACTTTTATTTGTTATTTTCTCTTACCGTGCTAATTGTGTATCAAGTGCACTGGCTCGTCCTTCAGCACCTGATAAAACAATACGTAATTCTGAAATCATTTGATTAGCACCTTCAAGTGCTAATTCAACATTTCGTCGTTCATCGATTGCTTTACGTTCTACAATGACACATATGAAAACTAAAACAAATTATTTTTAAAAATTTTACCAAGGCGTCGAGCATCTTCAACAGCTAATTGATAGTCTCGTTCTTTCATTCGTTGTTCATCTTCTAGCTCAACATAATGTCGTTGAATATTTGCTAATTCTTTACGTAAAACTTCTCGTGATGCTTCAGCTTCAACAAATCGTTGTTTTTGTCCAAAAACTTCACGACGCATTTCTTCTTCACGATGTTCATCTAGTCGTACACGATCAGCTAATTCTTCGACTTCTTTCGATTTCTTTTTCGTTTCACCATCAAGCATTTTAACATGTCGACGTAATTCCTGTAATTCACGTCGTGCTTCTAATCGAGAACGTTCAACATCACGTAAATTATGACGTAAATCATTGGCATCTTTTTGAACTTGTGATTTTTGTTCATCAAGTACTAAAAAAAATACAAAGAATTAAATTTTTGAATTACACGAAAAATAAATTCTATATACCAATTATTCTTTGTTTAGCTTCTTCTAAGACTTGTCTTAAATCAATTTTTTCATTTTCAACACTTTTCAATTTTGTACGTAAATCTTCACATGAACGTAATGATAATTCTTTATCACGTTGTTCATCTTGTAAATAACGTTTCAAATCTTGAATTTCTTTTCGTTGTATTGTAAGATTTTCTTCATATTCTCTTATACGTCGATTTGAATCAATTAAATCACGTTTTAATTGATCACGATTATCTTCAGTTAATTTTAATTGAGTTTTGATTTCAAAATTTTCATGATTTAATAATTGTTTTTGTTGACGTATTTGTTCTAAATCAGATGTTAATGCTTTTATATCACGATCATTAGCAATATTTGCATCTTCAAATTTATTATGAAATTTTTTTAATTCATCTTGTAATGATATTATAACTTGACGATCTTGTTCATGATGTAATGCACCATCACGACGTGCTTTATCTAATTCAACTTGTATACGTAATAAATCATCTTTAGTTAATGATAATTTTTCAGCGATAGCATTACGTTCAGATTGAGCAATTGAAAGAAGCTAAAACAAAAAATAATAATGACATTAATGTAAATATTTTGAGTGAAGTCAATCTGATGATCTAGAGATATGTAACGATTAGAGAGCTGCAAGTCCACGTTTTTTTAGACCTGAACCCGACTCAGACCTGAGGAAAAAGCAATTTACTAGACCCGGACCCGATCAGGCTCAGACCTGGACCGGAGCAGGACCCGGTTAGGTTTAGACTCGGAGTCCTTTCACGAATATATAGTACCCTCTGTGTGCAAGGTAAAGATGCAGGTCCATAGTTTTTTGGGCTCGGACCCGACCCAGATCCAAGAAAATGTTTTTTGTTAGACCCAGACCTGGCCCGGACCCAGAATTCGACCGAGTCTTGGTGAGGTCTGGGTCTGGATCAATTCGCGTTGCCCTAATGACGACAGTATTAGTTTGAGTTCGTATTACAATATTATCTCCTCGATAGTTAGAATGATTCAATCGATTTTCATTAAGAAGAAAAATTCTGAAATATTACTTTTTGTTTTTCATTTTCGGCTTCAATTAAAGATTGATCACGTTCGGTAATAATATTAGCTAATTCATAATGTAAATCTTCTTTTTCTTTTTCATATCGTTGTGTTGATTCATCTTTTTCACGTGTTAATTGTCGAATAATTTCTTCACGTGTTGTTTCTAAATCATGACGAAGTTTTTCACGTTCACGTGTCATACGTTCAACATCATCTTCATGTGCTTGATGATGTTGTCGAATAGCTGATTCTTTATCTTGTTCTAACTGTGATAAACGTTGTTGTAATTGATCACGTGTACGAGCAGATTTTTCAATTTCACCATTTAATTCCATATGAAGTCGTTGAATTTCATTTTGTAATTGTTCTTTACGTAAAAGTAATTCTTGATTTTCACCTTCTAATTGTTCTTTTTTAACTTCAAGTTGACTAATAGTACTTTGTGCTTCATAGAGATTTGTTTCCAAAGCTTCTTTTCTAAAAACGAAATACAAAAACAATAAAAATAAGAAGTAAAATATCAACTTACTCAGCACGTAAAGCACTAATGGTCTAAAAAGAATAAAAAATGTTATTATTATGATAAATACATAAAAAAACGAATATTTACTGAATTTAATGTTTGATTATCACGTTCAGTACCGTTAAGATCAACAACAAGATTACCACGTTCTTTTGTTAATTCTTCTTTTTCTTTATTCAAACGTAAATTATGATCACTCAATCGTTGAATATCTTTTTTAGCAGCTATCAAATCTTCAGCTAATGTAGTTTTCAATCGAGTCATCTAAATAACAAAGTATTTCTAATAATCTAGTATTTTTTTAAATAATTACATGTTGGAATTGTTCAATAATTTCAGCTTTTTCTTTATTAACAATATTTAATTCTTCTTCAATTTGTTGACGACTAACTTCAGTCAATTGAAGACGATGATGAATAGCTAAAAATATGAATATTTTAAACTTCTGGAAAAGTTAAGACATGATATATATATAGTATTATAACCACGAGAGTCAACTCAATCTCTTATATTAAATATATTCAACTTACTATCACGTTCATTCTCAACATCGATCTTTTCTTGTTCGACTTTTACAAGTTCCTAAACGAAGAAAAATATGATTTGTTTTGAAATTTTTAATAATTACTTGTCGAAGTGTTGATTTATCAAGCTCTACATCAGATTTTTCATTATGAATAGAATTTTTCTCTTGTTCAACCTAAATATCAAAAATAGAATTTTTGTAAATATATAATTAAAATCTTACTAAGAGAATAATTTTATTCAATTCGATTTTATCTTGAGCAAGACCTTCATTAAGTGCTTGGACTTTACAAAGAAGATCTCGTAAAGCAGCACTTTCACTTCGTTCTTTACTAAGTTCCATTTCAACTTCAGCTCGATATGATTCTGATCGTGATAATGCATCGGCTAAAAAATAAAAATATATATTTCCTATTTGATTCAAATACAATCAACTTACAAAGTACATGTTTTTCTTGTGCAAGTACATCTTTAGTTAATTTTTCCTTATGATATTGTTCACGTAATTCAGTCACATCTTGTTTTAATTGTGAAATTTTATTTTCAAGATTTTCAATAACTTTAATACAACGTTCATTTTCTTTGACTTGACGAATTCGATCCTTGATTAAATCTTCTTTTTCTTCTTCGAGAATATCACGTTGACGTTGAATATCTGTATTGGCTTGTTGTAAACGATCACAATCAGCACGTAATGCATCAATTTGAGAATTAAGTGTCTATTAAGAAAAGGATAATAATGGATTATTTTTTAAAAAGGAAAAACTTACAAGACGAAATTTCTCCATATTTGTACGTTCATAATTTGATGATTCAAGTGCGGATTTCGATCGATCACGTTCATTTGCCGTATCATCGAATTGTCTTCGTAATTCATCGATTTGTAATTTATATGTTGTTGCTTGTTGATCTAATTGCCGCCGTTCGGAGTCGCTTTGATTCAATTGTTCTTTTAATTGTTGAATTGTATCTCGTGCACCATCTAATTTTGTTTGTAAATCATGAACCTTAAAATAAATTTAAATAAAAATACAATAAACATATATGTTTTTAATTCTTCACGTTTTTTTTATATTAATTAAAAATAAAAATTTCAAAAAAAAACAAGTATCAAGCAAAGATTAGAAATAATGTAGAGACAAAAAAAGAATCCATGACAAGTCATTGCGTGACAAGTAAAAGGATAAGATGGGACCCCTGGATGTTTATAAAGCGAAAAATAGAAAATAAGAACAATAACTCCAGATAGTTTAGTTTGTTTTATTTTAGTGTATAGTTTTTTTAGAATGGTACTCCTCCTCGTCTGATAAGATAATTATTAGGTTTCCAACGAAGTGGAATCTAAACGGAGTATGTAAGGAAAATGTTTCAGTTTTTTTAATTTACCAAAGAAAAAGAAGAGAAATATAATAAAGAAATATTAGAAATAGACATTCATTACCTGAACTTGACGTTTGCTTAAAGCAGCATTAACAGCACTAAATGTACTGTCACCAAATGATGGCGAAACATTACGAGAATGTGGTCGAGATGCTTGAGTTGGACGTTGTGGTGAATGTGATCGAGGTGAACGAATTCTAAATTGAACATGATAATATTAAAACCACAAGTCCCGGAAATAAATGTAATTGGATGCGGCATCCGTTGAGCGAAAATCATATCAACGAATGGGTTTAGCGAAAAAGAATGCGCGAAAGTCACAACTGCGAAACACCTTTCGCCCTTACCCTCCCCAAGAAAAATCATTTCGCTAGAAAGCCTTTCACTCATTTGCCTCCATACCATATCAATCAGACAAATTTCCTCGTAATACTCTCATAATTCCTTATAACTTCTGTAATCTTAATCCCCAGTATGTCAATATCTATTACAATCATCGTTCAGTATATATAATGGTATTATTTTGAAATTTTCTACTTTCATAGTTCAATAATGCTGTTCTTTTTTCTTTCTTATATTACACTTATACAAAAAAGAGAAATTTTTTTTATTAGATAATTGCTTGCTGATACTTTTTTTTTAAAAGAAAAATGATTACTTTTTTTTATTCTTGTCGTATTACTTATAATAATATGTACTTAAATGAAGAAAGAAAATGTCAAAAAAAGAACTTAGTTAGACAATTCATAGTAAATGACTGATGAAGTAAATCAAAAATCATAACTATGTATATAATTCAACAAATAAATTCTTAAGACAAAAAAGAAAACATTAAGCTCTTAACAAATTGAGACTATGTTTATGACCATGAAGAATAAAACAGAAGAAGTATTCATTCTTCCAAGGTCAATATGATGAATTCTGTTAATCTTTCAAAACTGAGTTTTTAATGTCAAGGTAATTTTATTAAGAATCTTCAATATTTAATATTCAGACAATTGACATTATGTCTAGAAATAGAATTGATATATGACCTTGAAATTTTTAAAGAATAATTAATGATAGGGAAATTATTGGACGAGTATGTCAATTGATTGTTGTCTATATGAAAACTTTTTTTTATATTGTATTAAATTATAATAGGGATGTCGTTTTGTCAAGTGGATCAATTTCTTAAAAGTTTTTACCAAGGTTATTTGAAATTTTTTGTTGTTGTATTTCTCTTTTCTTATTCTCCATTTCGTTAAAGCCTTGAAAATAAATTTATTTTAAAACATCACACATTTTTAGAATCCTTTTAGATTTTCTACTTAAACAAACTGAAAGAAACCATTTGTTTCTTTTTTCATAATAAATATGAACGATATATATATACATATGTGTATGTAACTTTCTTACATTAATCATATATAACAAAAAGTCATTTTATAACAAAAAAAAACTTTCATAAGAAATTTTTCTTCGTTTATTGTAAAAACATTCTTGTCATTTTAAGCTTGAGGAACAATAGAGTTCGAATTCTCGAGAGGTGGGTGTGTGTGTGTGAACATTATAATTCAATTCTTTTCGTTTGAAAAAAATGAAAATTTATTTACATACCGGGTATAAACTCGATCAGGTGATGATTCATATCGATCAGCAGCACCTCGTTGTGGTGATAAACGTCGAGGTGATGTTCTACCTGCATCATGTCCATCATATCTTTCATCTTCGTCATTGAGAACAGCTTGGGCTATATCTCGTAAACGTTGATGAAGTCGTTCAGTATCAGCATTAATTTCTTTTGTACGCGTTTCAAGATTTGAAGACGAATTTTCCTAGAAAAATAATAATAATAATAATAATAATAATTGTTATTATTATATAACATTAGCTTTCAATTCATTTAGTTCTATTCATAATTAATAAATAATAATGAACCAATCCGATAAAAATGTGCGGTCATTTTTTGAGAAGAAATGTGCAGAATAAGAAAAAAAGAAAAGTAAAAGTTTCAAGGAGGTAATAAGTGGTTAAAAGAACAATGACAAAAGAAACTGACGTTGCTCTAGTAATTTTCTTTCAAACACTTGACCACGCATTTCCGTTTATTGTCCGTACGCAAGTAGCATACAATGGACTTTGATGATGAGATTTATATTCACTTCTTCATACCTGTTGTGCTCGTCGATACATAATGGTGATGGTCAGACAAGAACCACAAATCAACAATTTTTGATGAATGAATGAATGAATGAAAACGAAACACAAGTAGAAGAAGAAGAAAAGAGAAGAGAAGAGAGGAGTTGATGTGGAAGGTGGTAATACTTATGCACACCGCATGACGACGATGAAGAGAATTTTCTTTCTCTCTCTCTCTTTCTCTCTCTTTTTTTTTCTCTTTGTGAAATATTTTTAACAAAAAGAAAAGAAACTACACCACCAGCGTCTTATTTCATTTTCTAAATTCTTCTTTTTTTCCTCCTCCTAGCTACCTGTTGGAGTTTCATTAAAAAAATTAAACGAAGAAGATCTTGCCAAAACAGAAATTTGAGCAAATTTTGTAAACAAAGTATTTGATAAGCCTATTTGGCCTCTATAAAAATGCACAGTTGTTAGTCTACTGTCCCTGTCTCGAATTTAATGTAAACTTATGTTGTTCGTACTGCTGCTACTTTCTAATGAGCAAGATGAGATAGCTGGCAGGCGGCGTCCGTCGGTGTTATTCTTCAATTACAATTGTCTGATAATATTGCTATTAAATTTTTTGAAATATTAACACTAATGATTAGGAAACGACTGGTACTATGTATATTTCTCGTTTTAACTACTATGATTTGTGCTCAATCAGACACTTCATCAAATAATCAATATGAAGTTCCATTTATGTTTTTATCATTTGCAATATCTATTGTTTATGGCACACTTTTACTTGTATATTTTTTTCGGTATCGTATTTTTAAAAAATCAATCACAACAGATACCGATAGTCAAGGTAGTTTCCGCAACTACAACAGAATCAAACCAAAAAACGATCAATACTATATAATTAATCGATGTTTACGCCGTGTAAAGGCAAATACCGAAGAATTAAATGAATAAAAGACGATAAAAATAATTAGAAGTGTTTCGTTTCAAAAAAAAAAAGAAATTTCTTTTTTAGTAACTGAGAAGATAAATATATTTAATCATAGGCCTATACACACTCACCTTCGTAGCTATATTCCGTTGCGACATGTCCACGGTAGTTTACCACACAAAATGAAGGATCGACAACTAATGCTATGAATTGTTGTTTGGTTTTCTCTCCAGAACAGCCGTCACTAATGCCGCAGAGTAAACAATCTCGTCCTCTACTATGTAATATATTAGTTGGTTTCTTTGATCAAAATACCACTTTTTTTCTCTGTCAATTTCTTTTTTTCTTCTCTCTCTCTCACTCAATCATTCGATTCTTTAGTCATTTAAATTGACTAATATGTAGCTTAGGAAAGAATACTGTACTGTCAATAAACAAAAGAAAGCAATTGAAGAGGATAAGCAAAAAAAATCTTCTACAGTAGACACAAGCAGTATTCCCTTCTGGTGATGAAATGTTGTTTTTGAGTCGTGACGTATAGAAAATGCAAAATTTGAAATCGAAATTTACATACAGCTGGTGAAATAATTATTCAAACATTTCATCAAGCCTATATTGTAAAACAAAGTTTACAGTAAAGAAAAGAACATTTTCTTCATTAAAATTTTAATAAAAATCTCTTGTTTTTTTTATGATTAAAAAGTTTTTTCTAAACAAATTTAAATCTATGATTTTCGTTGTCACTCTATTTCACAATCACAAATGTCGATTTAAATGTTATTTTAACAAAAAAATAGATTAACTCTCAACATACTGCTGTGACTTAGTAACTAAAATATATAATTGAATTAAATCGATAGATTTTTGTTTATATACTATCGATCTAGAGTGTAAATAAAAAATTATAATTATCGTATTTATTTAATTAATAATAGAGAACATGATTTTTTTTCTTTCAAATAATCTACTATTCTAAATATTCTCATATACTATATAAACACGGTCGATATTTAAAGTCCTAGAATAAATTGAACATTTTATAAGTATTATGATTGTTAAAAAGGTCGTTTTTTTCTCATTATAAAATTGATTTTACTTATAGGGTATCTCTATGATTATTTAACATATTATATGTACCTAACTTACAAGATTATATTGTTAGTCTAGTCTCAACGAAAAGCAATTGAAATTTCGTGTATTATTCTTATAAAAGCCATAAATAATAAAATAACAATGATACAGACAATAAAAACTACTCTTATACATACAATAGTTACTATATTTTAATCAGAAATAAACGATACGCAAAAGAATAATATAGAACTTAATGTTTAATCGATATGATAAAACGAATTTAAAGATACTTATTTATTAAATCCAACGAAAAAATTTCTCAGATAAATTCCCAGGTCAAGAATAACTGATCATTTTTTGTCTACCTAGAGCTTTTTTTTCGAATTGATAAGAACTAGTTATATAATGCAGCTAATACACAAAGTGTTTAAAAGTTACCATCTGCTGTATATATATTATGTAAATCAATACTATTTATACGTATTGCATAAATGAAGTTAAATACTTCATAAAACTAGCCTTTTTATTTTATAGATTGTCATGTAATTTGAGAAAAATTGTTTTGAAAACGAAGTACCGATGAAGGATACGATCGTTTTCTTTTACATGTTGAATCTGCATTGAAGGAAAAATCTTTCTTTTAAAGGTTTCAATACGAGATTAGAAAATTTTTTCAAGCTTCTTTCGTTAATTTTTCGAAAAAAAAAATTCTGAAACTAACCATTGTTTGCTGTTGAGCACGTGTTAATGTAGCAATTGTACCTTCTTTTTCAGTCAATTGAAGACGTAATTTTTCATTGAATTGTAATAATTCTTGTGATCTAATTTCAAAAAAAAATAATCGAGGTTTTTTTTATAATTAATAATATACTTTTGTTGTAAATCAGAAATTTCTTGTGTTTTTTCTCGAATTTGACTTTCTAAATTAGCACGATCACTACGTTCTCGTTCAATTGCAGCCTATAGAAATAATATTGAAATAGAAAAATGAAAAATTTTAATTGATTTAAATTTTACTTGTCCTTGACTTTCAGCTGTTTTTGTTGCAGTTAGAAATCCAAAACAAGCACTCGTTAATGATCGACCTGTTTGAGAAAGATCGTTACGAACACGTGTCAAATCACGTTCAGTGGTGCCTTTTAATTCAGTGAATTGTTTACGAAACGAAACAATATCACGCCATAATTCATACATAAGATTATGTTCTTTATTATAATATTGATTGAAAACCTTAATATACAAGGAAATTGTGACAAAAAACAAGATTATTTTTTTTCTAAACTAACTCGTTCTTCTTCTTTCCAATCCCGTGATTTTTGATTAAATTCATCACGTATTTGTTTAAGTTCAGCAGTTGTACGTCGTAAATCTTCAGTTAATTGTTGATTAGCTAAATGAGCTTGATCAATTTGATCACGTAAAACTGTATTCAATTGAACAAGATTATTAGTTCTATAAATAGAAGAAAAAAATATTGAAAGTCGTAATTAATTTAATACATACTTTTGTTTTTCAGTTTCGAGTGTAATTGTTGTTTCATCTTGCTCATCATCATTTTCTCTTGTACGAGAATCATTCATCATTGTCGATCTCGATGATAATAAAACATGATTAGATGACTATAGAAAATAAATATGTAATCATTTGATTTCTCCTAATATTAAGACTTACGGAAAGTCGAAGACGTTCCATATCTTCTTTATGTTGTTCCATTAATATTTCCAGTTCTGTACATCGATTTTTATATTGAAGAACCTATTTATTTTTTTGTTATTTATAAAAAAAACTTGAAAATAACTATAGATTTACTTTTTGTTGAAGTTTTTGTACAAGTTGTGCTTGTTTCTGTTGTCCTTCTTGATAATTAGATAATTTTCGTTTATAATTTTGATGTTCTTCTTCAAGTTTTCGTCGTAAATCAATATTTTGTTGAACAAGAATATGTCCTTCTGAGTCTCCGCTATTCATATCTGTTGCTATATCAAAACCTTGTGCACGTAATGATTGTTCGAGCTAAATGAAATATTCCTAATTTTCTTCTTCTTTTTAAAATAAATAAATTATTTCAATAGGAAAAAAAGTTTTGATTTTAAATTTATTCGAAATACTGAAGAATGTTTGTTAATCATTATAATTGAGACGTCTTTCTTTTTTATTATAACAATATGGTAGTTTGACAAGGTTTTAAAAATAAAAGAAAATTTCCAAAAAATTTCATTTTACTTACCCGATCCGATAAGGCATTATAACGAATACTTAATTCATCTTTTTCTGCTCGAGATAAATTAAGCATTGTTTCAACACGATTTAATTCATCATTTAAAAATCGATTTTCATCAGCTAGTTGAGAAGGATTTGTTGTTGCCATTTGATTTCGATTTGATATTTGATTTGAAAAAGTAAGTGGTGATCGAGATGGTGTTAATGGGAGTGTATTAATGTTACTTAAAAGATTGTCTTGTGTTCGACTATGAATAGAAGTAATGCGGTTGTCATCGCCGTCATCATCATCATCATCATGAGAAAAAACTTCTTCAAGACGCTGCAAAAAAAGAAAAAAAAAAGAAGCTTATTTGCTTTTGTTCACGGTGGAATTTTGATAAAAAAATCAACTTGTTCTCGTAATAATCAAAGACGAGAAAAATACATACAACTGAGGATTCTGGAATGTTATCGTCAGCCATATGAGAACTACAACAAAATTTTTCTCAATTCAAATTAATCGATTGATGTATGTGTCAATTGACATTTATTCTAGTTTTTTTTACTAATATGTCAAATGAATGAAGAGTAAGGAAATTTCTGGTTATTATTAAAATATCGAAGAGTATGAATAAAAAAAGAAATGTAATTAAAAAAAGAAACTTTTTATTATTTTTTAACAATCGAGTATTGGATCACGAAAACTTATGTTGATTTTCTGAGTTAACATATGTTTCAACGTCATGAGAAGAATCTAAACAAATGCTTGATTAAGTCACAGAGAGAGAACAAAGAGAAAATTATTGATTTTATTATAAACTATACATTACAGAAAAAAAAGAGAGAATGGGAGAGAGACAGACAGAGAAAGAAATGTCTCGACAAAAGTAAAAATCACTGTGGTTATGTGGTTACTTAATTAACAAGTATGTAAATTTGATCTATGAATAAATAAAACAATCACCTGTATACTTTTCTGTAAATGATATGATAAAGCATGCATATTGTATGATATTTGTATAGCTGGAAGAAATCAAAATTCGATTCAAATGAAAAGATCAAACATCGAAATTCACATTCCTTTCTCTCTTTCCTCTTTCTTTTTCTTCTTTTTGTTAAATAGTGAACTAAAAATCGATCATACGAGTCAAAACTGCTCTTCTATGTTTATCTAACATACTCGTCAAAATAACTTGAAGTTTTAGTTCAATATGTTCATCTCAAATATCTTCTTCTTAGCAAAAATATTTCTATTTTCTTTTTTCATATAGAAAAATTTGCTAAATTTATTGAAATGTTAATAATTTTATAAAATTAAAAAAAAAACGTTAGTTTATGAATATTTATTAGACTTTCTTTTTTTTGTGTCATTTGAATATTTTCTTTTTGTTATTTCAAGGTTTTATAGTCATTCACTTTTTTCCTATGTTTAACAAACGATGGTGCTTGTTAAAATGAAAGACAAACAACATACATTTTTTTGCATCAAGTACGTTCGTTCGATGATATGTAATGGCTTCTACTAAAATTATGTTTCCTCTTGTATATACTGTCTATGTATGTGAACAAGGGAGACGAGATGAAAGAGTTTCTTTCTCCTCCAATAAAGCGTATAAAAGAGAAAAGATTGTATTATTTTGCTCTGGGATATATAAAAGCATACCAATAGACATCAATAGGTAAAAATTATGTGTTATTATAAACGTTTGCTTAAGAGTATTGTAATGATTGACAAAATCAGAGTTTAATGAGGAATAAAACGAAATATGAGATCTCTAAAGTTGTATGATGTATATATAATATTTCAAAGCAAGGTCTTTATTTTAAAATTAAAATAAAATTAGAATATATTTCATATATATAAAATTTTCTACTTACGAAGAGAATATTTGATCACTGGGAACACCAAAATCAATATAATCTATAAGAGAAAAATCATCGATATAGATTACTTTATAATAGAAGAATATGAATAGTTTAATTAGTTGTCATATGAAAACGATATAAAACTAATGATAGATGCCTAAAGGGATCTTTTACTACTAAACACTCAAAAAAGCAAAAACAAAAAGATGTAATCACATTCTGCTGATGGAAGAACACTTCACACCTATAATGCCATAAAGAATTGTTCAATGAAAAGTAACTAAGCAACACACCTGTACATGTATGAATAGTCATCGATTATAGAGGCATGAAAATGATTATTTATTTTATTGAAAGTTTCTTTTTTTCTGAAATATTATAAAAATAAGAAAAATAAATTATAATAAAAATATTTTTACGATTGGAACACTTTGCTTATAATTGAATAAAGCGCGATATCAAAAAAACAAATATATCAAGTTAAATTTATTGAGTAAACTCAATCGTAATCTTTATTATTCAAACTGTAAATATCATAGTAAGAAAATAGTGAAATAGATTTTTATTTGCAAAAGAAAAAACTATATTTTACTATTGTTTGTTTGTTGTACTGACTAACGCCATCTGCACCAGTTTTTCTCAAAATTCAATTTATTATAGGACTGCATTCTTTCTATTTGATGAATTTGAATTCTTTTACCGTAAAAAAGAATAACATCCGATGACATGTTTTTCCAGACAAGATCGTTTAGTTCCGCACATTTTATTAATTAAAAAACTATTTTTAGTATTGAATTAATTTTCCTTTCCTAGATAGATGAGGAATTCCGAATCATGAAATACTTCGATATAATCAACTCTGTTAGATTGATGATAAAAAAAGACGTGACAATACTAACGTTAAGAAAAATGAAAAAATTGTTGTGAAGAATTGAATAATTGTTTAAATAGTTCGATGTATTCAATTTTACAAACATTTTATATATATATATATATATGTTTTCCGCATAGGAATCATGTAAGAAGAATATCGACGGATGTTTAGGTGTTTGTTATGGAACTTTTAGGCATCTTTCGAAGGGGTTGTTGTTATTGTCCATTGGAAGAAATATAGGCGAAAGCATCGTTTTTAGTATTGGATGTTGATGCGATATAATACTAACTATCGTCTATCTGTTCTTTTTCTCCGTATACATATGCTCTTAATGCAATGAAATAAATGTTCGAATAAAAATATTTTATTTTGAACTAATTAATATTAAAGATGAATAAAATATACATTGAAACAAAATTGTTCAAGATGTTTCTCAAACGAAATTTATCGATTCATTGCAAATCGGCTTCTATTTTTAATCCAATACGAACATTATCAGCAGTTTCGCAACCAGAAATTAAACAAGAAAATAATATTGAAAATGATTTAATAATAGAAAAAGCGAAAATTGATGCGAAAAAAACACGTGGATTGGTAGTTAATATGGGTATGTCATGGTATAAAGCATTTGAAAGTGAATTTTCAAAAGACTATTTTCTAGAAGTATGAATTTGTTTATTTGAAATTATAAATTTTTCTTATTATTATATTAATAGTTAGCAAATTTTATTGCTGATCAACGTGAAAAACGTATAGTCATATATCCAAAACCACGTTATGTATTCACATTTACACGTATGTGTAAATTGGATCAAGTTAAAGTTGTTATAGTTGGACAAGATCCATATCATGGACGTAATCAAGCACATGGTCTTAGTTTTTCAGTACGCAAAAATATTCTACCACCACCTAGGTTTTGTGAATACTTTTTTCTTTTTATAAATATAAATTTTATAATTATCTAGTCTACAAAATATATTCAAAGAACTTCAAAATGATATACCTGATTTTATTATACCAAACCATGGAACATTATCTGGTTGGGCAACACAAGGTGTTTTATTACTTAATTCTTGTTTAACAGTTGAAAAAGGTCGAGCAAATTCTCATAGAGGAAAAGGATGGGAAATATTCACAGTATAACATTGTTATTCATATATGTTTTTTGTTAAAGGAAACTTTTATTTAGGATACTATTATTCAATATCTCAATGATCATTCATCAAATATCGTCTTTTTACTTTGGGGTAGAGATGCTCGAATAAAAGGTGCTCAAATTGATAAAGTAAAATTATTAGATTTTTGTTGAAAATATCTTACATAGATTTCTATGCTTTATATTCAGACACGCCATCATATATTAACAGCTGCCCATCCATCTCCATTATCTGTGTATAATGGTTTTATGGGTTGTAAAGTAAATAATCAGTTCAATTGGTTTTCAATTATTAAAATGAATTTGTTTTTCTAGCATTTTTCTAAAACAAATGCTTATCTTAAAGCTGCAGATCTTTCAGAAATCGATTGGTCATATTTACCATATGAAGATGAACTATCAATAAAATAAACTTCTCTTTTCTTTCATTGTTGGCTATTTATTTTATTCTTTCACGCCATTCATCTGTAATTAACTCATCATACTGTTTTCTTAAATATAACATGAGTTTATCGATATTTATTTTTTCTATTGTTGATATCGGTAATAAAGGATATGGAATATATTGTCGAGTTTGATCAAATTGACGTTTAGCATCAGGATCATCCATTTTATTTCCAATAACAGTTATGGGTTTTTTAGTTAAATCCATTTTATAGTCATGTAATTCATTCATTAATAAATCATATTGTTCCCATGGACGTTCAACACTCATATCAATAATAAGAAGTAATGCTAAACATCGTTCAATATGACGTAAGAATTGACTTCCTAAACCTTGTGCTTGTTTACTAGCACCAGGTACAATACCTGGAACATCAGCGACTAAAATAAATCGTATACAATCAGATGAAATTTAACAAAGAATCAAACCATGAATTTGTATAAAATCATCATATTCAATTGTACCAAGTTGAGGTTGACGTGTAGTAAATTCATAATCACCAACAATTGGTCGTGCTCGTGAAATAGTTCGTAGAAGACTACTTTTACCAGCATTTGGAAATCCAAGCTAAAGACAATATTGAAAAAAATTGCAGGATTAACCATTCAAAAAAAAAAAGAATCAATGTTTTACCAAACCAAAATGTGCTATAAGTTGGAGTTCAAGTTTATATTTTTTCTTATCACCACTAGCACCCAATTCACATTCAGTTGGTGCTCGATTCATATTTGATAAGAAATAATAATTTCCTTTACCACCTATACAAATAACATAAAGAAAAAAAACTAGATTTTATATTGATATTCTTACACTAACCTCATTATCTCACCTAAACCTCCTCGTGCAGCAATAAATTTTTGTTCATGTTTTACTAATTCACAAGCCATATTTCCATTCATTTTCTTTACAATTGTACCTACAGGTACCTAGAAAAGTAAATGCAGATATAAATAATTAAAATATACTTAAACGAGTTTACTTGAACTGTAAGATGTTCAGCAGATTTGCCCTTTTTGAAATTTGCTTCACCTGGTTCACCATTATCAGCTATATACATTTTCTTGATATTATTTAATGATGTAAGATGTTTTGATGCTACAAAACAAAAATTCGATTATAGATAAAATTCATCTGCAGGCTATTTCTTCATTTTTCGAATAATCGAGTTTGGACTAATTCCAAATATTAGGATATAACTCAATATATTCAATAAACACAAATTTTCTACTGCTATTGGAAACTACAGTGTAAATATAATATACTCTTATAATGAACAAAACTGAATAGTATCAATTGATGGTGTATATTTTTACCTTGAAGGATAATGTGCGCACCATTGCCTCCATCTCCTCCATTAGGTCCGCCAAATTCATTCTGAAATGTTTTTGAAAATGACGATCTTCCATCGCCACCTTTTCCAGCAATTAATCGAATTTCAATTTCATCTTGAAACTCATTATCCTATATGAAAGATTTCATACATACATACATTTTTGTTTGTATTCATCTCAATTACTTACAAAATCAATAGATGCTTTTGGTTTATTTGGTGCTAATGGTTTTGGATTCAATGATACTTTTGTTGTTAAACATCTTACAATAGTTCGAATCATCTTTTTTTTCTTTTTTCTTCTAATTATCTCAAAAAACAAAATAAGCAAGTTGATATATGTATATATTCTTCTGTTTACTTCTGAACAAAAACAAAAAACCATTATAATCAGAAGTTACACTGTCGGGCAATGATTAGAAAGAAACAACAAGAGTGTTGGAAAGAAAAACAACAATAACAACAACAAGTTTGTTTAATTCATGTTCAGATAGATGTCTGACTAGGTTTACAAAATCGAAATTATAAGTTTTAATTTTTTTGTTATGAGTTTATTTTTAATGCATTCGATATTCTCCATGATATTTTGTTTGGGTATTTTGTCCTTGAGCAACAAAATCAATATCAAAATCCAGATCACGATCATTCTTTGGATTTGGACGTAATGCTAATTTACCGGTTATTTTATCACCTTTATGTAACATAATATCTTCATCATCATGATCAAAATAAAATAATGTTTGTTTCCAATGTGTATATGGTGCATCGGGACCAGTTGAAAATCCACAATATTTATGACATTTACTAAATTCTACTGTAAAATAAGACACAAGTGCATGAATATAATCATTACGTATAGCATCAAGTGTAAAATTAGCTGTAAATGATAAATCTTCTACACGTACTGTTTGTAAATCAAATTCTTTCATTAAATAATGTGTTGTCATAACTTGACGATTATCAACACTATCAACAAGTGGTTCTTTAATAGCTACTTTTCGAATACAACTCATATCGAAACCATAAACATTATACCTAAAAAAATAAAAATATTGAAGAAATAATTTCCCAAAACCATTCATTTCTTACCACCAGTTAATTTTTTCATCACGGTATTTTTTATCTTCAATGCCACAAATATAAAGTTGACATTTATCTGGAAATAAAAGACCATGTTGCTTATTAAGCCACTTATCACGTGCATAAAGAATTGAATTAAGCATTGATTCATATAATAAACAATAACCCATCCATTCACTAACAATAATATCAACTTCAGTAATACCATCAGGTAATTCAACTTCTTCGATTTTGCCACGAATAAGTGTGATAACTGAACTTAAATTATTACTGTCAATTATTTCTTGTGCATAACCAACAATCGATGACATATCAATACCAATTACACGTTTAGCACCGGCTTTAGCAGCGAACATACTTAAAATACCTGTGCCACAACCTTTTAAGAAAACAAAAAATGAATAAATTTTTAGAAAATAATTTTTTCTTACCCAAATCAAGAACAACTTTATCTTTGAATAAATGACGATTATAAATCATGGCATTACGATAAGTTAATGTTCGTACTTCATCTTTAAGCATTTCTTCGTGAATACCACTAAAATATATTTTTGATTCTTTTCTCAAATTTCTATTCAATAAAAATTTTAATAGTACTTACAAATGAGCATAAGAATCAAAATAATAATCTTTTGATACTTTATCTTCTGGAAAACATTTTGCACTATCATCATTTGCTGATGTACCATTATTTACTGTTGCTAATGCTGTTTTAAGTATAGGTGATACTGGCACATTACCAGTGCTATTGGTTGATACTGTATTATCCATCTAAAATCTAGAAGATCAATTGAATCATGTTCTTCTGTCTCATATAAACATACCAAAAAAAAAGAGGAAAAATCACATTGTCTATGCAACAAACACCACACACACACACACGCACACGCACACGCACACACAAATACACAACAGATCGTTTTAAAAAAAAGGAAAATGTCAAACACAAGAACACAAAATTCTTTTTTTTCGTTAGACTAACGACATACACACACTGCAAAAAGAAAAATGAAGAAAAACGTACACACGCGCGAGTATTATTGCAGCTACTCAAAAAAAATGAGATCGCAAGAACAAGAGAAATAAACAGAAAATGAAAAGCGAGAGAGAGAGAGAGAGAGATACACACGCACACACACATATATATGGATGATTTTCATCGATATGTATGATGTTGTGGACCCCATGGATCATTATTAAATTCATTAAATTTTCCACTCGTTGATGGACCATTCGGATAATGATGATGATGACTATATGCATTCGTTGCTTGATCATTTATACCAGTCGCCCAATTATTAGCATCATATTTATTTGCTTGTTGTTGTTGTTGATGATGATGTTGTTGTTGTTGTTGCTGTTGTTGTTGTTGTTGTTGAAATGCTTGAAGAAAAGCTTGCATCATATTTGGATTCAGCATTTGTTGTAAAAGTAATTGTTGTTGTTGTTGATCTGGATTATTGGAAGCTGTAGCACCGCCTGTATTACCACCGCCAGGCATCATATTATTACCTGCACCATATTGTGAATAGGATGAAAAGTGGTGTGCATTCGTTGGTGGTATAGAGCGAACATTATGAAAATTACGATCTAAACATAAATGAAAACGTTGAAGATTTTTGTAAATTATAAAACATAGGGATTAAGATTAAAGAAGAGTATTGTATAAATCTGTACGAAATTACCATGTTTTATGGTAATCTATAATCAGTATAGAAAATATGGGTTGACGAAACAACAAAAATCTATCGAAATTCGCTAGTGTGAATGTCAGTTTTCTCTTTCTTGAGTTAAATATAACCAAGATATATGTAACTTTTATTCTTAAAGTAGTATGTCCTATACAAATACAGTCAATGTCATGTATGTCTAAGTTTTCAACTGAATAATTCGGATACATAATGAATTTGAAGTGAATAAAAACATAATATTTTTTTACCTGCTTTTGAACGTTTAAATTGACTGTCACTCGGTTTTCCTTTTGGTTCTGCCGGTCCGACATGTACACTACATCTAAACAGAAATGAAAAAAAAGCCATCAAATAAATTCAATGTATTCATATATATTTTTATACCCATTAATGAAATGATCACCATACAAAGATGGAACAATAGATGATTCAAGAAATGTAACAAAAGCAAAACTTCTTGACGGACGAGGAATATACACATCGGTTACTTCGCCAAATCGTTTAAAATATTGATTAAGATCATCAGCAGTAACAATTTCTATTATTAAAATGTATTTTTTTAAAATTTATATAAAAATATCTTTCTTACCTGGAAGACGGGCTACAAAGACTTTACGTGCACATTCTGGTTCATGCATGCCAGGATTCTAAATAATAAACAAAAAAAAATTTTTGATTTAAAAAAAAATAGAACATAAATTTAACCTTTGAATCTGGAATTTTTAAGTCACATGTACGTCCATCAATATGATGACGTTTATTTAATGCATTCAATTGTGATTCATAATCTTTAAAACGAACAAAACCAAATCCACGTGATTGACCTTGAGCATCACGTTTGATCTAAATTAGATGAAAAATTCTAATTGAAAAAAATCAATTAATAAAAAAATATATTTTACTTCACAAAAGACAAGTTCTCCAAATTGTTGAAAATAATTTCTGACATCTTCTTCATTCGATCGATAATTTATTCCAAGTACAATTAAATCTACACAACGTGATGGATCAATACGTTGATTTGATGATATATTGTTTACAAATGTTGTATTAGGGTCAATCTCCATGATGTATTTATTATTTCTATAGGATTTATTAAATAGGGATAACATTTGGAAGAAAGAAATAACAATTAAGATTTACCTGACAAAGATCTTTTGAAATATACAATGTTTTAATCTGAATAGCCATACACTGAAATAAATTAAAAAAAAAGAAAATGAGATAGATGAAGATGAAATTTCACGGATAACAAAAAAAAATAAACAAACCAATCACTTTGACCGATCAAAGAGATATGAATGACTGGCTGAACTTTGTTTACAAAAAGAAAATTATCGTGAAAGAGATTATTAGATTGTTTTTAAAAAGAAATTAATCGAAGAAAATATTATTAAAAAATCAATTCGATGAATTTTTATTTATTTTCTTTCTTAATATGAATTTATTGTGAGATAAATGAGTGACATCTTTAGATTATATTAATTTATTTTAAACCAATAAATAATGAGTATTTATTGTCTGATGATATTTACAATACAAAAAAAAACGGAAATTTGTTTTTGTAAAGAAATAAGTTTTTAATTATATTCAATTTTGATAAAAGATTTTTAATGAAATAAGAGATTGAGTTGTAGAATTTAAACTAGTCGATGAGGTATGGAGTCTTTAACTGAGTTTTATCACTGAAACACCAATAATGGTTGTTGACACTGGTGAGTACTTTTAAAAAGATGTTTTTTCACTGCATAGCTCTTTCTCACTTATATATAATAGTATAGTAAATAATTTGTTTTACAGATCAACTATCAATGTTTGATCGAGCGAAGAAAAATAATTAAACCAAGCTGTACTTTAGGATTCTAATGGTTGACTGTAAATTCATTGATTATTGAATTGTAGAAACAAAATGATAGCAATTAGTTGAGTCTATAGGATGACTTCTCAAAATTAAGAACAGCCTTGAGTAGGAATTAGAATGAATTTGTTCAGTTTGCATTATCTGAAAAGTAACTTTTTCAGTAAAATTGTGATAAATCTAAATTTTTCGTTTGCCAAAACGACGTACATTTTCATTCACATTTGATCGTCGTTAGCGATGAATACTAACATTTAATAACGAATATATTTAATATATACAATAAAAACTTAATCTTTCTGTTTTTTTTTGTAGATGTATCGTAATTAAAGCAAATAATACAGATGATATACATCTATATAATTAATATTTATGGAATATTCAAACTTCTGAATTTATCTTTTGATAATATATATGATACATTGTATCTATATAAAAAAAAACACTTTCAGTGGTAGTTAATAAATGGAAATTGTCATACTCTATTGTACTTGCAAGGAAACCGTCCAAAGAATTTATACCCTATCTTTTGGCCATAATTAGACATCAATGAAAGATACAAACAGCGGAAGAGGATTTGGACTTTTGTGGCTTTGACCCCGAGATATCAAATTAAAAAGAAACTTTCCACAAGATCCAAGATTTACAGCAAAACCGTATTACCGAGTTTTGATATGAGACACATTAACATTTTATGCACAATTCACTCTAATGTGCGACGTTAATATGGTCAAAGTCTTACATCAAATCCTCTTCCACTTTTTCATCATTCATTGAGATCTACTTATGGGCAAAAGTTAGGATTTCAACGGACTCCTTTTCAAGTGTTCTCGTGCCTTAAATGACTCCCATCTATCTTATAACATATTCGAAAATCATCGTAGCTAATGTAAATAATTTATGTATATGGAGGAGAATAATACAGATCGTTTAAATAATATTATATTAATTCAATGTATTATAGATTTTACTCTCTTTAGATAAATAATGTCCATCACACTTTTTCAACTTAATCGCCAACTACTTACGCGAGCATTGACTCGTACAGGTCCATTGGCTATAAGGTAAAACAAAATCGATTTAAAGTTTTATTCCTATATTTCTTTAATTATATTTAGACAACAAAAAGCTACTTCTAGTACAGTTACACCAGAAGTAGCAAATTATCGAACAAAATCAGCTGAATGGGTAGCAACAAATGAAAATAAATTTAAACGTCCAATATCACCACATATAGCAATCTATCGGTAATTAGAATTTATTTACTTTTTTTATAAAATTAAATATTTATAAATTTTTGCTATTTAGATTTCCTTTTCAAGTATTTACCTCTGGTTTTCATCGTCTTACTGGTGTAATGTTAAACACAAGTAAGAATATAAAACTTTTTCTGCTTTTCAAAAATAGAGTTTTTTGTGTCTAATCTTAGTGCTTTATACCGCTGGACCACTTGCATTTCTTGCTACAGGTCATAGTGCTGAAATATTACATTATATTTATACAAGTGATATACCAAGTTGGTTTATATTTTCAGTTAAAATGTTTATTGCTTTACCGTAAGTTATTTTCTGTAATTGAAGTGAATCGTAGTCTTATTTTCTTATTTTAAGTTTTTCATATCATACAATAAATGGTATTCGTCATATGGTAATAGAATATTTTCAATAGAAAGAAATATATAAGTTTTATCTTATTTTGTTTAGGCATGGGATACAGGTGCAGGATTTGAACAATATGAAAAAATCAGTGCTGCTGTTATTCTTTTATCTTTTGTTCTTGCTGCTGGTCTTACTCAACTATAAACAATTTGATTGATAAATATCAACATGATTTTCTTTCCTGATAGTTTCCTTTTCCTTAGATCTGTAAGACATGGCTTTTTTTTTCTTTAGTTTCTTTTTCTTCTTCCTTAGACATTGTAAAATTTTTAAATAAAAACAAAAGGAGACAAAAAAAAAGAGATAATTTATTGCTTCGCAACTCGCGGTGTCATTGCCATTCGTTGACGAATAGCATCTATATCAGTACGTAATTCTTTTAAGTTCAATCGTAAAGAATCAGAACGTCCCCGCGTTGTGCCGCCAACGGATGATGATGCCAAGCGCATTTTATTCATTTCTAACTTCATTGCTTGCATATCATCAATTAATCGTTTTAAATATTGTTTAGTTTCATTGTCAGTATCAGTATTATTATTATTGTTATTATTATTATTTGTTGGTGGTGGACCATATTTTAAACGTGTTCGAGATGGATGAGATATTGTATTATATATTTTTGATTCCGGTTTGGATGCTGAATGACTATGACCATTTACTTGATGACGTCGATGATGATGATGACGATGATGAGATGATTGAATAAGTATAGCTGATGCATCAGCATTTTCAGCACTTAACGGACGACTTCGATATTGATGATCGGAACGTTTGGGTGAAATAGAACGTGAACGTGTTGAAGATTTATCATATCCATCACTAGTTGCAGTCTGTTGTGTTTCAATATGAGCAACAACCATACCATTTGTATTTGATGGTGAAAGTGTAGTTTTGATTTTTTCACCTGTTGGTAATGGAATAACTTTAGGTACATAGCTAAATGAAAAATTCATTATAAGAGAAACAAAAATTCATTAAATATTATCTTTACCGATTATAAATTCCCATTGGAACTACAGGTGCTTGTTGAGCAGCTTGCCATGCAGCTATTTGTTGTTGTTGAAAAAGTAACTGTTGTTGTTGTAACTGTTGCTGCTGTTGTTGCTGTAGTAGTGTTTGTTGTTGCTGTTGTTGCTGTTGCTGAGGTTGTTGAGGTTGCTGCTGTTGCACTGGTGTGGGTGATTGTGCTATTGTTATTTTTTGGCTAGTATTATCCGAAGATTCTTGTGGTTTACTAGGTTTTTGAGGTGATCGTGATCGATGTTTATGACGATGTTTACTACCACTATCACTTGCTGTTTTACTTGATGAATTTCCAGTTTTAACTTTTCTTGGACTTTTATGACGTCGATATCCTCCACTATCATCTCGACTACTATGATAACTATTATTAAATGGTGTATAACTAAGTTGTGGTAATGGTGGAGCTGATAATGGTGTTTTTTCTCTAGTTGTATTTATATCACCATCACGTACATATAATATTCTTCTTGGTGATTGCTGTCGATTAGCTTTACCTGCACGAAAAATATCATTAGACTTTTGAGATGATGGAGATATTAATTGTTTATTATCTGGTGATTTGGTATCAACTATAATTTGATTTTCATTACCTTTTGAATAAGATGATTGTTTAACATGTCGAAAATCATCACGAATTAAATGTGCATCCGATGGATGTACAACATATAAAAGTACGCCTTTCATGTTAGATTTAACTTCTTCATAAACAATACAAATAACATTATTTATATTTGGTTGCATAAATATATCATGAACATGTGCTATAGGAATAAAAACAGGTATACGTGTTCGAGCTATTTGAGGATCTTGTGCTTTTATTTGGATTCCAACTCGACTAATACGAATCCAAACAGCCGTAGCTATGAACATAAGAAAAGATTTAATAGAAATAGAAAAAAAGAATTCCTAAAAATATTCTAACATACTATAAGGTTTTCCAGTGGTAGCATGATTAATAATGCTACGAATTGTATCTGAGGTGTAGGTACTAATTAAAGTTGAGTTAAGTGGAAAAGCTGTATAACGTCGAGATGTTACACCATCATTCGGATTGTTATACGTTATTAACTGGTTCATACTTAGATTTATTTGTCAGACAAATGATCTGAAACGTTGGATATTACAAAATATTTAAAGGGTAAAGTAGCTAACAAGCAAACCTAGATAGTGATGATTGATATTCTCACTTGATGATGTATTCGTCGACAACTATATTTAATTATAAACTTCTCCCTTACTCTCAACTTTGACCAATGTTATAGGACAAAAGTGTAAATAAGAAATGTATTGACATATTCTATTTCTTCTTATTTCAACAGTCACGCTTGATTTGTATTCTTCTCTTTTTCCTCGTTTTGATAATAATAAGCATGTAGAAAAAAAATCATTAAATAGGACGAGAGTAACTTGAGGTTTTGCAACGTGCTCTTCTCAAATGATTGCTTTTTTGGCCACATCGAATCTTTCATAAATTGATCGTATACTGACACGTCATAATGAAAATAGATAGGCGTACATTTTACATATATTATGACAACTAAAGGAAAAAAGACAAAAAAAATGTGCACATGCTTCACACATCTAGATGTGTATATTACGTTTTGCAACACTATGGTGACACCTACTACTACTACTACTAATGAACATTTATGTCATCTATAGAAGTTGTCGTGATAGAGCTAAATGATGAATGATTGATTATTATATCTGATACTTCGAGTATCATTTAAAAGTTTTTTAGTAAGAACATATGAAAACTAAAGTTTTATGTATATACATGTATGTATAATAGTAAGATTAAAAAATGAAATAATTGTTTTTTTTGTCTGTCAATAAAAATCTTTCGTATTTTTGAAAAAACGAACTAATTTGATTATATCTGATGAACTATTGAAACGTAATTGGAAAAAAGGTACTCTTTTTCACAGATAATTTTCTGTGACTGGTAAATGTCGCATGATTTATTACGTTTTCATTGCATTTTTTTTATATAAAAACGTATTTGAAGCTGCATAAACATTAATTGATTTAATTAAACTGTCCAATAATATAAGTTATACCGTGTCAAAAGTAAACTAAAGAAAACAAAATATTATTTATCGTCTACGTCTTGTTCAGGATAATTAAAAGTCAAGGTTTCACTGGATGCTCACCGTAAAGAATAATATTTTACATTTAACGCAATCGAAATTTATTTACGTAAAAATGATAAAATTCTTATCGTGCAATTTTTTCGTTTCATAGTACACTAACGAATTTTTTTTTTGCGTCTTTAGTTTTTTTTACTAGACAAGATACACTTGTTATTTTATGGATATATCCAACATCGATATATTTTTTTTTCTCATCTTGATATTTATGTTGAAGATTAATCTTTAATAGATGTATAGTATCAGAACACAAAATCATATTGATAGAAATCGAAATTAATTTAAATTAACAAAATATCAGGTACTTTTGTCGTTCTCTATGCTCTTCATAGAGATATATTTTTTTTGCATGTCTATCGAAATGATACAACCTTGCCAGACCTCAAAGGACAAAACTTCGTAAATTGTTAGTCTACAAAGTTTTTTGACAGTAGGAAAAAAAAGGAGATAGAAAATGATAAAACTTTATATAAAATAAACTTTTTAATTAAAATAAATATAGCAATTATAATATACTTTTTCTTTTCGACTCACTGATTAATCATTTGTTTTTATAGAAGAGCAAAAACAAACATTTTTGACAGTATACAATTAGATAAAATAGATCGAAATCTCTTCCAATCACAGCATCTTAATGGACTAATTGACAGTCATATTGATATGACCCTTTTTTTGACAAATGATGTTTTATGACGTATCCACAACACTACATAATAACATTGAAATCCTATATCCTCGTTGTTCAAGCATAACATCATTTTCGTTACCTTATCTTTCGTCACTCGAAAATGATAAGTCTATTTCCTTCAACTTGTCTATGATGACAGAATGATAAACATAACTTGATAATTGTTAGTTTTCTTTTTTCCTATAATCCTGATAAGGTATATATACATATATAATTAGAGAAACAATAATTTCTATATAATAATACTCTTTTTTAATGAATAGAATAAAAGATTATGTAAATGATAGTTATTCAGAATAAATTTTCTTCGAATAAATAATTCATAAAAATTTTTAATACAATAAAACGTTTCATAGTCAATACTTAATGCATTTAGAATAACTAAAGAACTTTTAAAATGACGTTAAAAAATATCCTTTTTTACTCCTACGTTTTGTTCTTTAAATCAAATTTTAATGCAGACAATTTTGTCCTCAAAGAATTATTCTACGATCTTTTTTATTACTTAAAAACATCAACAGAAGATTTAAGGCATATGAGAAAAAAGACGTCATTTTAATAGATAATGAAGATCATATGCAGAAGCCTAAGAACATTCCTGTCATATGAATAATGTGTGGAAATGAAATATAAGCTACCTGACAGAAAGTCATGATATTTTCTTTTTTCATAATAATTGTTGAAAGAAAAAAGATAATTAAAGTGCTGAAGGAGATTTTAATATTAACTTTTCTATGTCGTACTTATTTTATATGGTCTTAATAATCAACAGTTGCTCGAGTTCATTTATATCCATTGAGAGATAGGTTAAAATACCACAAAGATGTCATTTATTTTCTTCCTTGGAAAAAAGAACATTGTCAAGAAATTAAAAAAAAATAAAACATAAAACAAAAAAAAAATTGTACAATTATGAAAAATTTTCATCTGATCGAAATGATGGATTTTGTTCACCATGAATACGAACATCATATAATCCATCTTTTATAGTTGCTGATATTGTTGGTAAATTAGTATTCGTTTGTTGTTCAGTTACAGGAGATGCTGATGATGTTGCTAATGATATCATTGAATTATTATTATTATTAATATTATTTACATTGGATTGACGACGACGACTTATTGTTGATGGCAATGATATACGATATGCAGCAAGTATATCGAGATTACATAATGGACAATGTCGATGATTAAGTAACCAAGGATCAACACAATGATGATGAAATGTATGACCACAAACTAAAGCAATAAGAATTTTATATATAATTTTTTTTGATTTAAAAATTCTTTTCTTATGCTTACCTAATTGTCTAACTGTATCACCAGTTTTAATTGAATCTAAACATATAACACATGATTCTTCTGTTGAAGGATTTTCAGTAACATGAATTAATGGAATTTTAGTCAAAGCTTTTTTAGCAGCATTTGATAAACGATTTTGTAAACGATCTTTTGTGGTACGCGCACGACGTTGTTGACAATAATAAAATATAAGCCATGATATACATAATGATATAAGTATACAAATTGATACAGCTATAAATATTGTTGCCGATTGTGATCCAAACCAGATATTTTCATGATTAAAATCATCATAATCCATGTCTAACGGTTGCAATGATATATTTAATTGTGTACGATTATCTCTTGCTATATTAAATAATAAAGAACCAATTGATTTTTGAACATAAACAGATAATATATCTGAATTATTGTGTACCATATTGTACATATCAAAACCTGAATTTTGTGGATCATATATAATAACAGCTGAAAACAAAAAAAATCATTCTTTGAAATTTTATTGAATTTTAAAAAATTTAAAAAAATACCTGTAGCTCCATATTGTTTGGCACGTGTTATTTTAACACTAAATGTACAATTTCCACCTCGTTGAATAATAGCAATACCATTTGAATAATTCAAAGATTTAATTGGTTGTTGACAACCATCATAATTTCCGTTTCCATCAAGAAGTATAAATGCTTGACCATTAAGAACTTTCAATTGACTACCTTTCGTTGATACAATACCATTTGTTCGACTTTCTTCTGTTTTATTTATATAATTTGAATATGGTGAATAATATTCAAAGTTAATTATTGTTGTTGTGTAACTTTCAATATATTTTGGTAAAAGAATAATACAAAGATAAATGTAAATAATCATATTTGAAGATAATAATCGTCGAAAATTTATCATTATCAATGGTGTTAACCGGGATGATGAGAGCAGATAGATGAATTCTTTTTGTCTACAACATGAAGAGGAAAAATGTACTTTAATTTCCTTTTTCTCTGTCTTTTGTCTCCTTTTTTTTTCTTCTTTCGCTTAGAAGCATAAGAACTTTTGGAGGAAGACTGATCATGCTGATGGCAAGAAGAAAAAAAGGAGGAGAGGAAAGTACAATGTCTCATACTCATTAGTATTTCCTATTCATCAGACGCACACGAGTGTAAAAAATTGTCTATAGCGAAGTATTTTTTGTTAGATAATACTTGATAATGACGCAGGTATTACTATTTCATATTGAGATATAGATATAATATATATATATATATATATATATATCAAGGGAGAGAGGGAGGAAAAAAAAGAATAATGATTATTTAATTACATTTCTCAACCTTGACCGTTTAAAAAAAAAGTATATCGTTTTTGATTTATAGATTTTATTACCAATAAATCGAGATTCTATATGAAAGGAATAACAAAATACTCATTTATATATACATGTTGTTATATAAAAGAAAATTGATTATGAAAAAGTTATGGACTTAAAGAACATTTTTTTTCATACTGTACTATTTGAACTGAAAGTGATAAAAAATTTAAACGAATATGTACTCGTCTTTAATCCTAATGTTTACAATAGATATAACTATTTGTATTCTCTATATAGATGTTCATTAGATTTGATTAATTTAGATCTCAATAAACACACGCCCGTCATTTCTTTCACACATTAACCTAATTTTTAACAAAGAAAAAAAAGCTTCCTTCACGCAAAACAACTTAAAATATTCCTATTCTCAGTGTGTCAAAAAAAATACTCTTTTTTTTTAAATAGGGGTGTGGGTGTATGCAAAGAAGAAAAAGAAACTTACGAAGTTGCCGTTGTTCTGTAGCCGAAAAAAATATTAACATAACTATACTATTTTCATCAAGGTAAAAACATACACTTAAGTGGCATCATAAGCAACATTCTGAAAACAGGGCACTTGTCGTATCAAGGTTGTCTGATAGTCAGTGAAATATAACACTAAATAAAGGCCAATAAATGTTTTGAAAAAGAAAGAATTGATAAAAACATAATGATTTCAGTGGTTTCCAATTTGATAGAAAATAAAAAAATACCTTTACACAACAAAACATAAAGGTACTACTATTATTATCGTGTTGTTTTTCCAATAGCTGCCGTCAAACATTACTCTCTTGTGCTCATACGTTATGATGAGTACTTCAATTTTTTTTTCTGCTATATAAAAAAAAGCGAGTAGTAAGCAAGTAATAAAAAGAAAAGAAGGAAGAAAGAAATGGGGACAACAAAACGTATGTAAATGCATGTGTATGCGCAATTTTTTTTCTTCTTCTGGACGTTTATAGTTACTATTGCAATGTGTCTTTTCACACATTCACATAATGCGATTTTTAGCCAAACATCGACCGTTGTTTCATCGTCATCGTTGTCGTTTAACCCTTCTCTTCTTCTTCGTCTTCTTCTTTTTTTCCTATCATCTTCTGGGAAAAAAATCATTTTCTTTCGGAACAATAAATATAATATTAAAAGAGAACTACATATTCAATTGAACAAAAACAGCTGCCTACTTGTGATAGAATACTTAGGTAATTGAACTCGATTATCTAATAGTACACACATAGCGTGTCGACGCGTTTTTTTTATTCATTATTACTTTAAAAAGATATGTATGTCGTTCACACATATTAGTTGAATTTATTTTAATGATGACAAATGATTATCATCAAATGAAGATATAAAAAAAATATTTTTCTATTTTCTATGCGTGATAATTAAAGATAGATATATATAAATTCTATAAGCAGAAAAAAAAGAAACCAGTCGTGTAAACAAAATCTCTAAAAAACAGTCAGGAATTCTATTTTTTTCTCTCTCTTACATTAAAAAAAAAGGAACGACAAAAATAAACTTAATAGAAACCTAAGATTTGAACTATTTTTTCATCTCATTCAACTGATTTACCTTTATCATAAAATAGATATAGACAGTATTATCAATCATTGACATACATATTAATGAAAGATGACAGTTAGTAAACTTTAGTGACTACTAGACAGAGTATGTAGTTCGATAATTGCATAACACATGGATTGTCTTTTTTTGAAGATTTATTTTATTGACTGATTGGACTTAACAAAAAAATTTCATAATTCTAGGTAAAGGCTATTGGTCGTTGACAAAAGTATTGTTTTATTCCAATAGTTCGAAGCCTTTCGATGACATTTTCTCTATAATCTGCAATATATATCTATGTATGTGCTTGTTATAAAATCTATCTTATGATGCAGACAACACATCGCCGTCTGTCTGGACGATGAATGTTATTGAAAAAAAAAAGCGAAGTAGGAAAGAAAGAAATCAGATCACTCATCATATGCTATTGTTTGAACGGATGGCTATTCAAATCAATGCAACAATTGAGTGTCCATCACGTTTTCAAATATAGAAGAAAAAAATAAAACGGAAAGAATAGATATATCTTTTTACCAATGATCTTATTTTGATGAAATGATTAATAATATACGCACTATATACATCGATTAAGCCATCGTGTCATCCAGACAAAAGAAAAAGAAAGGATTATAAACTGCTGTGTTTTTCAATCAAGTTCACCCATCACATCAACGATGAAATTCGTGTTAATATGAACGTACGAATTATTTACTCTAAGTCTATTTGACGCGACAACAAAATCAGATAAAAATTGCATGTGTCAGATCAATCTGCAAATGATGACTGATTTCCTTCTTATATATATTTTTCAAATATATACTCAACTGATAGACAAATATGTATATATGAATGATGAAAAAGAAGCAAAATCAGCATCAACAACACTAGTAGAATCAATGCATAATAACTATCGTCTCGTCAGCGTTGTTATACATAAACGTTAATCGTTCATTTTCTACTTACCGTATATATGCTAATGGCACTTGTCAAGATTCAAATAGATATATATATATATATATGTAAACGAATAGGAAAAAAAAGGAACATGACATCAAGATCATGGTTAAAAGTATTGAATAAATGAGGTCGTTTATTGTTATATGCAAGATTTTTCAATGACATATGAATATTATTATCTATGATAGTTTTCATGTACTTGTACTATTGATAATGATATGATCATACATTATATTAAATAGGTAAGAAAATGGAAAATGTTCAAGGTTGTTAATGATTTAATGTTCTTGAATTAGACTTTCTTAATTACTAGTGCATCATAATATTCTTACAATTACAAAATAAAACTATGAAAATAATATTTCTCTAAAGTTTAAATTAGATTTTTCTTTTTTTTTTTTTGTTTTATTTCTAAGCAGAAAGAAAGAAAAAATGTGTGATAATTATAAACATGTACATTTCTTTTATTCTCTTTGGTTACTTTACATGATAGTGTGTATAGGCGCAAGACAGAAAAAACAAAACGAATAGAGAGTATATAAACAATACAAAAAAAGCAAACTAATCAAATATCTGACAAAAACACACGCATAGAAATTCATGAATATGTTAATAAACAGAAGACAAAAAATAGAAATAGCTTAGAAGTAAAATAGATTTACTTGAGCTATATATAAGATATTTTTAAACATTAGCTGGATTTTCAAATTGTAAATAGGCACGTGATTTTGTTGTATAACTTGCTTGTTGAGATGTATTAATCGGATAATCTAGATTTTGATTATGAGGTATAAAATGATTTGATTGAACTGTATAAGTAGTTGGATATGGTGAACGTGATTTTGTTTGATGAGCTTTTAATGATTGTGTACCATTCATATTTGTTTGTAAGAATTGTCGAGGAATAGGTGGATGGGAAGGTTTTTGAAGGTTAATTGATAGAGAAGATTTACCAGGAATAGGTTGTGTTTCATGTCGTGTTTGGATGAAATTATCTATCATTTGTTGATTATGAGACATTTGACTGGAGTCAAAACGATATGGTTGATAACCTTGTTGTTGTTGTTGTGTATTTGAAGAATGAAGAAAACCATTTGATGTACGTTCGTTCTAAAGAAACAATATGTAATTACAAACTAAAGACTTTTGTTAAACTCAATCATTGATTAGTTTCCTCGATAGTGTTTATACTTAAAATTTGATGTTATTATAAACAGTAAACTTTTCCTTGGGGAAATTTGTTTTTTTTGATTACTAAGAAAGATTTTATTTACACTCTGAGATTTTGATGATGTTGAATTTGATCGTGTACTGAATGGCACTGGTGGAGGTGGATAAAATGGTGTATGACTATCGTGAGGTGATGATCGAGAATGAGTAAGATGCGATTTTATTGTTTGATTTGGTGATGATCTAAAAATAAATTGAAATAAAACAAAATTTAAAAAACACTTCATTTATACTTTTCTTCTTGATTTTCTTTTCGTTTTGATCTAAAAACAAGAATTTATTATGTAAAAACGAATAAATTCAATTTTACTTTGTAGTAAATAAATTTGAAAATTTAAATTTTTGTTTTTCTGTTTTATTGGATTTATCACTATTTATAGATTCTAAATAATCAATAAATCTCGTTATTTTTTGTTCTAAATTAAATAAAAAACATACCATCTCGATTCTGTTGCCCATATGACTTATCAACAGCATGTCGAAATGAGTCATTACAAGCTCTATTACGTAATTTTGCTTGACGTTTTCGTTCATCATCTTCTATTGGCTTGTAAATACTTTCATATGATGATGAACGAGGTAAAATTGAAGGTGTATCAGGTAATATTCGAGGTGGTTGTCCTATAAAAAAAAATATCAATTTATAGATAAAAAATACTTATACCATTTTATATCAATTCAAAGTCATGCAAAACACGTCTGATATATCGAATTTCATTAGATCATATAGTCGATAAAAGCAATATGTATATATTTTACTAGACAATTTAATACGACGCGAGACTTTCTTGGCTGAGAATATTTGGATAGAAAATGTTGGAGATTTGTTTTTTGTGGATTTATACATACTTCGTTCACTACTTGTTCGAGCTTCATGAAATGATCGTTGTTTCCATTGAACAACTTGATTATTTGGTTGTTGAGTTGTACGACGTTTTTCCGATATACTTTGTCGAAATGGAGTTTCACGTTCGAATGGATTAGTACTAGAAAAATCGATTAGAATTATAATGAATATTTATTTTAGCGTCTGAATAGTAATTCGGAAATGATATTACAACGATCAAATAGAAAAGAAGTGTTTATATTTGTCTTTCCGGCAAGTGTAAAATAAAATATTTATAACTTCTCTTCCTTTGTTGATTCTAGCGTAATAATCTTCAATACGAACAGTTCAAATGAAAACAAACTAACTCTTAATCTCAAATTTAAGAAAACTATTTCATGTAATACATTCGCTTACCTTCTATTACTGATTTCTTCCTGATTTTCTAAAACAAAAAAAAATATCAAAAAAAATTTTTTATTTCATATTCAACTTACGTTTTTCACCCAATGTTGTTTTGTTTCTCGTAGGTGATTGATTTATTGTTGAACGAATTTCAGAGTCTAATAATTTTGTTGATTCTATAAGATATACATTAAAATTTATCTTTAAATTAAATCGAAGATTATTACTTGAAGGTGGTTTTTGATTAACTGATGGAACAAAATTTGTAAGATCTAATTCATTCTCATCATTATTATTCATTGTTAATGCAGGTGGTAATAATTCAATTTCTTTAACATGATTTAAATTCATATCTTGTTCATCATTTAAAATACGTGAAATTGTTATTTTAATAAATCCAGGTTGAATTTCTTTTCGTACAGCATCATGTAAAATAGCTGCAGCATCTAAATTCGATAGATTTACTAGTGATGAATCATTAATAATAAGAATTTGATCATTAGAACGAAGGCGATTATCCTACAACAACAAAAAATTTCATAAGAAAACGAAAATTTTCGATAAAAAAATGATTTACTCGATAAGCTGCACCACCAGTTAAAATACTTTTAACAAATATTCCAAGATCAATTGATTGTCCATCAACAATCGATGTTTTTCCTTTAAGTGTTATACCTAATCCAGCTGACGATGTATCTCTTAACGGAATATTAAACGTCATTAATTGTGTTTTAACTTCATCATTTATCTGAAAAAAACCATTATTCTATATTTATTCTCTTATATAATTCATCAAAATCACTTACTAAATCTTTTGGTAATGATCCGTCGTTTTGTCTTGATATACATAAATGAACAGTATCACCAATACGTGTTTCACGTAATAAACCAACTGTATCTTGTAATGACATTTGTGTAACATCAATGGAATTAACAGTTAATAAACGATCACCATTACGTAAACGTCCATCTTCAATTGCAGCACCTTTAGGAAATATTGTTTTAACATAGATTGGATTAGCAATACCTGTTGGATTATCACGTGATGCTAATTTAAAACCTAAACCATCATAACCTTTAATAAGAGTAATTTTTATTATTTTTCCTAAACGTTTTGTATTTTGATTAATTTCAGGTTTGTTATTATTATTCAAATAAAATGATGTTGATAAAGATTGTCTTCGACTTATTTTTAATTCAAGTTCAGATTCAAGTAAAGCATTTCGAAAAATTAATTGAGCTCTAAATTTTATATAGAAAAAAATTATTAAACAAAAAAGAAATAATTTTACTTTTCAAATGAACATTGTTCAATATTTGTTCGATTTATTTCAATAATACGATCATTTATTTCTAATATACCTTGACGTTTTATACGTCCTTCAAATTCAATATTTTGTAAAAGAAGTCCATTGACTTGTTCTTCATTACTATTATATGGAATAACATGAATGCCTAATGGACTATTTTCTTTTGGCAATGAAATATGAAATATTTTATCACCAGTTTGTTCGTCAATATGAACATTATACATTCCTTTATTATCCAAAGATGATTGAATTCGAGGAGAAGGATTAGAACGGTTTATATTAATTACATTTTGCTAGAAAAATATGAATTATTTAAAAATGATTAGAAGAAAAAAGTTTGTTTTTATTACTTGATGTGTATTATTTGATTCAGTTTTGATACGTAAAGATCGAGCTAAATAAAGAAAACATTTAAAGTTTGTTTTGAAAAGATTATCTTTGTGATTATTATTCATTATCTATAAAGTTTTATTTATAAATAGTAATTCGAAATGAATGTATTCAATATGCAAAGATTTCTTTAAATATTCCTATGTGATTAATTATTTAAACGACTCGAATATCTTTCCGATCTATAATGGTTTCGATAGCTTATAAATTATACAAATCTCGATGGGTATAGTTCATTTAAAATCAACTAACAAATTGTTATTTAATCTTATCGAAATGTCAATATTATTCAGTACTAAAAAACAAGAAAGAAAAAGAAATAACTAGAATACGTTCGTCATAGATTGTTCTTATATTATCTCATCAAAGAGAGGCAAATTTATAATGCCGCTATTAACATAATTCCGATTCTTTTTCTTGTACATTCTAACGAATCTTGTGATGTACTAAAATTCATCTCAATCTACTACAATAGAAGTATACATCAAGTACACAAATTTTATTTTGAATATCTTAAAATCAAGAAAAAACGCATACGTAGATAGAAGAATCGTATTTAAGATGTTTCGTTTATACCCGAGACTTGCTCTTCATTTCTATTTACTGAAGATGAGCATACTATATATATGTCACTGTCCAATGTCAGATTGAGGAAAAAGTTTCACTTAAAACTTAGATTAATCTCGAGATCGACTTCATATTTCAATTCTTATTCAGGAATTAAAAAATGAATTTCAAAATTTAAGAGTTATGAGAAGTTTTCCTCAATCTCTGTTCTTATGCATAAAATTGTTTATAACTTGATCGATTCGAGTTCAATTGATCAAGCGACGGTTATATAAATTGGGGACCTATCGATTCACCAAAATAAATCAAGAAGAATTCGAAATTAATCTAAGTTCTCAGTGAAACTTTTCTTTCAATCTGATATTGGGCATAACCTTAATTTAGACGCTGACAAATATGGTGTCCGTTGAGCGAAAACCATATAAGCGAACGGAATTTTTAGCGAAAAAAAATGCACGAAAGTCATAACTGCGAAACTCCTTTCACCCTCACTTTTCGTCCATACCCTTATCAAGAAAAATCATTTCGCTCATTTGCCCCACACCCGCTGACATATATATATATGTATTGACATGAAGATATTTGATCCCATATTTTACACATACAGAAAATGACTATATCACTCCTAATTAACTAATACTCGAATTAATATATTTCTTTTTTCGTTAGTTCAATTCGTTATATAAAATTTGAGAAAAATAATGCTGCGATACATGAATAATCCAATGTATCATGTTAATCGTTAAGATGAAGACCCATCTGTTATTTATTTGGTTACATATAAACATCATATATTCACGTCATCATTATAGAATTTAAAATTACTTGTTGAAATTTTGTTTTTTTTTCAAAATTTTTCATCACTCTCTCTCTCTATCTTATCGTAAAAGTTCAATTATGTTTATAGAACGAAACGTTTGAAAGGAATCAGTCAATTCATTTAACAAATCGATTTCTTTTACATATTTAAACTTAAATATAAGAAATAGTTTCGTATTACTTATCAATCATCACGTATATTTATAATCGATAAGACAATGTGCACGTATTCAAACATTTTTTTATGATTGACAAGTTTATAATTCAATTTGTAATGATATGTTAAGAATATACATACTTCGAAGATCAGCATCAGTAACAATCACTTCATGACGATTATTTGATGTTGATAATGGAGGTGGAGGTGGTACATTAGGACGTTCATGCTCTGATAAACTTGTAGATAAATTTGAACTTGTTATACTTGAAGATAATTCACCATTACTATTAAGACTTGTTGTATGTGATTCAATAATAGCAAATAACTAAAGAAATTTTATTTTTGTAAGATAACATTGAATAAAACGAAAGAACAATAAAATTACCTCTTCTCGATCATCAACTACATCACAAACTCGATCATCAGGATCGACAACAGCACCATTATTTAGTCTTAATTGAATTTGATCACTGTTTAAATTAAGTATATTATTGTAGGCTGACTGAAACAAAAAAAAAGAGAGAATTGTTAATTACATGACCGACAGAAAGATCAATAGACATATGTTTAGTATCTATCATTTTATATACTAATGAGATAGTATATCTGTCTAATAAAATATATATGTATTCTACTTACCAATTTTGAATATTTAGTTTTTGCCAGATGAATTAATTCTCGAATAGATAGATCACCATTTGGACCACATGGTACAACGACTTTTTTTTCACCAAAATTCACAATTACTTTCATGATATACGATTTTTTGAATAGTTGTTATTCAGACAATGCATCTTATCAGAACTAAAAGAAAGAAAAGAACAAAATGAAAGAATGTATACGATAATGATGGTGGTGATGATGATGATTTTAACGATGTACACGGAAGAATGAGAAAGAGAGAATAGTATATGAGCAATGTTTCTTTCTATTATACACATATATACATATACATATACATATATATACCATCCTATGAAGGAGGGAACAAAATGGGTAAGGGATCGATCAATGGGTCGCCGAAAAGAATACAGCGATGTCTATAGACATATGTATATATATATATATGTATGTTCTTTTGAACAATGTATGAATGAACCATATGACATGAAGATAATTATATATGATTTTATATGATTATAAGAAAATGAAGTAGAAGAACAAAAAAAAGAAGATAATTAATTTTTATAACTTACAGAATATTACTTTGTTTTTTTACTTTTTACTTTTCACTTTTTTTTATCGATTATTAAATGAGAAATAATCAAAATAGCAGGTGTGTATGTGTGAAACAAAAGGAGAATAGAAAGAGATGAGAGAGGAAAAGACAAAAAAAAGGTAGACTCATGATTTCAATTGGATGCGAAAAGATGTCAAACAACGAACAATCGTTTAAGAGGGCGCCGAATGTCAGAGTAAAGATAAAAACATTTAATCTTGATATTTATGATCGTTAAATTTGATCTTTGATGAAGATAATATCATAAGTTTCTCTTTGTAGTATACAGATATTTGTATTTATAAACAAAAAAATAATAATTGTTGAACTTTTATTTGATATCTTGTAAAAGAAATTTGTTTCTCATTTCTTTTTATTTTATAGTCTATGTTATTATATATCACAATCAATACTATGAAAAAAATATAATAATAAAAAGTATATAATTGACATTATTTTGAAGTATCTACTTGTATAAAAGGTGACTTCCTGATAATTGTATAGAGTATTCTTTGTCCATTTATATTTATATAGGTTCAAATTTCACCTGACGAAGTTATACTTCATTATTATTTTGGCTCCTAGCATAAAAAGTAATGTTCTTATTTCTAATAGACTATGTATCATCAAATAAGAGGGTTTTATCAATAAAGTTTAGAACGAAATAGTTAATTACATTTTTTTATGATAGGAAATAGGTAAACTGATGATTATGTTTACACATATCATTAATGAAATATTTCTAATTTAAAACAAATCTTCACTATAATTATCTCATTCGATGTAATAGAAAGAAACTGTATTGATCGATTAATTGTACAAATCATTCGAATTTTTTGAACTTGAAGAAGCGTGTATATATATAATGAATGTAGACTTATAATTTTCATTATTAATTATAAATGGAAGAAGAATGTAATAATCATTAATCAATATTCAAACTATCAGAAATCGTAATTAATTATATTTTCGAGAAAATTCATTTATTATCTCAGATTACAATATATATTATAAGTATTTTATAGCCATCATGCGCTCTGTAAAATTCAACAATAGCTTGTTCTATGTGCTTCATTTAATTGATAAGATTGATAGATCGAATGACTCGTTATTGTTGCATTTCATGCTGTAACTAAAACAATAGTTTTCAAGATCAACAATTCTTTAAAGATATAACGTCTGATAAATATCTTACAATAGTTCATTATTCGTATATATAAACACGAACGCTATCTTAAATACTTGTTGCAGTCGAAGAAAGAAAAGTAATGTTAATCATTCCAGAGATTATCTAAAATTATAAATCCTTCTGACATGATATTAAATGATGAAGATTCATGGAATTTTCCAACTCATTGGTATAGAAGAATTATTTTCCTGAGACAGTTTAGTTTTTTTATTGCAAAGATTGTATTTCGTCTCCGATAACGTTTTGTTCTAATATTTCTGATATCAAATATGAAGTGTTTTGTGTGTTAGTGAAATAGATAATGCGCAATACGATTTGAAATCGATCGATTAAAGTGAACCCAACTTTTCGTGAACCCAAGTTTTTTCAAGCACCGTTTACACTATCAGAGCACTTCGATAGAGTTGACTGAAGTTCACGAAAAGTATCTACTCGGTGAGTTGTACTCACCGCGAACTTCAGTCAACTCTATCGAATGATAGTGTAAACGGTGATTGAAAAAACTTGGGTTCACTTTAATCGACCTTTGAAATCATAGCATTATTTCTCTATTAATAATATTCTACACTCCCTGCATGAAGAATAAAATCTTCTGAAGAGATAACCTTATAACTATTTATTATACTTAATAAAATTTGTCTTAATTCTATCGATATTTTATTTGTTTATTTTTGTATTCATAATTAATGATGTATAACTCTTCTCAAGCTTCTTGCTTCATCAATAGTATATCTATTGTCCTTCACTTCCATTCAAACAATAAAAACAATTGCTTGCATCAGCATTCTCATTGTCTACATTGTAACAGACGATAATGATCATTCTTTGTCTATGACACACTGTGAAAGTGAATGCGCACAACTCAGATATGCAACCAATGAAGGATGATGATATCGATCATTGCTTCTCTTGAGTTATGTAGAAGCCATAAAAGTAAAAAAAAAGAAGACAACGTCTTTCCCATCTGTTGGCCATGATGTGATCATTTTACAACAAAAACAGAATCATTACGAGCAGTAGCAGCAGCTTTATATCAAGGCTATATAAAAACTTAAAAAAAAAAGAGAAGAACTCATTGCTGTTAAATATACATTATAATTCAAAACATGCAGTATTCACACCTATTTTCAAAAGTGTACTGAATATCACAAATATTTATACAGTCAACATATACATATATATACGATCTTTCATTAAATTGATTTTTGTCATAAACACTTTATTGATGAATTATTTGGCATTGAAATTTGTATGGTTTATTTCCAAAAAAAATCATGATTCGATTTTATTGAATAAATTTATTTTGTTTTTTTATTAAAATGAAAATTATTTAGGTGAATAGAAAGAAGAAAAAAAAATATATATGGAAGTATAGTTATTTTATTTATATATAAAGAAAAAGTAAAGAATCCTTTTTATTTTTTTATAATATAGTGATTTTTCTATCAAAGAAGTGAACAAACAAACGACGAAATGAAATTGAATTTCAAGGTAGTATCAAATAAAAACTTGTTCGAAGTGAATATACATACTTCTTCATATGTAAAAGCAAATCAAGAAGTTTTGACAAGTATGCATTGTACTGCAATCGATTTTTCTTTTATATAAAGAAAAAAAGAGAGAAAGAAAAGACACGGTAGCCTCTCTTTGACTTCATTTGTATCCTTTTTTTTTATTAGAATAATGATCTAGTAAGTCATTCAAGAGATTTAATCGGATAAGTCGATAGCTTTTAAAAGTCATAAAATGACTTTTTACAATAGATCAAGTTGATGAATCATTCTTATACTATGAATACAGATGTGGGCGAGTTAATTACGAGTATATTCTATTACTAACAAATACGATATGTATATTGAATAAAGATGAGGATGATTCATCTATTTGTTTCCTTACATATTGTTGTGATTACAACACCAAATATAGTAATGATGACGAATTTTTTTTTGCATCATTTTCGTTTGGTACATAGGAATTTATTTTAAATTGGATAGAATTGAAAAACAAAAGCGCGAAAAATTGTAACTAGGAAAAAAATAGTAATTTCGTAATTACATAATAGAATAGAGAATTACCCAGAGAAATTTGTCTCTTAGATAGAATGTTAGGAATGTGGATCGCGACGACAGGAGTAATTAATAATATCTACTTTATATCAAGAAAAAGGAATCATACTGGATTTCTGTTTCTTTCTGTTCTGATTCCTTATCTGATGTTTGAGACAAGAGTTTTTCGATGAATCATTATTATATTCGCTTACGAGTTATTCGTTTCTTCCATTTTCTCTCCTATCCGCCTCACCATAATACAGGAAGAAAAAAAATATATATATCTTATACTATATATATATTGAAATTTCCCGTGTTATTCATTTTATTTCTTTTTTTTATATTGAGAATCTATTCATATTTATCTATTAAATCGTTTTTTTTATTCTAGATAAAACTAGAATTACATGTTAACTAACTTCTATGCGTGGCACAACTACAATGAATATTGGTGCTTGTATTGGATTTAAAGAAGCACTTGCTGCTAATCGATTTGGTAATGGCAATAATGATCGTTATCCATTAAATCCATTTATTGGAAAGAATTTTTTTGAGGGTGAAAATTATCGAGCAGCACTCGAACGTCTTGATGAAGGTATGAATTGATTTTTTTTCTTATCTCAATTTACTAACATCTAATCTTACTTTTTCGTTTTTAGGCTATGGAGTTGCAATGGATTTAATTGAATTGATGCAAGATTACCTTGATAACGAACGCGAACAAATTCGTAATCTCGTTTCCTATGGAGATAAATGGGTTGCACGATTAAAACAACAATCAACACTCGTATCCTATCATACAACAAAACGTGCACAACTTGATGCTGTTCGTTTAACTAAAGAAATCGCTCGTGTTAAAGAATCGAATTGTAATGAAATACAAAAAGTCATTGAGAAATATCATAATTATGTTAATGAAACATATATAAGTGAACGTTTTCGTCCTGGTCGTAAACATCGTCGTACACAAGAATTTAAGAAATTATTTAAAACTGCACATACATCATTACGTGAAGTATCCGATGAACTTGAAACATTACGTACACAAGAAAAAAAAGCTCAAGATGCTCTTCATACAGCTGAAAGTGCATGTGAAATACTTGAATTAGATCCAACAACAACTGAAAAACAATTAATACGTGCAAATGAAAATCAAACGAAAAAACGAACAGTACTAAATGATATTGAAGATAAAATTCTCGATACGAAAGAAAAATATAAGGCTGCACAAAAAACTTATCGTAAAAGAGCAACGGAAATTTTTAAACAATGTCAATTTATTGAAGAAGAACGTTTAGATCAAATACGTGAAACATTATTAGATTTTATACAAGCTATGTATACACAAAAATATGCAACGGATTTAAATCAAATCTATGAAAATGTATCAACAAAAATTACAACACATCAAAACTCATTTGATGATCTTGTTTTTTGGGCGAAATCTTATGGCATTGAAAATAAATTAACTAAATCATTAAAATTTAAAAAAAATGATAGTGATGATGAAGATGAAGAAGAAGCCGAAGAAGAAGAAGAAAAAGTAATTGAATCTCGATCTACGAAAAAATCGATTCGTCATGAAATAGAAAAAAATGATAAGCATTCAACAGTGATAAACAATAACGTCGATAATGAAGAACCATTAGCAACTAAAACAAAACTAAAACGAACTAAAACTATAGGAACTACTGATAAGAAAAATACGAATGCAACTGAACCGTCCGTAATGAATAATACTATACTCAACCAAGTGTAATGGATGAGATTAAGAAAAATATAAATAGGAAATACAAATGTGAATTTCTAAAACCAATGAATATAGGCGCGTATTTGTAATATGTTCTTCCATGGCTGTTATCTAGGAAATTTTATTATATATTCTATTTGTATAGTATTTGTTCTCTTTTTTTGTTCCTGTCATTGTAAAGATTTACGTTTTTGTATTTTTTTAAATCATATCATAAAATAAAATTATACTGTCTATTGACAAATATATAAAATTATATTTTTCTTCTTAAAAATTTACGAAATTTTCTTTCTACATTGCATCATTTAAAATGAGTGATGTAAAATATACTTTACTAGAAGCTTCTATTATACATGACATCATTCTTTTGTAATTGTCACAATCATGGAGTAATTCCGGTATATATATTTTTTTTTACATCTTGTTATTCTAATAGATGAAGAATGAAGTTTGTTGATCTAATGAGAAACGATTTTTAATGATTATATATACTTTTATAAATCATATACAGGTAAGTGAGAAATCTAACTTGTCACGTCAAAAGAAAATGACATTAGATGTCCTTGTAAAATAATGTGTTTTCTTTCAATTAATATGTGTAATAGATTAAACTTGATAAGCAATGAATAAAATATACCTTATTTTTTCTTATAAATAATTATCATGCAAAACAAAAGTAATACTAATCAAACTGAAGTCGTTTTTTTTTTGATTTAATTCTAATATATAAATATTTAAATATATTTTTGATTCTTTGCAAGATATTTCTTCTTCGATTATAACCTTTCACACTTACAGACATTCTATTCTAACATTTATTTTTATATGTCATTTAAAAATGAAAGAATATTATCTTGCATAAAAAATTCATTCTATATTTTCTAATGATAATTATCACAGTAGCAAAAAGAACAGTCGTTTTTTTTATAATTAATTTTATATTGATATATTTACTGAAATGTTGATAAAAGAACATTATATAAGGTAAAGGTTATGAAGAACAAAAGAAGGCCGAGAATATATGAGTATCCCTCGATAGACAACAAACGGTGAAGTTATATGATTTTATAAACTTGTAAAACTATATAGAATATAATGAAATTTATTTAAAGAATGTGAAGTATTTGTTGTATTTTTATATTTCTTTCTATATTATAGAATAAATTGAAACAAGGTTAAAATATTCTCATATATCAATACGAATCATTAATTGTTTTTAAGACAAAAAAAAACAGAAAAAAATTTTTTTTCTTTTTTTTGTATATTTCATTGTAATCTTATTTGTTATCTATTACTTTCTCGTTGAAATTCGTTTAGAGAAATATAAGGGATCACAGAAATGGGAGAATTTAAAATTTTGGTATCACACAAACAAACACATATAACATAAAATAGAATTAAACACATAAATAAACATATCTAAGAAAACGCATTTTGAAATTTATTAGCAAGCATATTCATAGTTGGTCCTTGTGTAAAAGATGCTGGTAATTTCTGTAAACTCGCTGGTAATTTCGATTGTAATGATTGACTTGTACTATTTATTGTATTTTGTATTGAATCAGGTAGTTTAGTTGGAAATTTAAAATTTGAACTTCGTGCACCCATGGTTACATTTGGTTGTGGAATAGATGATGATGGACCTTTACCAGCAAGACCACCATTACGAGCTGGTAATATATTCATACTTGATTGTCCAGCATCAAAACTTGTTGCATTATTAAACATTGATAATGGTGGATTACCTGTTGCACCTTTTTCACCATATTTATTTTCATAATATTTTCGTACAACTTCGGGTGTTGCTCCTCGATTTAAACCACCTTGTAAACCATTTGTTGCATCAGATAATCGACTAGACATCGATGGATTTTGTATAGACATTTGAAGTTCATGAATTTTTTTTTCTAATTGAAAATTTTCATTTTGTGCTGCTTGTAATTCACGCCTAAAATGTTTTTTGAATATAAGAAAAAAATTTATAGAAAAATCTTATATACATTATTTGTTGTTTTTGTTTTCGAACAATATCATCTAATGGTGAATATTCTGGCAAATACATAAGATGAGAAAAGAAAATTTCAATCTCAATTGTAACACCTTGATGTTGATTTAAATATCCTTTTTCATTTAACTAAATAAATAATATGATAAAAATTTCTGTTTTTTTTTTCATTCAAAAACTTACTTCATCAACATCTAATGTTGTACTTATTTCTAAACCTTCATCACTTTCTTTTTGAGAATAATATTTCGTTACTGGTTTAGGAAAAACACTTGTAGTTATTTTTGTATCATCAAAATTTCGTACAGTTATATTAAAACATATCGAACGTATATAATCAGTTGGAATTTTAAATATATCAGAATAATATAAACGTATAATAAAACATTGCTCTTCAATATATGCTTCAACAGTCCATGCTTGTTGATCTTTATCAAGAAATGGTACTGGAATAGGATTTGGTGCAAATGGATCAACAATAATTGGAATGACAGCTAAACGGATATAAATAATATTTTGATTTATAAGTTATAACAGCATACTAAAAAAATGTTTTTTTGTCAATATATATTCATTATTGACTTGTCTCAAGAAAATCGTGAAATGTTTTGTCGATCTAGTGATGTCATTATAGGTACTTTTTATGACATATTTCTTTTTTTAGTCACAATTTAACATCAAAAGGTACTATTTATTTCTCTTCTATCTGCATGAATAAATATATAAATCAGGAAGTAGAAAAAAATCGTGCGGAAAAAAAGTCAATCCATAAATTAAGAAGAAAAAAAAACAACACTTTAACTTCTATAGAATTTGACTATTTGTTTATCGAGAGAAAATAGTACGTTAAAATTTTCTCATCTCAACAATTTTATAAATCACATATATATATATATATATATAGATTTGTTAAAAATACTTTTCTTCTATTGATAATTATTATTTCATGTTATACTTTCTAAATCCCAAAGGAATTTCGTTTATAGCTTTTCATATTAATTATAAGTTTACATAGCCTGTTTATCAATTAAATCTTTCTGCATAATATAGTTTAATTAAAATTCGTAATAATTAATGAAATAAGATATATAGAATTGTTTTTAATAGATTATTTGTATAACATTACTATAAATAATTTATCAATGTTCGTGCAGAATATTTTAACATGCTGTTTAATCTATTAGATTTAACATTTGCTTTTTTTAATGATGAAAACATCCTATCATTAGTTCTTTCCGTTTTAAAGTTATTTTAATATAACCAGTAATTAAAATCGTATTTATATAAGTATCTGGAATTTTTATATTTCCTTTTCCGGATTAATGAAAATAGATAAGATTTTTTCAGATCTTATCTTATCTTTTTCTTTTTCTTTTTTTTTCTAATATATATCTTAAAATACTTACTAACAGCATCTTTAAGTTCAACATTTAATGTAAATTTTCCATCAGCCTGAAGTAATTCTCGTACACGATCAATACGAAATGGTCGACATAGACCATGCACATCCGTATAATTGATTTCATATGTATTCGAATCACTTGGATTTGCTTGTTTACGCTCTTGATAGGAATCCCATGTATATGTTCCCGCTGTTAATTTAACACGATATGATATTTTAACAGAATACTCACATGATGTTAAACGCTGGAGATACATTCGAATATATCCAAGTTGTCCAACACTATCAAGTTTGGGTTGTATAACAAGACTCCATTCATAATTTGAATAAAAAAATGATGGTGTTTCGATTTTTGCATCTATTGGTTGACGATTATGAGTAGGTTGAGCAACATGTGCATATTGAGGATTTATTAATTGTGGTGTTAATTGTGCTTCTGTTATATATGATATAGAAAGATTTTTTATTTCAAGTTCACATTGAATATTTCCACGTTCATCCATATATTCAACTGAACATAAACGATTAACTGATGTAAATGATTTTCTTCCATGTAAAGTAACTTTATTTGTAAATTTACAATTTTTCTCTGTAAATGTTTCATTACGTGTAAAATGTTCTCGACATAATAATGTAATACTTAGATCAAGTGTCATTTCAAGTCTTTCTGTATCTCGACTACGATGTAGTAAAAATGCATTGATTTGATCGCCATTTTTAACAAATGTTAATGCAAATGGTACATGTCGACAAATAAATTCTCGTGTTGTTAATTTTTCTTCTGTTCCTAATAGAAATGAACTTGGAACAATAAATGTAAATAAACTAAAACAAAAACAAATGTGTTTTTTAATGTAAATCAAATAATCTTTAGTCAAAATTTGTTTTTTTTTCATCATACTTTGTATTAAATTTATCTTCGAATAGAACAAAACGTGTAAAATGTGCCATTTAATTAAATAACATTGTTAGATTTATCTGAAATATGTATACATATATACACTTCTATAATTTTTTTATTTTCTTCTTGTCGTTTTTCAACATGAATGTTCTCTTGAGAATTAGCGTTTACTTCCCTTAAGTTCTTTCTTCTTTTTTTTTTTTTGTATATTCCGATTATTAATGTAAAACTATGAGAAAAGAAATAACTACTAATATTTTATTATTTGAAAAAATTGCTCAACGAACTAATCGTTCTTATTGGATGTTGATATTCAAGTCCGAATAGTAATAAAAAAGAAAATATTTCTCGAGAAAAAGAAAAAAACTATATAAAATATATTTCCTATCGGCATGCAATCGATGTGAATCAACAAGTTCGTGATTAACAACGAACAAAAGCCGATTTGACATCGATTCATCGTTATGTACAAAGAACTTAGTGACGAAACAAATGATATTTGAATATTTTTTTTCTTATTGTAATTAAGGTAAAATCATGATAAGAGAAAAAAGAAATATGTTCTACTAGATTTTTTTGTTAAGGGTGTTCATTTTTGAACTTTTCTTTTTTCAAACGAGAGAAACTAACCGGATATCCGTCTCAAGTGAGCCGTGTCTTTTTCAGCAACCCATATATTATGCACGATCTCACACGCCATCATTAACATGATGAGCACGCGTTCATATTGATAAAAACATGAAAAAATTTATATTCCGTCCAGTTTAGAGAAGAGAGTCCTTCGAAAGAGAGATGATGCACACAATTCATTTTATTATAGAATATATATATATACTTACATTTTTTTTTTCTTCGTCACATGCAAGTGAATGAATGTTCATGTCTTATAGACTTACTATTCTATCTTATTGTGATGGTAGCGGTTGGCTGCATGAATACACATTCATATAAAACGCAAGTCTAAAGCGGAAACTATTTTTTTTTCTTTTTTTTTTCCTTTTTTGTCTTGTTTCTTCGACTATTACTACTGATGCACACTAAAAAAAATGAGAAAACATATAGAGACGACAACCTCTAGAATCGATTATATGAATATTGTTCGACGTTGTCGAGTGGGAAAGGAAAGTGATGTTTTTTAATGCATTTATGTCTATCTAACCATTCATCAGCATTTGATCGATTTTTCTGATCATCATCATCGCCAGCAGCATCATCGTTATTGCTCCTATTCAATGCAATATTTTGGTTCTCGTTTAAGTTCTTTCAACGACAACACATGCGAAAGAAAAGAAGTCTCAAAGTCTTGCCTTATTTGATTTACGCGGTTGCTAAATGAACGAACGAAGAGCAAGCAGTTTCTCATTCTTTGCCTGTTTCTTACTTGTTCTGCTTCTGCTTTTGCTTCTTATTCTTCTTCTTCTTGTTATTCTTCTTCTACTCTTTCTTTTCTCAGATTGCCGTCACAAAAAAGTAGAGAGTGAAGATTGAACATGGCAACGTTAGACGGTTTCTCTTTCTTTAGAACAAGCGAGCGCCAAAGTGAATAAGAAGTCGCTCAACATAGACAGAATCAGTAGTATGGTGATTTAGATGCTACATGTTATAGTTAGAATGCAAATACAAGTTGCTGACACGAATAAGAGAAAAAAAACGCTCACGCATAAATGTTTAACAGATGTTTTTCTATATGTAGTTTGAACTAAATAATATTATTGTCTAAATAGTTATTGCATATATATATGAAAATAAATAGAATAAAATTTAACTGAACGTGCTATCTCTCTCTTGTATCAAATATGTAAACTGCCATGTTGTTTGCTTCATTTAACATAGAACATAGCAAATATCATTATAAATATAAACCTAAAATCAGCAGTCAACATTGACATACAATGGTATGTAGATTTGTTGACAACATCAGGAAAAAGGCAGGCTTTAGTAAGACGTCATAGCAATAAAAAATTTAGAAATAATAGAAGTGCCACAAGTTGTCAATATACTAGATTTTCAATCGTAAAACATTGACACATCATCTATTGGAGTCTTTAATTAATAATGATTATCTCATTGTTTTTTTGTTATATTTACATTGTTAATTTAATTATGTATTTTCTATCCATCAATTTTTTTTTTGTTTTAGAAAATATAATTATTATTAATTCAATTGTTTTTTAAGATAAACAAAAGAAAATATGTCATTCTTCATTATAAAAACGTTCAATAAGATTGATAGTTCAATTTTTAAGAATAATTATTCAAAATATCTTTAGTTCATACCGAATAGGCACAAAAAAATGCCAGTATCAACTAACACATTATATTTTATCTAGTTATAGAATGTCTTTGAATATGGTAACTACTGAGAATATCTTTTTCTCAGTATATTATTTTAATATACATAAAAACTACTTCATTACGCTTCTATACATCATCAAAGTCATACTTGATGAATATATTATTTCAAGCTAGTGGAATAAGCAGGTCATGAGAAATAAGTGTTTGATACATTTAGTATTCCTATCATTGATGTTTATATAAAATCGAAACAACAATAACAACAACAAAAATATTCTAATACATATTCATGTAAGTTATTAACTTGCTGGAAAAAAATCTCTATATCAATACTTAAAATATGAACTACGGCAGTATGACATTCTTGATTGAGTATAATGAATGAGATTTTTTGTCGCATGACTACATATGAATTCGACATGCAAATCAATGTTTTCAATCGGGCACTATGTATAGTTAATCAAAAGATGATTATATCAGCATCTGATTAATAGAGAATGTCAAAGTAAAAGAAAAAACATAAAACGAAAGATTGTTTTATAGGAATTATATATTTGGGGCCATCCGTAAAGGGCGCTCAGGAAAAGGGAGAGGACGTGAGGGTTAGGTGCGCATGCAGAGATAGACAACTCCGGGGTAAGGAACTCCAACTCCAGATAAAAAAGCGTCAACTTCGGAGTTGAAGTTGCTCATCTCTGATGGATTTTTTTGTTGTTCTCTTACACGTCATTAGATCCACCAGAGCTGAATCAGAGTTGGAAAAAAGCACCAAGTCCAACTCCACTCCAACTCTAACTCCATTGTCTACGATGTCAACTCCAACTCTACCCCAACTACAAGTAAAAAAGCGTCAACTCCGGAGTTGGAGTTGCCCATCTCTGCGCGCATGGGTGGGTTACCGTCTCTTTGCCAACAGGACATTCATCATTGACGAAAGTGTGGGAGGTTTGATGGCGAAACTGTAGTGAACATTCGCCAATTGGCGAAAGTTCAGGCGCGATTTGGCGTAAGTTCAGTAGATTTTCGCCAACTGTAATAACATACGATTAGTGTAAAATGCATGTGATAAATTAACCTAATATTATCATAATAAGCATATTATTGTCTAAACCCCTGAATATAGTTACCAAGAGCTATTTTTATACATATGTAATCACATAATAACACTGGCGAACTTCGCGAATCCCACATGGGTGTCCTTTATGGATGGTTTCTTTGTAGAAACGAGATCATCATATCTGATTAGAAGGTTTTGCGTGGGTGTAAAGTTCTTTCCTGTATATCCTTTTCTATTTTTTTTTTCAGTTGATTTTACCAGTTCTCTTATGACATTCATTAATAAACGGCCGATAAAATGAAATTCATCAATATAATTTACTTATTCTGCCTATTTTTTATGCTTGAAAGAAATAACTCTCAATTTCTAATTTATGATATTAGTTATTTTCTTTTGAGAAAACAAGCTCGATATCAGGCTGTTACTTTTTAGTCATCAATCGTTATAATAATGAGGTTTTTTTTTAAATTTAATTGATCAAAAGAAAATAAAAAAAAAACATTTCTATTTTTAAACTTGAGATGATGTTAATGAAACCTATTTTTTCTTTTTATGACGTCGTTGAACTCGAGCATTCCAACGAGTTTTAACATTATTTGCAAATGAATCTTTTACACCTAGAAAATATTCAATAATTTGATTTAAATTAAGACCATCGAATGGATTATTAAAATATGAAAAACATTCATCAACTCGATTTCGAATATCTTCATCAGTTTTTAATGATTTTAATTGACCTTGTTTAGTATTTTTCGGCTGAAAATCTTCCTTTAAAATTATTAAAAATTCAATTAAACGATTTTTTGATAATTTCCCATTTGATTCTTGTAATGCTTGATATAAACCAGCAATTTGTTCTTCACGTGGTGCATCAACAACTGTCCTGTTGTACAAAAACAAACATCGTTTAAAAATCAATATCTTTCAAAGTTTTACCAAACAAAATCAATCATTTCAGAAAAATCAATTGAACCACTCGTATTTTTATCATATGCTTGAAAAAGAATTTCAGCTAAATGATGTGCTTCACTAGATTCAGTTAATGAATGGCACATTGATCTTGCAGCCGATTCAAAATGATTCATATCTAATGTATCTTTATTCGGACCAGTTATTTGTTGAAAAAGATATTTTAATCGTTTCAAATGTTCATCATCATAACCTGTGAATTTTTTTAATTGAATATCCGATAATGATAGTTCAATATTATCAGTATTTAAATCATATATTGATATTCGACCTAAATCAAGATCTTTTGTATTCGATAACATAAGAGAGAGAGAGAAAAAAAAATATTAGATTAATAAATAATTTATGATTAAAAAACAGCGCTGTTTTTTTTGACATCATTATTTGACGTTTTCTTTTTTTATTCTCATATTTGTAACACAATCAGTCATTTACTTCTGGATAAAATTTTGAAGTATTGTACTGTTTCTATTGACGTAACGCGTCATATTTTTCTTCCTCTCATATTCGTTGTATATGTCTTTATTAAGTAATGAAGTTATAAAAAAAAATTCGATTTGAATAATAACATATTTTGTTATAAACATTCTGTCAAATTATGCCAGAAATATATACTCTTCGAACGCCTGAAAATTATAATTATGGTTATCATCGAAATTCTTATAGTCAACCAAAAGCAACTCATTATTCAAAATCAAATAATGATCAACATACACCATCATCTATTTCACCCATGTATAATGAAACGACTTCCGTTCGAAGACGACCTGAATTATATCATCTTAGATTTGATAAAAATGATACTAATATTTCTAATTATCGTTCATCACCCGTATTTATAGATCACAAACGAAAATCACCTGTATTATATCAACCATCATATTTACAAAAGCCAGAAATGTATTACATAAGTGCACAACCTGAATATAACAATAATATTTACGAACAATCACCCTTAAAAACTACTAAAATACAGTGGGATGGTCCTACTCAGAATAAAATTACTATGTATATGATAACAACATCAAATGAAGGTAATATCTCACCTTATATAATACACACTCCATTGTCGTCTGTAAGTTAAATTAATAAAAAAAATCCTGCATTTTTTATTGTTATTTTTAGATACAATCTGCTAAGAAAAAACAACTCGTAACATTTGCTGATAATAATAATGGTAAATATGATCTATCAAATAGAGAACGTCAATATTCAAGAGCATACTATGATACGTCACCACATTCAAAAGCATCAGAAAGTATTCAACGAAGTATGAACAAATTTCGTTTTAATGGAAATTAAATATTTTATTATTAAAGTACAGAAAAAAAAAAATTTAGTAAAATAAAAAAAAAGAAGTTCTTTGTTATTTTAATTTGCTTGTTGATTTGTTGGAGACGTTACTGGACGATTTGGTTCAGGTGCTAGTTGACCATTCTCAGTTGCAGCATCATAACATCGACTTAATTCAAAAAGATTTAATACAGATACCTATAAACAAAATACAAATAGAAAAAGAACATAGTATGATATGTAGATTTACTGAGCCTGATGGTAATGGTGGAAGTTTAAATATTGATGGTGTTTGAGTTAAACGAGGGTCTGATGAACCTATTAATTAATTTTTTTCTAAATAAAAATTGAATGAAAGAAATAGTATTTTACTTACCAGTATGATGAAAGAATCGATAAGCTCTTGGATTGAAAACATTTCCCGACTTAAAAGGCATAAAAACCGCTGGTAAACATAAATCTATTTAAATAATATTATATTTTTAAAAAGAAACTATTAATTAATTCTACCATCGTAACGTTCTCCACTTTGATCAGGTTTATGTAATCGATGTTGAATTGCCATTTGACGTTCTATTGTTTGTGCTGTTTCTTGTTCGACTTTAGTCATTAAACGATTACGATGTTTAACACTTCGATCGAGATACATTTGATAACGATCAAGAAACTAAAAAGAATAATTCATCAATTTGAACTGATTTCATATAACTTCTACTTACATTTCTAGCAGGACCAGGAATGTCAGGTGGTGCTGGGTGATGTTGTGTAATGACTTCACGTTTTGATTGTGCTCTACTTTGTCGTCTAAGAGTAAAAAGTAAATATTAATTTGATCGATTAATTTATTCGTAATAATTACTGAGATGTATTAGCTGTTGGTGATTCTTCCCCAATAATATCACGAATATTTTCTTCTAATTCTGATAGTTCAGGCATTTGATTTGGATTATAAGATGATGTTTCACTGAGAAGTTTCTTTAATCGATCAATTTCTGCTCTAGATAAATAAATATTTATTATTAATAAATACTAAGTTTTTAATCAACATACTCGTAACTCTCACAAATTTTAACTATTTTATCTTCGTATGTTGCTTTAACCATTTCTATTTGTTCCTCATTATCTGCCGAAACATTAACAGCTGGTTCTATAATTTCTTCGATATCTGATGTTGTTTGAACGACAATTGTTGGAATATCTCTCTCTTGTGTTCCTCGTGACGGTGGTGTTGGAGGTACAGACGATGTTTTCGGTGTTTGAGGAATAGAAACGGTTTTACCTGTTGGTACACGACTTTGCATAGGAGCAGTCACTAAATAGATCAATTGAATATTAATTCTATAGTATACAAATATCTATAAATTTACTTGTGCATTTCGTTGCATGAGTTACTTCTACTTTATTATACCAAAACAAATGTAAAGGTAATTTCCCAATAGGTTCACGTTTATCATTATAAACTGTAAATGTTTGTGGTGTACGTGATATCCAAGCTTTATAAAGATCATAGGATTGTTCTTCAAATTCAAGTTGATTCGTTTTTGAGGTTGATTCTACTACATTTGTTGTATTATCATCAATAGTTATCAAAGGTGCAGATGATGGACTATGTAAATCTGGTAATTCCTAAGATATTTATATTATTTTTTTCAAAAAGAAATATATATTAGTTTATTTTTGTTTCTTACAAGCAATCGTAGATCTTCAGGTGAGAGAATGACTGATCCACAAGGTTTATCATCACCAAGAATATCTATATGTATAGCTTCAGGATCAGTGTCAGTTTCAAGTAATGATCGACGTTTAAGAAAAGTTGGTACTGGAATAATTAATTCATCACATTGTTCTTTATCAATAGTATTTATATCAGTTTCTTCTGGAATTGCTGTGCTTTCATCAAGATTTTTATTTTCTAAAGTATATTTATTTTGTATTGCTTAGAAAAAATAAAAATTTACTTGAATCGATTGGTTTTTTCGTTGGTCGAGTAGTTCCTCGTTTCGAAGGTTTTGCATTATCACTTTTAGGAGTTACTGGTTTCTAAAATAATTCAATAGAAAAACAAAACTAGACAGAGTAATTATACCTCTAAACTAAACACATTTGTTTTATAATTTTGTCCTAGAGTATGAATAATACATTGAAATTTTGTTTTTGAAAGCCCAACAGGTCGATATACACGTATAATAAGTGCTCTAAAACAACGATTCATTATAGAAACTAATCATAATTTTCTTTTACTTTGATGATAAAACATCGCCAGTTGATGTGTATTGATCATCGACACTAGGTGTTGCTTGTATTTCAATATCAATTTTCGCCATTACTGCCTGTTCTTCGACTTGATCTTTTTTGTCTGATTCACCTACTCGTTTTGTTCTTTGTTTTCCAGCGCTACTTAAAAAACTTCCTTCATTATCACTTCCAATTTCATCACCATAATCCGAACCCTAATTGAAAAACAAGTTGTTTTTTCAGTCTATAGTTATATAAATATAATTTTTAAACAAACATGATGTTGATCATCGACTTCTTGTACACTATCTTCACCACCTGATGAATCAGCTCGATCCATATCATCAATATCAACTTCATCATCAGCAGCAGATTCTCCTTTCGATAAAACTTCTGTTCCAGTTGTTGGACGTGCTGCACTCGTATTTAACCATTCAATAACATGTTCATAACCAAGTTGAGCTGTCTAGAAAATACAAAAAATAATTTTTTTCTTTTGTCTTAATTATAAATCAATAATTTACATCTCGAAAAGTTTTTAATCGAAATTTCCATTTGCGTACATTTGATCGTGGTAATGCAAGACGAATATACCTATTAGAAGACAACAAAAAAACAATACTTCTATAAATCTATCAATACGAACTAACATTTTTTCCCAATTATTAATCATTTTTATTTGTTGATGACGTTTATTATTAGCTTCCATCGATGTTAATCTTTGTAAAGCAGCATTAAGCATTCGTTTTTTTGTTTCATTACTTTCATAAAATCTTTTTATAACAACACTTTTCATATCAAATGGTTGACTATATAAATTAACAATACGAACAAGTTCATTCAGTGGTATTTGTGATAATGAATAAGCACGATATAATCGTGATATAACAAGTGTTATTCGTGTTGATACATTTGCTGGTAAGAATTGAAGAAGTAAATTATCTTTTAATTCAAGTAATTCAAACATTGAATTATCAATATCAGATAAACTATTTTGAACATGATCACATAACATTCGAAATTTATTTGCATCACTTTTTGCACTTGGTACAAAATCTTCAAATTCATTAAAAGTTTCAACTTCTTCTTGTTGATCATCATAATAAATTATTTCATTATTATCACTATAATTTACTTGTTGTTCATCTTGACTTAACCGTGCAAGACTCTGACGACCTATATCAAATCAAATAAATTCAATCAATATGATTATATTAATATAGATAAATCTTTACTTCCAATCATAATATTGATTAAATTTTTAGTCGTCTAAAAAATATGTTGCGAGTTCATGGTTTCTTCTTTCTTTACATTAAATGCCATTTACTTTTAAATCATATCTATGACTACGAGCCTCTTTCTTCCAAAGAAAAAAAAATTCCTTGTGTTTACGAAATCGCACATTCTTTTATTATTTAATCTAACATACAATTGTACAACTTGGAACAGTAGATAGTACAAGCGAGACAAGAGAGAAAAAAAAGAAAAGATTCAGTTCAGTATTTAATACATCGTCATAAATGAAAAGAAAAATAAGTAGACAATAGAATATACTGTTACAAATTCTTGCAAGAGTAATTAATTTTTTATACTGTTATAGAATCAATTGAGTCGTCGTCGAATCCAATTGCTTTATTTCGAGCTAAAATATTTTTTAAAAAAGTAAATTACTTTATTTAATGAAAATTTTTAACAAACCTTTAAAATAGAATGTATCTGAATCATTATCAGGTACTGGAATAAAAGGTGCTGGCATATTAGATAAATTATCCCAATCGATTGTATCGAAAAAAGATTCTTTTTTCAGATCTAAATAATAATCAATATGAAAGAAAAAATATTTATTAACAAATAAGTGGTTTACCATCTAATTGAAATCGTAAACTTGAATCATAATTAAGTAAACCTTTAATTGCACTTATTGCATCTTCTGATAATTGTTCGCCATCATCTTCAGGCCATGTTAGTCGATAACTAATTATATTAGATATAATTGCATGTGGAGTATCATCTGAAAATGGTGTTGTACCAACAAGAAACTGGTAGAGACATATACCAAGAGCCCAAAAATCAACTGCGGTCGCTGAAAAAATAAACACATCTTTTGTTGTAATAAAATATAAATTAAGATATTTTACATACTATGATTTTCATCTTGTAATAAAACTTCTGGACCTAATAAATATATACAAATAATTATGTTAAATAGAGAATATTAAAAAAAAGAATATTTACTTAAATAATCTGGTGTACCTAAAACAGGTCCTGAAACATTTGGATGTATTGGTGATTTAAGAAAACTACTTCGAACAGATGTATTTGTTGTCATATCAGGTATAATTCGACCACTTAAATAATTTTGAGCAAGATAAACAGACTAGAACAAGAGAGAAAAGTAAATATCCATCGAGAAAGTTTTTCTAATTATACTAACTTTTAATGAACTATCATCATTTGGTAATGAAAGTTGAGTTGATTGTATATCTTCTGTTGACATTCGAATAATATTCTCATCAATATTGATTAGTTTTTCACTGGATTGATCTTGACTATTTTGCGATGCATCTAAAATATATCGAATCGGTGATAGACATGGTGAGCCCGATGATGAAGCAGATGTTGTTTCTGTTGTTGCTGTTGTTGTTGATGGTATTGATGTTATTGTACGACCTACACCAGGAAATGCTCGATATTGATTTTGATGAGCTGGTGATGAAGCAAGTAATCGTGATACAGTTTTAGGATAAACACGTGGCGGCTGTTTTATAGTTTGAGATGTATTTGATGATTGTTTACGTGGACTAGAAAAAAGAAAATCGGATGTATTGCTTGTATTTGTATCTTCACGATCATCAAATTCATTGATTGCAAATGATATTGGTTCATTTTCAGGAATACATGCTGGTAAAGCTTGTCGATAAACACGTAAACTACAATCGATTGGACGTGCTGATGAACATGAACGATGAACACTATTATTTGAATAAATATTTTCTCTTGATGTTGATGTATAAAATGGATCTGAATCTGATTCACTAGAAGACTGTAAACAAGAAATAATATATATAAGAAGAAGAGAAAACAAAACACTTACAAAACTAAAATCAGATGTTAACGATATGATTTGACCAGGTGTACGAAAAGCTCGTGCTTTACATACAGATGGTGTACCAATCACATCAGCTACTGATACTTCTAAAAATCAATACACTTCTAAACTATAGAAAATAATATTCATAACGTACTTCGTCTATTTCGAATTTCTGATAATCCAAAATCAGTTAGTTTAATATGTCCTGTTACTGATATAAGAACATTATCTGGTTTTAAATCTCTAATAAACAAAATATTTTTCAATGAAAATATAAATTTCAAGTTGATTCATTTTTACCGATGTATAACATCTTTTCGATGTAAATAATCAAGTGCAAGAGCAATTTCAGCAATATAAAATTGTGCTTCATGTTTTTCAAGTATATATTTAATACATAAAAATGACATTAAATCACCACCGATCATGTATTCCATAACTAAATAAATATGTTCTTTGCTTTGTAATGAATAAAAAAGGCTAACTACAAATTGACTATGCATTGTTGCTAATGCATCACGTTCATTAAGAACTATAGGAAAACAAAAATAATAATAAAGCGATATATGAAATATAAATTTTCATTACTTTGATCAATCAAATTCTTTTTACGTATATCGTGTTTATTAATAACTTTAATTGCATATTTTATTTTATTATTATCATTTTTCTTTGTTGCTAAATAAACTCGTCTAGTAAAAGTAAAAATTTTTTCTTGATATTGAAATAAATTTCAATCATACCCATAACCACCACGACTGATAGTTTTAAGAAAATGAAAATCTTTTATAGATGGTAACTAAAAGAATATCATAGAAATAGATGTATACGTTTTATTATATTACCTGTAATTTATTCCTTTCGACGGTCATTGATAAAAAGAAATGATCTGACACAATCAATTGACTTGAAAATAATGTAACTAATAGTTTTCATTCTCAGTTAAACGTGATATCGAAACAAAGAAGTGTTTTCTTTACTGATTTAGATGTCGCTTGAGATAGATATTTCGTTTCTTATGTAGTAATGAGATTTTTCGAAACTTCATGAATCATTGATTAAATAATTTGTTTCATAAAACTAAAGATTTTTTATTGTTTATTTTTATAGTTAAAAACATTCGTTAAGATAAACTTTCTCTTGTTTGTATATATTCGTTAAAGAAAAAAACAAAAGAAAATGAAAGGATCAACGCTGGTTTATAATTATTGACAGAACTAAATGCTACAGAAACAAAACTAGTTCAACAAAATAAAATGATACAAAAAAGCGTAATGACGTAGATACATAAATAAATGAACTCAGATCTTAAACTAAAAATATTTGCTGTTCCTTTTTTTTCCAGCATTGATAACGGAAAGACATTGGCCTATAACAAAGATAATTTAAATAATTATAACCAGATGAAAATTATCGCACAAATTGATTCAACTGTTCATAATGATGATTTTTATTTTATCTTGATAGAATAGCTTGAGGAAAAATGGATATAGTCTATGAAAATAAATAATGATGGAAGTAAAAATAATATTGAAATGAAGTTCTTTATTCTTGTTCTTTTATTTGCTTTAACATAGTTTCTTGTTGTTCACGTAAAAGACGTTTTTTAGCTTGTTCACGAGCATATGTGAAACTAAAATCTTCAATTGAATCATCGTATAAAACAGCATAATCAATATCTTTTCCACCGGTATCACTTGTTTCGTCTTCTAATTCACTTGTTGATGTTGTTCGTTTGTCTTGACTATCATCTTCATCCGATGAACTATCAGCATGATGTCCTTTCAAACTTGGTTTTGATGATGCTTGAGTTGAAAATGATCGACGTGGTTGATCGAGTGTAGTTTGTTCACTTGATGATGCCACAGGTGGTGTTGGTGTTATATTTTCTTTAAATAAAAAAAAACAATTATATAAACACAAATCTATAGGAATAAGTTGAAGAATTCGTTTTTATTTGATAAACAAATTTTATTAGACTTAAACATAGGGCAGAATGACCTAGTTAGATACACTTCACTATGGGTATTTTTTATCAAACAATACTGATGTTAACCTTGTCTGTCGTTTCGATAAGAATGTCTCTAATCATAGTAAATAATACACAAGAGTGAGTAGAGATAAAACGTATATGAAACTTCAAGGCTATCTCATACTTCCTGTCAACTAACAAGTCAAATTAGTCATGTTATCAATTAAAATCGAAGATAAACATGCACGACTGAGGGTCTAAATTATTAATACTGATCTTCATCTTCCCTATGAAATATTATCTTACCAAGATTGAGTACAAGTGAACGTTGTCGTTCACGTTTCTTTTGAATTGGTTCATGTTCGAGATCAATTTCTGCACTATCTGCTGATATAACTTTATCACTATCTGTTGTATCTGAAATAGATTTTGTTGTTGTAGATTTTGGTTTTTCTAATGGTTGTGTTTCGGATAAAACTTTTGTTGTTGCTGCTGCAACTGCTTCTAAAATTGATCGTGCATCTTGTAAAGGTTCTTGAAGAGCATTATTTGACATCTGTTCAAGTTTATCTAATGCAGCTTTTTGTCTTTTTGTTAATGATGCATTTGAATCAGCTGTTTTTGTTGTTTCAGGTGAAAGTGCTGCTTCAACATCATCTAATTCATCAGTTGCATGTTTTTTCTTTTCGTGTGGATGACGACGATGATGATGTTCTTTCTTTTTATAATCAATTATATACACACGAATTTCATATGGATGAAATTTAAATGATTTTTCATCCTATAAAAAATTAATAAATAATTTATCAATAATCTATTTAGATTTACTTTATGTTCAGGCACCGGTTCAGTTAAATTTGATAAAACAAGTTGTGATGTTGATAAACCTTGATACAACGTAAATTGTGCCGCACGATCAGTTAAATTGGTTAATACATAGGCTCGTTTTGTATCTGATGTACGTGTATAACCATAAATTTGTTTATGACTTGATAATATTAAATCATATATTCCATAAACAAACACATCATTTTCTTTTCTTACACGTATAAGACGTTTATAAAAATTTAATATGGAATGTTCGTCTTTTTCTTGTTGTGCTACATTAATACGTACATAATTTGGATTAACACCAATCCATGTTTGTTGTGATGTACTAAAACCAGAATTTAATGAATCATCCCATTGCATTGGTGTACGAGCATTATCACGACCAGTTATATAAATAATTTGCATGATTTCATTATGATCAATACCTTTAGCTAATTCAAGATTATAAAAATTTTTTGCAGCTACATCTGGATAATCATTAATTGATGGAAAACGTACATTTGTCATACCGATTTCTTGACCTATAAATTATAGTAAAAATTATGGGAGAAAAAATTTTTTATTCGTTATTAACCTTGATAAATAAATGGTGTTCCCATCATAAGCATATAAACAGTTGCAAAAGTAGTAGCACAATCTCTCCAATATTCTTTATCATTTCCCCATGTTGAAACAATACGTGGTTTATCATGATTTTCAATAAACAAAGCATTCCAACCAAATTTTTCTAAACCTTTTTCCCATCTTGTCATAATACGTTTTAATGCCAATACTAAAAAAATTAATTTATTATATCAATCTTAAATTTTCTTGATGAATTCTTACCATCCAATGTTCCTAATGTTTTTTCCCATAGATTAGTTGCTTCAAATTGAAATATCATATTAAATTTTCCTTTTTCTTCACTAACCCAATCAACAGCTTGATCGACACCAACACCATTCGCTTCTCCAACAGTTACAACATCATATTTACTGTATGTTTCACGTTTAAATTCGCTTAAATAATCTTCAATACCTTCTACATTCATATGATAATCAAATGATGAAACAAATTCAAGTTGTTTAGGATTTGGTAAATCAGGTAAACCTGGCTTCTTTTTTATATGTGATATAGCATCAATACGAAAACCATCAATACCTCGATCAAGCCACCAATTTGTTACTTTATATAATTGTTCACGTAATTCTGCACATTCCCAATTAACATCAGGCATTTTACGAGAAAATAAATGTAAATAATATTGATCTGTTTCTTTATCATATTCCCAAGCTGAACCATTAAATATACTTTCCCAATTATTTGGACGAAGACCACCTGGTTTACCATCTCTCCAGATATACCAATCACGTTTAGGATTTGTACGTGATGATCGAGATTCAATAAACCATGGATGTTCACTAGAATAAAATTAACATATTTATTCTTTTGTAAATTCTATATAAATATGCAAAACGAAACAACATACTCGCTTGTATGATTTAAAACAAGATCAAAAATAATACGCATCTTTCGATCATGAACAGCTTTTATAAGTTCTTCAACTTCTTCCATTGTACCAAATACATCCATTATTTGTTGATAATCAGATATATCATATCCATTATCCTAACAACAACACAAAAAATAATAACAATAGTCTATATAGATAGAAATAAAATATTTACATCATTTGGACTTTTATAAATTGGGCAAATCCAAATAAGATCAGCTCCAAGTTCTTTTATATGATCAAGTCGTTGAATGATACCTTTAATAGATTTTTATAAATTTATTTGATTTTTATTAAGAAAAAGAAATTTACCTCGTATATCACCTATACCATCACCATTCGTATCTTGAAATGATCGTGGATAGATCTGATATGCTATAGATTCTTTCCACCATTTACGTCGAACATCATTTGTAGCATGAAATGATGATTTGATTGTTGTATCTAATTTAGGAATGGGTGATTGATTTGTAGTTGGTTTTTCTGAACTGTCAGCCATTTGACTACGACAATATGTAAGGGACAAAAATCTAGAGGTAGTGGGTTGGGTGATCGGTGAAAAAAATGACACAGGTGCAAATAAACGTCGGATTGTTGTACGTAGCAGCTTTGTAACTTTTCATACGTCTAAGTTCGGTTGAGATGTATTTGTATCTTTACGATCTTTTCTTTTTCAGTAATAATAAGAAAAATCTATAAATAAAAAAAATTAAATTTCAACTTTCATTGGGTAAAAAACAGAACTAAAAGTTCAAAAAGTAAAAAAATATGTTCTTCAAAAACAACGTACTTCGTCTTACCAACATTGCAAGATTCATGCAAACCCCCACATGGAAAAAAAAGAATCTTTTTTAATACAGTGACATCTAACGAGAACTTAAGATATAAATATTATTTATTTTCTTTGTTCAAATTGATTCTATTCAACAAATTATTCATCTAAATGAATAACTAATATTCAATTTTAATAGTTACTTTCTCGTAGAGAAGAGTCTTGCAAACATAAATTGTCCTGCTGCTTGTGTGTCCGCAGGGTCAAAAAAACATCAAGGACCGACTTTCAGAAAAAGACATTTCTTGAGATATTTTGATGCGGAGATATCCAATATGCGCCTCGCTTGTAGTGCAGAATGTGGCGATCATAAACTATTGGCTTTCCAGCATAGAAGATTACTAACACTTCACTTATTCGTTAAAGGCTCCACTGAGTAGGATGCATTTCCACGAGAAAGACCTAAGTGAGTCCTCGGACAAGCGTTACTTGTTATTAATATAATGAAGTAAAAAATTTACAATTTTGACTTGTCTATCCTTTTATCTTTATAAAGCAGAGATGGGCAACTCCGGGGGTACACCACTCCAACTCCACTCCAATTTTCTAAAAATTCACTTCAACTCCAACTCCAACTCTTTCTAACTCCACTCCGATTTAATAGGTAGATTTTTTATCAATACGACTGTAAAAAATACAGATTTATCAGGAAATATTTTTATTTGAAACCAATAAGTAAAAATATGATTATCAATTTATGTTTTGTCTGTAAAACTTTGAGATCTTTATTTCAACAAATTAAGTCAACAGGAGTTAAATCGAAGTTGGAAAAAATCACGAAAACCAACTCTACTCCAACTTCACCCATTTTTGCAAAACTCAACTCCAACTCCACTCCAAACAGACATCAACTCCACTCCAACTCCACTTCAAACAGACATCAACTCCACTCCCACTCCACTGAGTTTTTCAAAATTTTGATCTAACTCCACTCCAACTCCAAGGAGTTAAAGTGTCAACTCCGGAGTTAACTCCAACTCCGAGTTGGAGTTGCCCATCTCTGTTATAAAGCGAATATAAAATATGTTTTGATTAAAACAGGTCATGTCTATCAATTATGATAAATGTTTTATTTTTCATTCTTATTGTACTTTCGTTAGTCATCGTATGATATACGAATAATAAATCATATATGTATGTGTTGATATTAATGCGCGTGCTTATTAATTCTATTCTATTTATTTTACTATTACGCAAGACAAATCAAATAGTATACAATTTGATTTGATCTTTAGATAAAAATTCCAATATTTGTTGAACGAGATCGATTTGACTATTTTTAGTATATGTATCTTTCAATTAAGTTGAAAATAGGAGCAAGTTTGATTGATTTACTATCATCAAATACTGAAAATAATAATCTTAAGAAGAATGTAAACATGATAAAATAAAAACAACATTCTTTCAATTTACACATTGTGTTCGACGTTTTTTAACATTATAGTCAAATAAATCATTAATCTAAAGAAAACAACTATCGTAACCCAAAAGCTTCATTTTAAGTGTTGTTGTATACATTCCTTACAATGATTAATATAATTGAAAAATTTCAAGAACTATGATTGAATGTCTTGTGATTATACTGTGTATAACCCGTTACAATTGTATATTACTCAAGATATTCAAATAAAAAAAAATAATTTAATTTACAAATTATATATGTAGTATCTATTTCATGAAAATCAAGTATTCATCATATCTTCTAAGTGCTCTACAGGACTCATTTATTAATATCTATGTTGAAGGTTATTTCAATATTAATAAAGAAAGGATATGAACCATTCTCAAAATACTCATGACTCATGAGAGTTATTACTTCTTTGAAATACATACATGGACATCCTCTTAATCATACTATAAGTTTAAAAATTAGATTTTATAATCAATTGATCTTCATTTATTTTCTCGTGCTTCATCATGTGATATCCAGGTGGTTTTCGTAGATACTATTTATATCTTATATGAAAATATTTTTTCTCTACTAAAAACATCGTTGTAATGTAATTAGATAAACTATTATATGATTGGAGAAAATTTTTAACCATTAAGAAAATATCTTCTTGACCGCTCTTAATTTCTTTTTCTTTATTATTTATTTTATTAAATATTATTCTCTTTAATAATTTTTCAATCCTACTATTTTTTTTCTTATTATTATACGAAATTAATTATTCGTTTGTTCTAAAAACATGTGATTGCTCAATGACGAGTAAAATCTTTTCTCTGAAGGACAAACAAAATAATCATTTCTTTCCTATTTAGATATTTCAATCATATATATTATTACGAAGATTTTTTATTTAATCTATCTTCATCCGTTTTTCTATATCTCTTTTGATTAAAACGTGCAATTGTTTTCTTTCTTTTTCGTTTCCATTCTTTTTTCTCTCTGTCCCTCCCTCTCTCTCTCTCTATTTTTCTGTCTGTCTGTCTTTCTCTCACGTTGACTGTATGCTTTCGTATTCTAACATTTTCCCTATGAGTCATTCATTGTTCATTTTTAAACAATACTGGCCTCATCAAGTTCAGACGAAGACGTGGCAGGGTGTCCACCACCCAAACGTGTGCGTCTAAATCCGACTGCACCAATAATAATTACAAAAGATTTAAATTATTCTAATTCTCAAACAATGCATTCCTCCAATCCTGAAACTTCCCAACACTCCTTAAATTCTTCCCATGATAATAATAATACAACTGATACAAATAATCATCTTGAACGACTTAAACAACAATCACAACACTGTAATGGTAATACATATACTAATCATTCAAATTCAATATCAACACAAACTAATTCTACACAACCAAATACACAATTATTTACAAATAGCCAAAAAGAAATCTTAAGACTTATTGGACAGCATTTACAAAGTATTGGATTAAGGTATGAAAATTATTCATATTTAAAAAAAAATTGTTTCTTTTTTTTTAGTAATACAGTTGATAGTCTTATATCTGAAAGTGGTTGTGTACTTGAAAATGAACAAGCATCAAATTTTCGTGAACTTATTATGGCAGGCAAATGGACAGAAGTATGATTGATATTTAATTAGTTGTTTTAATTTTTTCTACTGAATATTATTTTTAGGCACTTATAGCACTTGATAAATTGAAACAGTATATTGAAGAATTTGATGGCATATTAGTAAATATTTGACTAGTTTCAAGCAAAAAAAACTTCTTTTTGTTTTTAGCAAATGAAATATTTAATTCTTGAACAGAAATATTTTGAATTAATTGAAGATAATCAAGCAATGGAAGCACTTTATTGTTTAAGAAATGAAATTCGAACATTAAATATTCGTATTGAACGAACACATCAACTTACTGCGTACTATATTCTTAATAAAATAAAAATAAATTTTATCAAAAATGTTTTTTTCTCTGATTTTAGATTTCTTATGTTTAATTCGATTAAAGATATGTGTAAAGCAGCTAACTGGAGTGGAAAAGGTTTAACATCAAGAGAAAATTTAATGGAAAAATTACAAAGTAATTTATTCAAGCCTAAAGGCACCGATAACGATAATATATCGATATCGATTGACTACTTATCAGTTTAAAAGATTTCTCTTCATATGCATCATTGCTTTTTTCGTTCAAGAGACACAGTATTGGTTAAGAAATGAGTTATATAAGAAAACTTACTTAGTCCTAAAGCTATAGATTTGAATATAACTTTGAAAAAAAAACTAATTTTTTCTTTTATTAGAATATTTTCCACCTAATATAATGTTACCACCAAAACGACTTGAATCCTTATTATCACAAGCTATTGAATTCCAACAAGATCGATGTACATATCATATCAAACCTGGAAAATTATCTATTGAAGATGTATCCTTACTTCAAGATCATGCATGTTCTAAGTAAGTATTGATTATCAAGAATAATGTTAATAATGATATTTTTCTTCTAGACAAACGTTACCCTGTGTTACAATTCAAACATTAACTGATCATACGGATGAAGTATGGTTTTGTAAATTTTCTTTTGATGGTACTAAACTTGCAACGGGGTCAAAAGATGGTAATTTGCATATATATGATGTTAATATGGTAAAATTAGAGAAAATTTTGTATGAAAAATTTGAGTTTTATTATTTTTTCTTAGGAAACATATGAATTAAAACTACAAAAACAATTTGATGGTCATTCATTTGGCATTGGTTGTATAGCTTGGTGTCCATTTAATCGTTATATAATCGCTTGTGGTACAGATGAATGTAATGAAATATGGATATGGGATATTGAAGTAATAATATATTATTTTAATAAGAAAAAACAAATCGATTCATAAATTTTTAGAAAGAAGAACAACGATCACGTATAAATCATACATCAGAAGATAGTTTGACTTGTGCTGCTTGGTTACCATGTGGAACAAGATTTGTATGTGGTGGATCACGTGGACAATTTTATTACTGTGTATGTAAAGAAAATAAAAGAAAATAAAATTGTCTATGTTTTATATTCTATATAGGATATTGATGGTAATGTAATTGATAGTTGGGAAGGTGTTCGTTTACAATGTTTGAGTGTAACAAATGATGGTGTTATATTAGCAGCTGATGCACAAAAACGTATAAGTTCATATAAATTTGATAGTTTAACTGATCAACAAATGTAAGAATAGAAATATAGATTCATTAAAAGAAAAAAACAAATATATTTGTTTTATTTTTAGAATTCATGAAGATCATCCAATTATGTCATTTACAATAAGTAAAGATGGTCGTTTAGCTCTTCTCAATATTGCAACACAAGTATAAATTTACAAAAAAATATTTTTTTTTTGGAAAATTTTATATTTATTTTTTAAAAAGGGTGTTCACCTTTGGGATTTACACGATAGACAACTTGTTCGTAAATATCAAGGTGTAACACAAGGACATTATGTTAATCATGCAACATTTGGTGGACCTAATGAAGAATTTATTGCAAGTGGTAGCGAAGGTTTGTTTATTAATTACTAATATATATATCTATTTTTATAATTGATTATTTATTAAATAGATTCAAAAGTTTATTTATGGCATCGAAGACAAGAACGTCCAATAATGATCTTTTCAGGTCATACACGTACTGTTAATTGTGTTTCATGGCATCCTATATTACCATTATTATTTGCTTCAGCATCCGATGATGCAACTGTTCGAATTTGGTCAACTTCTGATCATCAAATAAAAACAGGTAACAAGTTTTTATTCTTTTTTTGCCTAATATTTTATTTTATTTTTCTAGAATCATTGATTAACAGTGATTAATTCGACATTTAATTCTTATGCAAATACTTGAACATTAGGACAATATTTTCTCTTTGTGAAAAACAAGAGAATTTGCATACCTATATATATATACATAATAAAAAAAAATCAGTTTTGAAATTCTTTTCTTTTTTCAATTTGCCGTTTTTTTTGTTTTCTCTTTCTCTCTCTCTTATTTTGTGCATACATAAACACTCCTTTTTTTATATTAAATACTGCGCTGTTTATTTGAATAAAAAAAAACAAAAGATTGTATTCTTCAAATGAATAGAAATAATATTATGATATGAACTTGTTGGCAAAAAAAAATACAAAAGAAAATCATTATCTATGAATATTGATTTATTGATTGATTTTACTATTGATATAAATCTTTTGATCCAAAAAGGATTATTCTATTACATTCTTCTTCTTTTTTTATATTGTCAAAGAGAAAAGAATTATTTTTTTTAACTGGTAATCTTTATATATATATATATGAGAATGAAATCAAGGACAAACAAGAATATTGTGGTAGTTACGTGTTATATTACTTTTTTCTTCTTCTATTGATAAATAGAAAGAATAAGTAATGATGAAAATAGTTGTGCTAATAAATCGTAATTAATGAAGTTTGACATCATATAGATATTAAATTATTTAGTTATCGGGTTTCGACTAAGCATAAAAATCCTTGTGCTAATCATTAATCAATAGAAGGTAAAAATTTTATTTTTATTATCATTCTATACATCACATAACGTTAGTAGAAAATCTTAATGTTTATATCATAATGAGAAATATTTTTGTTTAGAAAAATCAATGACGAGAAAAACATATTCAATGGATTTTCAATGATAATCGATGATTTTTTGAGAAGTCCTAATATTCTTTGATGTGAATTATGATCAATAGTGAATTGATTAATTCATGTTACAGCTGCTAGTAGTCGATTCGCATTGTCGGAAGTCACAATGATAATAACCTCTCATCGTACAAGACTTATTAGATGAATCAATATAGAGCTCTTAGAAACGTCATTTTATGTAAGAGAAAAAAAAAAATTTCTTTTTCTTTAAGACAATGGATGAACGTATTTGACATTTTGTGCTATTGTTTTTTTTCGATATATATTAATTTCATTATAACGACAATTTGCTTTCGGGAAACATTTTTCTTATAAAACAAAAGAGTCTCGTCATGAAAATTAAATTAGCTTTCGATTTGATCTTGATTTCCTTAATGAAATAATTATTTTATTAAATTAGAAGATCGATCATCGGTTATAAAAGATATTATAGTAATCAAAAATTCAAAATAAGTTCAATTAATTTTTCGATATATTGATTTAACATAACTGAATAATTTATATTAATGGGGAAAACATTTGATTAAGGTATCAATATATATTGTATTTTAGCTTTCTATTTTGTACTCGATACATAAACATTCAGTATTCGATCTCCAACTGATAATAAGAAAAATGATATAGTTTTATTTGATATTTTTAACAGCTAGATATATATATACTAAGTTATTATTTATCTAAAACTAGCATACGGAAGAAATCAAAAACGGATAAGTACCTTGAATCGCACTAGGTAGTATCACTCTTGCATATTTATCAAGGATATAACATTTTAACGCAATAATATTGCTAAAAATGGCAACACGTGTAAATGTCTCTTACTCATGTGAAACATTAGTGTTTCTATTCAGTTTTGTTTAGAACAAGGATGCAAATAATTATTCTATTTCTTCTTTTTATTCGTTTATTTGCTGAATAGAATATGAGTATGTGTTATGCTGTTACTTGTTGCAACAATTGTTGTAGAATAGATAGATATAGCGTTTAAACAAGTTTTGCTTGATTGTTCCCAACGAGCAAATCGAAAAGAGAAGCAAATAGGGAAAAAAAAAGGAAAATGACGACAATAATAACAAGTATTCTCTACGACAAACATGTCATGCAACGTCGTTCAGAGACAAAGAAGGATCATTGATCGTTTGTTCGTCATTCCTCTATCTTCGAAGGCAACAAAGCGAGTTTGATAGAAATAATAGACGAAGCTATAGAAAGTAGTATCTTTGTCGTTCGTGTCTTATTTGACTAATTTGCGCGTATGAAATAGACAATGTTCTATCTATTTCTATCTTTTATTTGAATTTAATACTGTCATATTCATTGTTATCGAGAGTTGTGACATTAACCTTGAGGTTATGTTATTGTGAATACGAGCATAAAGAGTGTTCGTTAGTTAGTCTCCGAAATAAAACTATTACCGGAAATAAATGAGTACTATGCAACATTTCGCTTCGATCGTTCTCACCCAATCGGTTATATGTGTCCTTGTCACAAAAAAAAAGTGTCGTCTTCTCTATTCTAATTCATTTGTCTCATCCTGTTCTATTACACGAGTATATCGAATAATCAACTGAACTCTTGTCACTAGTTTTTTCCCACTTCAATCTTGTTTCTTTCCCGTCATGGTTATTATTTCCAGTTCTTCTCACTTCTCTATTTCGATTCGCAATATCGTAAATCATCTTTTTCTTCATCGTCTCCGACTATTTTTCTTTCTCTTTTTCTACAATTATTCTACTTAGATTTAGATTTAGTCTTGCCTTTTCTTTCATATTAAAAAATTCAATTGTCACCGCCGTTAAAAAGACGCTCGCCGGTTTTCTCTCAGGCTAATTGTCTGATGTCTACTAGGCTTTTTTACTTATAATTCACTCGGTAATGCCATAAAAAATCTGCCAAATTAAAATTATATAGTAATAGTCTACACATTCATGATAAATCTTAGACAACTAGTCAAACATGCATTCGTAATTCTCTCTATAATACCATTGACAATATTACTTAAAGACAAGATTAATAAATAGTTTGATTAGATTTTGCATGACTGAAATATGAACTGTCTTAGTACATTTATATTGTTCAAAAGATGTGTCGGAATTTTTCTCTTTGTACTTTTTTTTCTTTTTTTTTTTTTTTGAATCTATGTATGTAGATTTAAATGGAGAAATGGAAAGAAACATAATTACATGCCGATTCATTTCTTTGGATGCGCCTCGAGTCTTACGAGAACAAAACAAACTAGACCAAAAGCAGTTTTCTTTTCTTATTCTTTGTGACAACGGGAACGCGACTTCTCAAATCGGGAATGGGATCGAATTAGTTTTTCTCTCCCTCTCTCTCTCTCTTCCTCATACTCTTTCTCTCTCTCTCTCTTCTCCTCGTTCTTTCTGGCTATAGTGTGTATGTGTGTAATGTGTCAAGGACATCGATGTATTCGAGCCGATCAATCGATATGTAGAAGTTTATCGTCGCCATTGTCAAAAGAATTATCAGAAAAATAGCATAGCGAAAGAAAAAAAAAAAGAAAAGAAGTAGATTATTTCTCGATCTATTTCAGATAAATCTCGACCTGGCAAAAGCTTATGAACGGACAAAAGAGTCGATGGTGAACACGGTTAGTGTCAATGCCATTTTTGTTTTATCGTATATCGACATGGCTGATCATCGAACTGGTGGCCACGTCGATATTAGTCGCATTAAATATGGTCATACCTGCTTTAATGGCATTTGGTTCATATCGTAATGTGATAAATTTTTATTTTGCAAGTGCTGCTTTATCAAGTTCATTACTTAATTGTTTATACATTTATTATCTTGTGGAAACATTACGTTCAAGAGGACTTGCTGAAAATACTTGTCGAGCTATTTATTATTTACAAACATCGTGTACAGTTGTCCTTGGTATGATTTTGATTTCTTTTTTTTTCCTCTCCTTTTCATTTATTTTCATATACAAATTGAACAAAAAAAGAAAAAGAAAAAGAGAAACGTATCAGTCGGATTATTTTAGAATTTATTTATTTAATTTAGCTAAATAAAGTAATATTACATTAATTACATTAAGATAAATCGCTTTTTCTTTATCTTATTATTATAATAAGACACAAAATATATAACCAATATTGTACGAACTTGTTATTGATTATGAGATAAATAATAAAGAAATGAAAGTTGACAGAAAGAAAAATGTCATATTCCTTTGAGAATAGACTTTTATCATTGATTTTTAATCTATTCTAGCTTATACAATAACGGCAATGCATGCAAATTTTGTCTTATGTTTATTATCGCCACCATCGTCCAATCAACGCCATTCAGTACGTTCCTGTTTGCGATCTTGTGGTTTTTGTTTACGTCGGTTTTTTCGTCGTTTTTGTTTTTGTCTTGTACTTGTCGTTTGGTCATTATCATTTACAGCTACAATACCATTACTTTATACAATTGATTCAAATGAAAAAACTCCAAAACCTGTTTATTGTCCTGGAACAAAACAAATCAGTTATCTTGAAGAATGGTTTGATCGTAATCGTCTCAGTCAAAGTATTATATTTAATTTAATACCATTATTAGCAACATTATTTATATCAATAGTTGCTTTATTAAAATTATTTTATGAATGTCTTTTTTATACTTATTTACGTTGTAAAATGTCAAAATGTTTACCATGTCGAAAAAGAACATCATCTCAACATCAACAACAAAGTTTATCCATACCAAATTCAACGTCAATGCTTTCATCATTTGGTATTATAAGTAATAGTAATATTCAAAGTAGTCTTAATTTAGCACCAAT